CTACCATTTACCCTAGAAGGGGTTTGGTCGCAAGGACTGCCACTGCACCTAGTCAAAGCTTGCAGCCTAGTAGGGGTTTGGTCGCCACCACTGCCTCTTGCTGTCACAACTCATGCTACCATCATTTCAAGCCCAGCATTTAGTCATAGCCAAAACTACTAAATTAGGGTTTCAACAATGATCCCCTTTAGGGGGAGCACTCTTCAGTGTAGTCACCTAGCCACTTGACCTACCAGCCCAGGCCACATGACATGCTGGCTCAGCCAACCAAGATCACCGGCCCAATAAGCTTATTAATCCTAAGGCCACTCCCTTCTCATAGCTCATTATTACTCTTAGGCCCGTGAAATGACCTAAGTCAGTCCCACCAATCCCATTAGCAAGTTGCCCAACATCACTAATGGACTAGAAATAAACATATTTTAGTATGTATATCTTTTTGTAGGCTCTTTAGGAAAGTGTCCTCCAAGATTTACTCCAAAATATGTCTAACTATAATTGTTAGAATCCTTTGTGATTTGTGATTTAATTGTGGTGCTTGAACTTGTGAAATTTCTGTCAAAGTGAATTGGGTTGATTTGAGTTAAATCGTTCCAAAATTTGATGTCTTAATTATTCTAAATTTAAAAAAAGTCAACATCCATTTTTTCATTGTTACCATGCAAGAGTTGTATCTTTTAGACTCATGTTGTCAGTAAAGAATTTTCCTCTAAGAGGTTATATGGGGAGAAATATAATTTTATTCATAATAATTAATTTTTAAGTCAAATGTATTAAATATTGTCAATTCAAACCTCTTGTCCTTACTATTATTCAAGATAAAGATGCAAGCGGTTTGACTCCTAATTGCCCCAAGTAATAGAAGTGACTATGAAGGTTGTGAAATTGATCATCATCAATTCCTCCAATGAGCTTACGTAAATTTTCTCTTTAGTGGGCCAAGTATTGAGAATGATTAGTTGGTGAGTGATAGAGTTTAGTTACTATTTGAATATTACTTGCTCTTTTTAAAATTTCTATTTATCTGCTTAATATGTAATATCATTTTACTAGATCTTTGGTCAAAAAAATTTGAACTCAGTTTCTAAAAAAACACATTTATAATTTCTTGATTTAAGAGTTATCATCTTGCTCTTATACCAAATGATGAAGCTTAATAGATAGCAATGTTAAAGGGAGAAAAGAATGAGACCTAAATTGAACTGAATGAAAATTTTATTTAAAAAATAGAAGAAATATAAGAGAGAGATAAAAAATAAGAAGATAGATGGAAAGAACCCAAAGGAACCTCTTAAGATGGTTGATTTGAGATGACTAATCTCCCCTTCTCTATTTGGAGACATGACTCAATATAATACACTCATTATTAGACTTCTTCTACATTTTATCTCTCTTTTCAGTCTTAATGGGTTATCCCTTCCGTCGTCTTTCTCCAAATCTAATAGGTTGTTGAGAGTTGACTGGCATGTGGTCACCTGTTGACCATTGGGTTCTTTTCCACTTGCTAGTTGAGATCTCTCCCCATGTGGGTGAGATGCTGGGGCAGGTGACTCAACAAAGGACCAAACATGAAACTCAGAAAAAGCATCCATATGTTATTTTTTTCTTAACTGGCCTTAGTTAACTAGGCCAGGGAATCCAATAGAGACCCAATAATCAGGGCCAATCTGTGGCCTTACAAACTAGGCCAGGTGCCCTCAAAGTAGGCCCAACTTTGACGTGGCCCAGAAATTAGCCTATGACGTGGGCCCAGCTGTATGTAGTCCATACCAGATGTATAAAGCAGGCCAGCGCAGACATGGACAAGTGAAGTGGCCCAACTTGGATTCTTTCAAAGCCCACCTACGTAAACTAGAGTAACCAGTCTCACAGAAGTAGGCCCCGCGATACGGGTGCGGCGGCGAGATGGACCCGCCGATTGTACCCAACGCAACTACCCATGGACAGCTGTAAGAGAGCCGCCAGCTGGGGCCACGGAACTGGACCTACGACCGCCACCGCCATCCAATCACCGTGGCGTGGGCAAAAGTTTCAGCCTATGACGCAGACCCGATGACATCATCCCACGATTGGTGGGCCCCTATGGCTCGACTACCACCCTTAAATGCCTCTGTTGGGATAACGCCAACGCAATATTAACTCCTCCCCATTTGGCAGCCGTTCCCTCCGGGTGGTTGGTCGGTCGGGTTAACTCTGAGTGCGTGATCCGACAGCCTTCATTCCCATAAAGGTTTAAGGAGAAAATCTCCACGTCAACAACAACAAAGGCATTGACTTTGGATTGCTTATGAGGCAAGTGAACTTGCCTCCCCCGTTCCATTTCACGCGTTGACCCCCGATTAGCAGACGACAACCATGGTGCAATCAAAGTACGAACAGCGCGCGAATTTGAGAGCACGCGCATTGAAAACCCAAGAGCGGCGCGATGAAGATGGGTGGGGGGCGCCGAGGGATTAAAGAAAGGACTAGGTTGAGAAGAAATCAGCACCATCGCCGCCCTCAAGTTTTCTCAACTCGCGTTTGGTAAGAAGTTTGTGTTTCGTTGAACACATGGGGTTGACTAGCTTGCTTCCCCTCTCTCATGTCGATGTCCTGCATGTCCTTGCCGCACGAAGGAGAGATTTCGGTTTTAGTCAATGGGAACCGGAGGTCGGAAACAGCGCGAGAATCAGAGGTCAACTTGCCGACACCCCTCCCTTTTGCCCGGAGAAGAATGACTTTGATCTGCCCGTACTGGATAGTACCGACCCGCAGAAGAGTTGTTCGCAATAATTGAGAAGCCTAGAGTCTAATGGACGTCGGGTCAATAATGAATTCGAGAAAATTTCCGTTAAACACAATGAATTCTTCATTACTAAGGTCAAATCTAGCTCCTTCCATGCTCGTTCGCTTTTAATACCGTTGATCCTCAGCTTCCTCCATCGTTTAACGTCAACTCTTATATCTCTCATGAAAAAACAACCCCGGAGTTGACATTGCATCGGGATAAATTATCATCAAGAAAGCTGAGAGAGAAGGGAAAGAAGATCGAAAAGCCAAGGGGCTCTCGCTCAACGGCCACGGTACTTGTACGGATAGGACAAACTTTGTGTTCACACGATCTCCTCCCTAATCTATCTGTCTTCCTCTTCTTCTGCGGCACGCAGGCGTTATGACGGCCCCAGAAGTACACCAACCTCATCGGCATCAGGTTATGTCCCCTGGCGTGGACTCGCATCTTTCAGAGTGAGCTTTTACGCGAAGAAACCTATTTATTTCTCTGTCATGGGCCCCAAGGAGACTGCGACGGCGACGACGACAGAGGGCCCGCCGGCGATGGGCCATCCTCAAGAACAGCGACTTGAGTGGGGTATGGAGAGAAGGGAGGGGTTTGACATGCTCAGGTCAAGAGAGGGGGTCCCCCCCCCCTCTCTCTCTCTCTCTCCCCTCTTCTATCTCTCTATCTCATTGTCTATCTTCGTCGACCCAATTGGAGACGGGTACCATATGGAGCAGGCTCGAAGGTCAAGGACAGGGACGGATTATTCTGAAAGGCCATGTGTGCTTATCCGCCGTCTCTTCTGCTATTAGCCCGAGGGAGGGGACCGAACGAGTCGTATTTAATTGCCGTCGTCGCTGGCTTCTGCCGATAAAAATCATTGACTCCTCCAATGTTCGCTTTCCCTCTCTAATTATTATCACGCGAAGTGGATTTTTTTTCTCTCTCTCTCTCTAGCCCCGACTGCACTGCCCATCACAACATTTCTTTATCCATCTGCTCCGTCTTTAACACCACCGTGAAGAAAGAGATAGAGATAGGGATATAAATAAAGATAGAGAGAGCGAGAGAGAGAGAGAGGGCACGCGCGCCGTGCTGTGGCGACTGGGCCTGAACCCTTCGTCACGTAACAGACCGAACGACCCGATCACGGGCGCTGCGACCCGGCACGGGTCTCGTGCCCCTGACCGAGGCACGCGCACCCACGTGCAGATCCGACGGTCAGTTTCGCACGGAAATTCGAATCCCAACCGCCCGTGCCCGCAGTGACGCGCGCCGAACACATCACCCGAAGCCGCCGTTAACAGTAAGATTAACGGTAATACATTCATAATAACCACACACGTGGAAAGAATTTTTTTAATTGCAATTTCCATTTATATAATTCTCATCCTTTATTTCTTGGTGCACAATGGGTGGTCGGGGTACAGCAAAAGGGTGGGAACCCACAACGCCGATCTCCGGTGGCTCATCCAACGGCAGGAATCAGCGCCGACAAGAAGTTTCGGGTGATGATCATCGGCGGCTGACGCCATCAGGTGGCCTACACTAGCGACGTGGCGAGTTCTGACGTCGGGTGAGGAGAGATCCGTCTGGGTTTCCTCTCACCGCCGTCGTGCACGCCGGCCGTATGACGTTCAACCCGGCCAGAGGTTAAACACTAATCGCGAGATTAAAGATTAATTACCATATTTCGCTTACCTGTATACTGGTGATTAGGATGTAATAAGTATTGTTGGATTAATGAGACAACATCCCCCCACCTCCACTCCTGACTCGTGTCGCGGCAGGCGTTTCCCCACGTCACTGACGTCCGACAGAGTCGCACTGTAACTTCGGATCTTCAACAGAGATCCACAGAACCTAATAAACGGCGTAAGCTCTAGTGAGAGTGAGAGAGAGAAGAGAGAGACAGAAAGAGAGAGAGAGAGAGAGAGAGAGAGAAACCTGCCGGCCGAAAGCACGCAGAGGGAGCACCGTCTTGATTTGACTTTTCCAAGCTTGAGTAGCGATCATCCGATACCCGCCGGCTAGGAAGCACGGCGACCCTTGTGGCGCCCCAGAACATATCCCCTTCCGGAGAAAAAAACTATTAATCCCCACGGAAGACCCTCTATTTAAGCTCGAGTCCTCTCTTCCCCGTCATCCCAGAACGACCACATCACCCTCCCTATACCCCTCTTCTTCTCTCGTCCTCTCTCTCTGTCTCTCTCTCTCGCTGTAGAGGCCTCCTTCTCTATCTATGGTGCAGTCTATATCCGACACGACGGGGGGAAGCAGTATGAAGCAGCATGGGGGAGACGAGAAGACGCCGGCGCCGGCGATGATCGCCGTGAGAGCGGAGTCGCACGTAATATCGAAGATGAGGCCCAAGATACGGATTGTGCACATAGTCGCGCCGGAGATCATACAGACGGACGCGGAGAACTTCCGGGACCTCGTTCAGAAGCTCACGGGGAAGCACGCCGAGAGGGGAGGCGGCAGGAAGAAGGCGGCGAGGGCGGCTTCGCCGGAGAACGGCAGCCCAGTGGAGGGGTCCCTCAACGAGTACCTCTCACCGGAGTTGGGGAAGCGGGTGAAGCTGGAGGCGGCGGAGGCGGCGGAGCTCGAGATGAGGGTGGAAAACTCCGGCGCGCTGTTCGCTGATCTCGACGCCTTCATGCAGGAGCTATGTGAGATGCCGTCGATCCCTCTGGGTTCTTTCCACGGGGATCCGTTCTCTGAGGAGGCCGTCTGCGTCTGAGCGAACAAGTGCCCTCCTTTCTTCTCTATTCTCCTCCTCCATCTTGGTCAGGGTCCTTGACTTTAGCAGGCAAGGGTTTCAATTGCGAGCGGAGATAGAATTTGGGATTTCATTGTTCTTTACGTCCGTTCTCCTCCTCCCCCTCTTTCTCCTCAGGATCTCGAGCTTGTACATAAACATACATGCAGCTGGAAGCCACACCTGTATAATCTGCATTTGGTTCTCGTCCGGGATTCGAACTTGCTCGATTGAGACCAAAGGGTTAGGCATCTTCTTTGAAATTAGTAAGGTTGGCCTATCGAAGAACTAGACTAGAAATCCCGTTTCATCGTCCCATCCTTCTTTCGTCGGAGAACTAACAGGCTCCAGAGAACCCAAAGCGGGATGATGCTGGGAAGGCAGAGCTCCTTTTTTCTGAATGGTGTTTTCTTCGTCCGGGAACGATCTCTCTCTCTCTCTCTCTCTCTGACTGAGATGGGTACCGATGAATCCGGGAGGAAACTACGAACAGTCCCGGAAATAACCTACAATATGATCTGGATGGGGACAAGACTAAGCTCTCCAATTCTGAGTGGAAGGGGAAGCTGCCGCCATCGGCCATCGTATTTAAGAGGTCTCCAAGTTGGTGGGGGCGACTGACGAGACGGCTGGATGAGCAGAACATAATTCACCGGAACACCAATCCGAAGAAGCTCTCGACCTCCAGACAGCGGAGCAGATCGCGTGGAAAGTTACCGGTAGAAACTACGAACCACCCCATCGTCTTCTTCCCCCGAAACTCCCCGTCTTCTTCACGGCTCGGCCTGTTCATCCTCTGGAGGGGCAGCTGATGAGGTTAGATGGAGCTACTACTCGGACAGATTTGCTCCCTTCATACAAAACGAAAGTCAACTGCCGCCTCTACGCTTCGAGACTTGCCCGAATCACCTCCATCTGCTGGAAGCCACCGTTTTGTTCCGATCGCGACATAAGTTTTTAACCTCGTTTCCCGCAACCTACGTATGATTTCATAAAAAAAATATTCCTTACCTGATACGTATACCAAGTAGAGTCCTGTAGTAGCTTCGGTTGACTTTTTTAGCCGATCCCGTCGGTTTTAATCGTTCTTCCCGAAAATATGCGCAAAGGATGAGGAATTTCTTTCTGAAAGAGGCTCCTGAATTGAAATGACTCCTCAAATGTTACATATACGACGATGTGTGTTACTCAGTGCACTGCTTTCAACAAGAGCAAGCCCTTGGCCGGAAGATCTAGCATGTTGGATCTCCGATCAAAAAATTTACTGGTTTTCTACATTAAAACCCTGATCAGTTTATATAGAAATCAGCGACAGATTTAACCCGAATGCGAGAAATTTGGATTCAAGGAGGCCACATAAATTCAACGGCGACCCGTTGGCCTCCAGTTCCTGGGCCGGCGGCCAGCAGGACCCTGATGACCTTCGGCCTGGCTGGGGGCACGCTGGGGCCGGCCCATTTCTGACAGGGCCAAAGAGAAAGCCCAGCGGGCCCATGCTGAGTCGGGACTGAAGTTTCAACGATCCATCAAAGCCAGCGGCGCATTCAAGTTAAAAGAGGTGACTGGGGATGGGGGTCGCTATTCTCAATTAAATCCCTTGATTTTATTAGCTCTCGTACTCTGAGACCGGATCCAAGTCCGAGTCTGGTGGCCCCGCCATCCTCGTAAGAACATCCGGTGAACCAGAAGCATCTCTCACTATCTGCAAACAGCACAGAGAATGTCAGAGAAGCCCCAACTGCCATGAAAAACTGATTAGATCAGCATCCTAAGAGATTCATAGGATGAAACTTGAACATATTCGATGCTTGAGTCAGTGTGGAGAAACCAGGAGAGAACCCAAACAAGAATGGCATCGAAAATTTGGGGCGGTATTGCCATTTTAAGGGTCTGGGTTGAAATTTTTGGATAATGATGAATTTTCAATTTTTGGATGTTTAATCACTGAAAAAGATGATTTAAACTGGGTAACAAAAACTTGAAAAGTTCCAAAAATAAATAAATCATAATCATAGGGTCGAGTGAAGGAATTACCAGTATTTCTTCATCGAGATAGGAAATCATAAAAAGTCTCTGGTAAGTGCCGCCTGGAATAGACAAAGAAATAAGAACCTCTTAGCTCCAAAAGGAAAAAACGGCGGCAGAAGAATGAAATTATCATGTTAAAACATAAAATCAAGTTTCTTTACTCCATCCAGTTTTCGTCTCCATGCAACAGAAGCATCATGAGAGGCGATGCATCCGGTAGTTCAGTAAAGATTAGCAAAAATAATTCAGTCAAAAGATTGTTATCCTCTATTGATCCGAGCAATTTCCCATTATAATATATGATCCAAGTTCAATAGCGTTCTTGAGATATAGCGGCTAAGCAATGATAAATAACTGGGCCATCACTAGTGGATTGAGAGGCCACGAGTCTGCTTACTCAGTGGAATTCGGAGGCCGCTTGAGATAGCATCCCGTATGGGAAGAGGAAGCTGCTGCAGAGAACCAACAGCCTGTCCGAAGGGCCCTTTCAACTGTTCTGGTATTGACTCTTCACTCACTTTGGGCATCTCAAAGACCCCTTCAAAGTACTCCTCTTTCAATCTGGAGGGTCCTTCAACGGACAATTTCGTGGTCAAGAGGAAGTTCCCTGTTATTACCTGAACCACACACAAATTGATATAAGAGACAATACATTCAGCACCTATTATTATCTTTAATAATGCAAAGGTTGTAGAATTCCTTCATAATTCCGAAAGCTCAACACAAGAAACTCTAAGTAGCACGAAAACTGTCTGTCTTGAATTTTCCAAATGACGCATAAAAATTGAGATACTATTTCCATAAAATCGGCCATTAATATACAATGTGAGCTGACCAGGACAACTGAAAACTTCTCAAACACAGCACTGCCGACATTAAAACTATTGAAAGTTAAATGATTCAGAAAAAAGTTCTAAAGATTCAATCACCACGCTGCTCGAGCATTATTAGGACAACTTATGTAGGCATCTGAAATACTGATTCAAATACATGATAGTAAAGTGCACACATATAGAGAGAAATATAGCGAGGGTTAGCCAAAGAAGATTGACTTAAGGCGAGAATTTACTGAGTTAAGGAACTTCAAATTTGCTGTGACTTTGGAGTAACCCTCCTTGACCAGCATATTCAAACTCGTCAAGTTTGCTACACCTGTGGGAAATCTCCTGTGAAGACAGCATCAGAGCGCATCAATAAGATGAATTGCTGCCTCTCATGGACTTTCATCTCGATAAGCAATAAAAACAGCATTGAAGGCAATCGAACGTCAAAGGAAAATGTAAGATGAAAAGAAGACTATTCCTGCGTAGACAAACATAGGGGGCCATTTTTGAACTAGGTAAAGACACTAAAGCAGAAAAATGACAATGCGCGGATCAATGGATAGAATTTATCGAGCTCACATAGGTTCCCGCGGGAACAACTGAGAATTCGATAAGATATTCGAGCAGCAGTAAACATGGCCACACACACAGAATTAATGCCAAGTTCTGATGAGCAGTTAGCTGCAAATGCTCCAGCTCAAAGTACACGTAGCTAATTTTACTGCCAAGCTGATCATCGTAGAGGATACGTCTCGGCAAAATATAAGGATTAGCAAGACGGATGACAAAAGAATTATGAAAATAGAAACTTCTGAATTTTGTTGTAATCATTAGCTTGGAGGTCGTCAATTCCAACAAAAATCGAAAGATAAGGACCAGTCCCACAGTGAGACAACAAAAAAATAACTCTGTTCACCAAAAATGCCCGAAAACTGAGAAAAGGGATGAGTAACATACTCAAAAAGCAATTTTGAAGCAAGTAATCCTGGACTACCAGCGCTGTACCACTCAAAATTCCATCGACCTTCCAAGAAAGGTGACCTGGGTAAAATGAAAAACAGAAGAAGACCAAAAAGAAGTTGTTAGAATAGCAATCAGTGTTTCGCAAGGATAAATAAACATTGAGAGGGGAAGATGACTCGTATATCAATCCTCAGGCCTAAGATAAGCCAATTCTTGGTACTGGCCCTTGAAATAAAGATGGGAAATTTTTCGTGGTCGCACATGGTTTAACAATTCGACAAAAAAAAAAAAACTGAGACAGATGCATGTGCGAAAACAAATCAGACCATACAAATCCTTTGATAACAAAACTCACTCTGAGTCTGACCTCTGGATCTTGTTATTGGGGGGGGAAAAGCGCTGAAAGCAAGGATATTACAGAGCTTCCTGAAAACGGAACCCTTTCTGTTGCAAAATCAATAATCCCAACTGGATCCATACCATTAAATGGTCTGAAGGATTCAAGAGCCATCAATGCTATCCCGTTTGATGCAAAAAATAAATTAAAAAATGAGCTTCTCTTTTCTATGGGCAAGTGAACTCTAAGTAGATGAGACAAAAATACAGAAACTCTTATATAACTTGGTTGAGGTGAGGGATTGAGTTGACATACGTTGTTGGTCGAGGAGTGGGATTAAGGCGTTCAAGACCGACAATCCTCTCATTCACATCAATCCGCTGCATCTCAGTTGTCTTTCCACTAACCAAAGATTCAAAGCCCCCAGAGTCCTTAAACTGAAATGGGATAGATTCAGGAACAACATCTTGGAAAGCCTTTTACAAGAAAGAAAACTCATTTGAAGAAATATGCAAGTAGACTACATCACTATTAGAAGACGGTCAATGAAGATTATAGAACAACGCCACAGCAATTCGGAAGCGACTTAAGCACAACAATAAATAATGCTGCTTTCATAGCAACGGAACATCTCATGTGAAGAATATTTCAGGAAAAACCTATGCAGAAGCAATAACATCAGAAAAGGAAAATTTAAGAATTGAGTTGAGATCAGCATAACTATGAATTCCCGTACAAGCATTAGAAAGGGAAAATGTGAATGAAGGTAAGTACGGTCAGCATTTGCAATAATATGAGTCACCCAAGAAGTTTACTTTATCCTCTCATGATATTTACAAAGAAAAAAGTAAAGGTGAAATTCAAAACCAGAAAGTTCGAGTTCAATGAAAAAATATATTTTAACTCGTAGCCAATTAATTTTGATATGGATCTCTCAATGTTTGACATGAATTCGAAGCTGATGATCGTTCTTGGGCTAGCTTATGTTTTCCGGGGAATAAAACCCAGGGTTTGATTAGGACATGATATATGTATTTGAATAATTCCACGTAAAAAAAGTAAAATATCTAAATTACATAGATGACCCCACTACACTAATTACCAATTTAATTGCGTGTGAGGGACGTCTTAGAATAATCCTAGGTTGGAATTAAAGAATGAAATGCCGTAACTACATTCGTGAATTTATTACATTCAGTGTCGATTAGTTTTGACTTGCATGTGAGTGATGATTAAAGAGTAAATAATCTAAACACTAAAGAGTAAAGGGTATCATCAAGCAGACAAGAACATTTGATTGATTCTTTTCGTTGACACGAAAGGTAACTGTATGCAGTTGAATTGGCAATGCAAAGATACCCGACAATCAAGCAGGCAAAAGAAGGAAAATTCACTCACGGCGAGAAGTAACGATTCCTTCGCCGATAACCTCTCCATCTCCTTAGCATAGGTCGCTGAAGCGCCCTGAAACGTCTGCTGCTGCACCATTGCCCTGAAACCTCCACGGCGGCGTAGGGTGACCCCAGCCCTCCGCAACCCCTCCTGGATCGAAATCCTGGGCGATGAAGACGGCGAAAGACATGCCGCTCCGATTCCCCCGACTGCGAGAGCCATGGAATGGCCCGGAATGGAACCCGAGAGCTGAATTACGAGACAAACAACAGCAACGAAGGGAGGAATTATCAGAGACAACAGCTGGGGACTAGGTCCCAGAAGAACGGAACAAGGCTAGACAGATACTATCAGGCGTGGGGAAGCCCCCGTGTGTCTCTCTATAAACCCTACAGTGTGGGGAGCACAGCAAAGCAGCACTAGACACAAGGGCTGTCGGGGAAGAGGAGGTGTGGACGACGCCTATCTGTCTCTGAGGGCGATTCGGTCAGAAGCCGGGAAAGTTCAGGGCCACCATTCACCGAACACGAATTTCTTTACTGGGCTGGATGGCTTGCTTGCTTCACGAACATGGTCTATGGAAAACGTTTTCTTTATAAAAAATAAATTAAAATTGACGCATTTTTACTGGTCAAAATCCGGCCGCTTCCGTATTATTTAATGGGTTCACCGGAATTTCTACGTTATTGTAAGTTGGCAACTCTGGCCGCATTTCTGTGGATTTTCGCCTTCTAAATTAGGTTCATTTATTTCATTTTTATTTTATTATTTGAGCCAAAATATTTTTAAAAATTCTTCCAGGATTGATATTCTTGTCCGTCGGCATCTTTTAAAGATTTTGTTATACTGGTAAGAAAATCCCCTTCGATTTTATAAATTAATATGGACTGATATTGACTGCGTAAAGAATCTCATGAGTCTGTTCGCCTTTACCTTTCTGGCGGCGGATGGGTCCTTTCTGTCAACGAAGACCTTTGTAGAGAGAGGGGGAGAGAGAGAAAGAGAAATGGGGAGAGAATAAGACCAGTTTTAGGATACGAAGATCAATCGACGTCCCCAATTAGGAAGAAACAACGAAAATCAGTGAACACAGGCACAAGGACACAGGAGGGCTACTCTCTCTCTCTCTCTCTCGCTCCCGCGTTCGCGTCGGATCTAAAGCTTGTTCTTTTACCAGATGACGCCACGGCAGGCGGAAGCTGCGGGTGTTGGAGTGGTGGCTGGCGGTGGCTGTACTTCCAGGGACGTAGGGGATGAGGAGCACCAAGCCCACGGCATCGTCGAGGGAGTAGTTAAGAGAAGGCGTGGTGGTCGTAGTCGTGGGCGACGACCCTGCGCCGTCCACTGGAGGGCCAGGCGACGAGGTGTAGAGGGGAGGAGAGGAGGGGGAAGTAGGCGACGGCAAGGTGGAGGGCGGCGGCGATGGCGAGGTCCTGGGACGGAGCCGACCTTTTGAAGCAGTGCGGGGGGACGGAAAAGAAAGACAACGGCGTATACCTCGACCATGGAGAGAGAGAGAGAGAGAGAGAGAGAACAGGGTGCAAGAAACGTGATGGCTTCCGCGAAGGAGTCGCTGCAGGTGGAGACTATGAAACCACAACCAGATGGAAGCGGACATGGCGGAGATCGTAGTGCGGGATGCGCGGGCCAGGCACGCTTCCGAGAAGCCGGGGGATTTCGCGGCTGGGGAATAAATACTTGCAAATCCTTTTCCTCCCCTTCAATGGAAGCTCACATATAAACGTGTACAAGAGCCCTCCGATTCGGAACTCGTAAAAAATGCAGTCTTTCCCTACGACACGACCTCGGTCATCTTCTACCTTCTCCCCCAGAACCAGACGATCGATCGCTTGAGTAGAAAGAGCAGCCTCCCCACCGACGACGCTTCTGATTCGTACTAAACACTGCTTGCTGCATGATCATAGAGGAGAGCACTGCATCATTCCCACTCAGCGGGCAAACCGCGCTAATCTTTCCCTGGGCAACATTACATAGATAGAGAGAGAGAGAGAGAGAGAGAGAGAGAGAGAATAGAAGGGGTTTCTCTAACAGCTAGCTACCTGGACTGTGCAGTTCGATCGATCGCGTCTGCATCTCTCTCACACTGAGAGCAGAGGTACAAGGACTGGTTGCTGGAGGGCTCAGACGGCGGCCTTGCGCAGTTCGCTGGCGCCGTGGGCGAAGTGGCAGCGGTCCCCGAACGTGCAGGGTCCCTTCGCAAAGTTCTCGCAGAGCTTCGTCTTGTAGTTGCTGCCCGGTGCCGCCGCCGCCTGCCCGGTGGGCGCCGAGCCATTCTTGGACAGCGGCGAGGGCATCGACGAGCTGATGTTCACTATGAGCTCCCGGACCATGGCGCTGGCCTGCTTGATCTGGTCGAAAGTCCCCTCCAGCTCGATGTTCCTCAAGCCCGGGTCCATCTCGTGCTCTCGGATGGACAGCTTGGCGCCCGTCAGCCGACAGATCTGCTTCGAGTTCACCCCGCCCTTCCCTATGATGGCCCCTGCAAGGGAGGCGTCCACGCTGATCTTGGCAGTGGCCGACGCCCCGAAGCTCGCCGCCGCCCCGAATCCGGACGCCGGCGGCGGGTCGATGCGGCCGCCAGAGCGCCCCCCCCCCGACCCGTGCGCTGAGTGGATGGGCTTCCCGAGCTCCCTCTCCCCATGAGCAAAGTGGCACTTGTCGCCGAATTTGCAGCCCTCCGGGGACTTGTAGTTGTTGCATATCCGAGTCTTCACCGCGGGTGGGGAGGTCCAGATGCGCTGGGGCCATCGGGTTCCTAGAGGGGATCGAGGGGTTGCCCAAGTTGGTCATCTGGGCCACGGCGTTGATGCCGCCTGGTACATAGTGAAGAAAATGGCAGCCCTCTCCAAACGGGCATCCGGCAATGCTGTAAATTAAAAAGAAGAACAGACACCCCAGTTACGGCATGCAATGGCCATCTTTAACATAAAATTAGTAAATGAATAAAGAATCTGATCGTAAGCCTCCAAAAAAAAAAAAAAAAGAGGGACATGCGATGATAAAAGATAAAATTTGATCACCTTCGTCGTCACTTCTCATGGGATTACACTAATAATAGCACAATCAAATCACATTACTTTAAAAGACTACCCATGTGGATGGGGGCGTATGACAATCAAAATGGGTACAGAAAAGAATAAAGAGAGGTAGAATAAACTTATGATCATTAACTACATCCATGGTGAACCTCAGATAATCGGCACTGATCGAAGATAGAGCAGGATAAATAAAAGGTGGCTACCAAGTGTTGTCATTAAGGAGGCACAGCAGGGATCCCAAAAGACACAACAAATACAAGTAATGTTTGCAGCACGATAAACTCTACGTTCTTTGAAGATCTCACAGCCATGAGGATGCGGCGAACACTAATAAAGAGGGTGGCTTGCGACTAATCTTCATAATAATAATAATTACTACTACTGCTACAATTACACAAAAATCTTCAAAAGATAAGGTTTATACTTGGCTCGGTCCCACAGCTGAATTAAATTAAGACAAGGAATGGCCCCGTTCCCTGATAAATGAGATACATCTGCTCTCGGAATGATGCAAAGTGATAAAAGGCAAACAATTCACACAAATGAAAGGCATGCAAACTTACCCAAAAAACAAGTCCACGACAAAACTACAGCGAAATTATAGGATACACTCGTCGCTTACTAAAAATACAGGACCATTCTAATGAACAAAACGAAGGGAGTGGATTCCATTGATTTCAAATCCTGATGATAATATTAACCTTTTTCAACATGGCAAATCAGGGACACGATCCCCAAGCCAAGGAAAACTGACACCTAGTAAAAGACTCCCATCCCATAATGAATCTTGTAGAGGATAGAAATTGGACTAATAAAGAATATATAAATTGCTGGGTTAACCATTATAACTTATCAAGGATGGTACGACTACAACATAATCAGACAGTTTTTACGATACCAAATCTAAAAAAACTTTGAAACGACAGCATGCCCACCAATATAAATGTACCGATTATTTAAACAAATACAAGGTGGCCTCAACCAGATGAAAGAAAAATTAAAGTTCAAGGGCATCGTTTTGATATGGTCTGAGTAGAATCAATAACACAGAAACAAAAGATGTAAAATGTAAAAATCAAGAGTCGAATCAACTCCAGATAACCGACCGAGGAAACTTAAGAAAACAACTTTTCACATAAATTTTTTAACTCTCGAAGCAACTCACTGAGAGAAAAATATCGTTTGTACTCATTAAAATAATATAAACAAAAAAAACAATTCAAATACATAAATGTAATATAACTGTGATAAAAATTCCAGTTGACCAGATTATGACGCAGCTTTATCTAATTAATGGGAAATATTATAAGGCCAAATAGATAAGGTTCAACAACACAAGTCGGGATCCTCATACTCCGCACAAGTGCCTAATTTATAACGAAACCCTCCAATCAACTTATAGTGGAAGGAAAGAGAGAGAGGGAGAAGACACCTGGTTGGGGCAAACTATCATCCTTGGAAACTCCAAGTAACTCAAGAAGGGAATAAAAGTGAAGGGAATAGTGAAGGAAAGCAAAAAGGTTCTCCCCCCTAACTCGAATTACAAGGTGAACCGTAGAGAGAGGAGATGAAGGTTGCCCATCAAACCTTCCTTACTCCGAAGCTGTTAACCTCATCACATCTCAACCCATAATCGAAGAATGCTATCAAAGGTAAAAAAATTAAGAATAATAGGCTGATAGGAATTTCCTTTATCATATTATATGATCAAGAATTAACCAATAACTGCCGAACATAGGACTAAAATGTTGCATGCATAGGACTAAACTGCCGAACAGATATTTCGCTAAATCTGGCCAAATCATTTACTCCAGTCCGCTAGTTAAAAAAAAAACCGCTTAAATCGCGTATAGATGCAAACGAAGAAAACTACTATAAAGTAGGAAGCATTGATGCTAAGATCTGCTTTAATGTTTTTGCATTTCAACAATCTGAATTCATCTGTCTGGCAGATGGAAATTTTCAAGAAACACACAAAAAAGTGCTATTATACAAAGTAACTCACTTAACAGGGCATTATTAATATTGTCAGCACAATATCATACATCAAAGACATTATTTAGATTCCCATGGGAATTGAAATACAGCTATTAAACGTTCACGGTAAGTAAAAGAATAATAATCGTATTAAATAATCAATGCACGCTGCGAAAAAATATCAATTATTTGGTGGAAGAGGCTTTGAATTAATTATTAGCTTTATTTAACAAATAATATTTGCTCACAGAAACACTGAGCGCTGGAGTACATGCATCTACAAAGGCATGAGAAAATCAGATGAAAAAAAATTGTATGTGCATGAACGAGAGGAAAAAACAATGTGTATTCATGAATATGGGTGTGCTGTAACACGTGAAATTCAATCCAACCAAAATGCTTCACAGACATAATCAGAAATTATTTACTCATTTCAATTTCAACTTTGTAATTGATTGCTTAAATACATTCCATATTCTTCCCAAAAAAAATTGTCTTCCAAAAAGAATGAGACAAGAGACACAGACAGATTTACTAGAAGATCCAATCACATATAAGACACACAATGCCAATTATAATTATCTTTTGATGCCAGGCATAGTTGCCAGTTCGAGTTACAAGTTGCTTCACGTATTAGTATTTGGAGGTTCCCATGGCGATCATCAAATTACCCAATCCAATCCTGTTACCATTAATTATAGCACGTGGACCTGTATCACAACTTAGATGATGAATTCATTAGTTCCGCAAAAAGTTATCTTGCTTAGAAAAAAACGAAAAAATGTTTATTAAAACTATTATGAAAACGATAAATTTACAGTGAGTGTTCATCTTAGATGAGTTAAGATTGGAACCTGAAAAACTTGGTACATGGCTTCGATTTGCTTCCTACACCAGGTTGGATGGACTGCATTTCTGTTGCATGACATTAATTACTTTTTTTCAGTTAGATTTCACTGGGTTATTAATCTTGAGACTTGAAAATTTTCAAAAGTGCCATCCATTCTGTATATCATTAAAAAGATATTCTCACATCTACTGAAAGTTCAAATGATTACCGATACAATCACATACAAGGGAAAAGGGAGACTAGGGAAAGTACACGCCAAATTAATTAAACATAATACGGCCCATGTTATCTACTAAAAAATAAGGAAATAAATAAAAAAATAACCACCGCAATACTTTCAGAAGCGAAAGCTTGAAAGATAGGATGCTAAAATCCGAAAATGGACTCAAAGAAACCATTCTCCTGGCTGACAACTTCCGCCAGAAAAAGAGATCGGGCTTTCAATTTTTTTTTTTGCGAGACAAGAATTGAGACTTTCGATTTGAGAACTGCTACGAGGATAGATGCGAAAAATATAGATTGAAACATTCTTCTTCCTTATCATACAGGGAGCACCAGTGAATGATATACTTTAGGCAGCTTTCACAAACAGATGTCGTCCCTCGCAAACATCCTTCGGGTACCCATTCTGCGTGGGTGAACGCTCAAGGAAAGATGATACCGTTCAAATAAAACCACGTTAAGTGCGGATGATTAGGTATCAACATTATGAGCCTCGCTATTGTGTCCAATAACAAAAGAATATTCTTAGAAGAAAATCCACCATCATGAAAATGGAAAATGCCAGGACCAAGGGCGTAGGCGTCCTGCCTGCTCGGACAATGGGCGATGAATATTTAATTCGTGTAAATAATAGTCGGCGGTTACGCAAACAGCCAGATGCCCTATTGACTAACATACCAAGAATACTAATAAAGTCGCCCAAATGAACCTGAGACTTCCCAGTCCAAGTTAGAACCCTAATAACATCAAGAAATACCCCGCGGATAAATAAAGTAACTGCCAAAGCAACCGAACAATTTAATGGCACGGCCAACCCATACCTTTGCTCTTCTTCGATCCGACAGCTCCGCCATTGCCGTTAGCGGGGGCATCGGCTCTCCCTCTCTTGCGAGTGAGTCCGGAGGAATCCATAGAGAAACAGATCGGAACCCAAAAAACGCAAGGAAGAACTGTAACACAAGAAGAACAAGGCGGCACAGGCACAAATCCTTGCCGCGGGTGAACCCTTGCAACCAGCAAAAACCCTGCAAGATGCAGAGACGCTCCCAGATAAACGTGAATCGAAAACCCTAGGGTCGGATGGGTACTCGATAAGAGAAAGAGAAGTATTGGACGGGGGGAATCTTGGCTTCGACTTATAGCGGTCGGAAACGAGACGTCAGAGTTAACTCCAATTAAATCGACACTTGGAGCCCGACAACGTGTATGGGCCGACCTTTAAATGGGCCTCAAGAGCTGGGAAGTCGGCCCGTCCGGGATTTCTAGATATGGGCCTTGAAATCAAGTACAGAAAAATAAAGTCGGGCCGATGACTTACAGGTTCCTTTTATCGTCCCAGACTCTCTCTCTCTCTCTCTCTCTCTCTCTCTCTCTCTCTCTCCTCCTCTCGTTGAGTAAAACTAAATTTGCCCGTCGTATCCAGGATATAGTTATTTATTTATTTATTAATCTTCGTGTTATTGTGGCTTCAAAAGATCCGGTGTTATTAGATTTATATCCTCAGCATCCAAGGATCACCCGTATGGATTAAATTATTTGGATTTATATTCTCCTTACGTGGCCGCCGCCGCTACATCCAACTCGGGGAGAAAGAGAGAGAGAGAGAGAGAGAGAGAGAGAGACGATGGGTCAAATCTCAAACGGATTGAAGTTTAGATAGACGGCGCGGGTCAACCCACACGTTATTTATCACACTCACGCGCACACAAAATTACCAGAAGAGATGGTGGTTGACTTCTAGGGGTTCGGGGGTGGGGATCAGGCCTCTTCGAGCAGGTCTTCGGCTCTCCTCTCCCCCCACACGCTTCTCTCCACTCTGATGCGCTTGTACCAGGTAGCACAGAAGAGGTAGACGAGGAAGTCGGCGGCGGTGAGGAGGGCCAGGAGGAAGAAGAACCTGTCGAGGTGGCCGAGGTTCAGGTTCCTGGGGATCCAGCCGGGGCTCGTCTCGCCGGCGGTGAGGTCGGCGACGACGGTGACCAGCATGCTGCTGAAGTAGTTCCCGAAGGAGATGGAGGCCATGCAGAGGGAACTCCCCAGGCTCTTGAGACCATCGGGGGCCTGCCCGTTGAAGAACTCCAGCTGACCGACGTAGACGAAGGCCTCGGAGGCGCCGATCAGCGCGTACTGTGGGACCTGCCAGAATATGGTGAGGGAGCTCGGCAGGTCCGGCGCCGCCACCCTCCCCAGCCGCGCCAGCTCCACTAGCCCCGCCACCACCATGGACAGCGCCGCCAGCAGCAGCCCCACGCCGATGCGCTGGAGGTCCGTCAGCCCCCGACCCATCGCCGGCACAAGGACGCGCTCGTAGAGGACGATGAGCACTAGCACGCTGAGTATATCGAAGACGGACATGCTCGATGGGGGGACGTGGAAGTGCCCCACCATCGTGTTCATCCTGTCCCCCTGCTCCACGAAGAGGGAGGCCATCTGGGTGAACACCACCGAGTACATGATGGTGCAGACCCAGATGGGGAGGAGCTTGAGCACGCATTTCACTTCTTCCACCTGGGTGATCGTGCAGAGCCTCCATCGATTCTCCCCCACTCCGCTCCCCTGGCAGTCCTCGGGGGTCAACGTCGCCGCCTTGTCCAAGAACCTGAAAAATGAAAATACTCCATCAGACGGCGATGGCCAAGTCCAAGCTCTCTGTCTCTGTCTCTGTCTCTCTGTCTCTCTCTCTCGCCCGGTCGCTCTATTTTACAGGTTCAGCAGGTAATCGTCACCTGAAATCTTGGCTGTGGAGGATCTTCCTGCTCCCTGCGATGGCAGACTGCTTCCCTTCGAGCTCGTACAGCTCCGCCCCCTCGCGGGGAGGCACGACGTCCCACTTCCTCGCGGCGGCGACGAACACCTGAGAGATACGGTTCAGGGGGTTGCCGCAGGGCTTGAAGTGCCTGTACCGCCGCCGCCCCGAGTAGAAGAGCAGCAGGGCGGCGATGGCGGAACCCGCCGCTGCCCAGAATCCCGTCGTCCACTTTCCCTCGTCCTCGTAGTAAGCGAGAATGGTGTTGGACAGCAAGGAGCCCCCGTTTAGGGCGAAGTAGAAGTAGGTGAAGAAGATGACTTTGGAGTGCTCCTCGACGGGATCATTATCGTCGAATTGGTCCGGTCCAAACGTGGCGATGGCCGGCTGGTAACCTCCATTTCCGAAGGCGATCAGATAGATCGACATGTAGAAGAGCGAAGTTCCGAAGACCGTCGCGGGTTGACACTCCAGCTTCCCGTCTCCGCAGTCGGCTGGGTTGACCAGAATGAACCACGACGACAGAGACAAGAGCACCAGCCCCTGTCAGTTCAACATAGAGAACTCACAGATCACGACCACCCAAGTCAACGTTCCCAAGAGCCAGAGGTGAGAAATAGTACCAGGATGAAGATGATCTGAAAGACGGCGCAGGTCAGATACCGCCCCCAATACGAGTCGCTCATGAATGCGCCTATCAGGGAGAAGATGTAGACCGTGCCCGTCCACTTGCTGACGTTGTTCGCAGCCTCGGCGATGTCTTGGTGAAGAACCCGAGTCAAGAACAGCACCAGATTCACCCCCACCCCGAAGAATGCGAGTGTCGCCAGACCTTGATTCGCTGTGTTTTTTTCAGACGAACAACATACACCACAGAAATCGAGTAAGAACCGAAACAAAAGAGAAATAGGTTTCGGTTTGATGGAAAGGGGAAATCTCCGGTTCTAGATACCAAGTAAGATAGATGCCGAGTTCCATCCTCCAGACAGTCTTTTGACTGCGGGGTTCCCTTTCCAGTCAACGGAGCCATCCTCTGTGATCGCAGACTCTGTCCTCCCTTTCTTCTCCGTGTATAAGCTTTTTAACCTTTCGTCTCCCTCCTGACGGGGGCGGGGAAACAGTATACTTATGCGACTGGGAAAGCCAGTAGAGTGGGGGTCAAAGCCAAGAGCAAGGCATCCAGAAGGCGAACCTGAAGGGAGTCAACCACCTTCTCCGAAGCATCCATTGCCTGAGAAAAGGAAAAAGGAAAAAACGGTTGTCATGATCCAAAGAAGATCAGCGAGCGATCACAGGTTCTACCAGATTTCTGTGAGGTGAATGATTCTCTCTACCGGGTCAGTGGCACGGGATTTGCTGGCTCTGGCGACGACAAGGCGGACGGGAAAGAAACCTCTGATTCCAGTGACGGTGAGGAGACCGCGACAAGTTCGAGGTTCTCGTTTCCAGCGACGGGAAAGAGAGCGCGATGTTGAAAGGAACCACGAGCTTCTTCTCGGATGCCAGAGGGAGAGCGAGATGACCCACGGATGAATCCCGTTCCTGCAACTCTATTGTCATCAGAGTGTGGCAGCCCCAGATGTGCTCAGATCTCGCTCTCTTTCACTCTCTCTCTCTCTCCACCCTCTACCCTCTGCCACTGTCTCACTTTTTGCCTTGCAATCTTCTCTCTGACTCTGCCTCAATGCAGACACAGTACTCCTGATATGCCGTTGCTGCTGGCGAGTACCCACGGAGGAATCAGCGGAGACGTTTGTCTGAATGAATAGCTCCGTCGGCGAGAGTCGACAACAGAGCCCGTCCCCCCTCCTCAGGAACCGAGTTGAAGCTCATAAATGACAAAACCTAGAAACCGTTCAACGTGAAGACGATCTTCCAAAAACACATGACGTCACGGAGCTCCACAGAGCGGGATTTGGATCCTCTTGACGGAGAGAGACTCTGTCCCGTTAGAACAGGGCCGACGACGACAGCCGGCATCGTCCAACAGATCCCGATCTGTTTTCGAATGCTGCAAACGGCCGAGGGGTGTCATGACGACTCCAACTCGACCGTCTAGTCGTCACACTTCACATCCCTTTCGGTGGAGCGTGATGCCCACCGCACTGGACATACTGACCACTCCGACGAACCAGCTCGGAGAGATCGACGGTAAAAACTAAGATCGAATTCAATCGAGATGCAATGAGGATGGCGGATCCTGACCTTTTTCACTCCCTCGATGTGCTTGCAGATTCTGACCTCGGCGACGAGAAGGCGGCCAGCTGAGAGATCTCTGTCTCCGGCGACGGCAAGGAGAGCGCGGCGAGGCAGCACGACTCCGGCGACCGCGACGCGACTGCGACGGTGGAAGGGACCACGATTACCTCGGGAGACCGGAGGAGCGCGGCAGATTCCGATTCCGGCGGCCCTGTTGTCATGAAGGTGTCACAGCCGTCGGCCGTATCACGACGATCACCTTCTTCCTTCAATTCAACTCCAACAGAATCCCACCATTCTCTCTCTCTCTCTATCTCTCTCTCTCTCTCTCTCTCTCTCTCTCTCTCTCTCGCTCTCTCTGTAGCTGCTTGGGAGGTAGTCGGCTGATGGAGGAGGAGGGTGGGTTTTGTGGAGAGGACCGCGGAGAGAGGTGGGGTACGTGGCGGGTGCTCGAACTGTCTTCTCCGCCGGAGGTGCATGCCGGCTGCCGGACCGGCCACACGTTAGCAGCGGCTTCCGGGGTCGGGGACCGGTCCCCCCTCACCTGGCGGAAACGCCTGCCCAACGCGTAGTTTCCGGACACGTGGCTCCTGCTTCTAAACGGGCCTTGTTCTTACAGTAACAAGGTCCGGCCCATCTACGCGTTGGGCCCTACTAGGTCACGTAGGGAGCGTGAGGCCTGGTGATGGCACAGTCGCTATTATGTGGATTTCGGAGGGTGGTTTCTGGGAAGGTCTGATAAAGGCTTCCCAATTCGGTCTGCTTCCTCTCCTCCAGTGCCGGCGGCGAACTGGAACGGCGCGGCAGAGAGCCTCCCGCTGCTCAATTGGTAACGCCAGCGGTTTCCTTTTCTTGTCCGCGGCTGCTCTGCCAATATAAGAAAGAGGGCAACCGTGCACAGGGATGGGTCCCATGGGCGCCTAGGGTTTTCTGCGGGTTTGGTGGCGCCGCCGGTGGAGAATCGATCGATTTCGTTGATTGGGGAGGAAGATGAAGGCGTCTCTGAAGTTTCGAGACGAGGAGAAACCTCTGCTCAGGGCGAAGATCCCCATCAGCGTGCTCGGGCTCCCGCTTCTCTCCGGGGCGTCCGCCGGGGAGGCGAAGGACCTCCGCCTCGACATCGCCACTGCCTTCGTCTCCGGTCCTTCCTTCCGCGTCTCCTACCGCCCTAACGACTCCTGGTGCCCCTTCGCCCTCGTCGTGAAGACCGGAATCGGGGCCCTGGGGTCACCTTTCTCCTCCCCGATGACGATGAGCGCCGAATTCAACATCGTCGGCCGTGGAGGCCCTAGCTTCACGATCCAGCTCAAACCGCGGTTCGGGGATTTCTGCTTGAAGAAGACCACTCGCTCCGCCGCCGCCGCCGCCGCGTCGCTGCCTTTCGTCCCCGGGAGTACGAGCGGCGTCGTCCTGGACGCCGACGGCGAGGGCTCTGGCGACTGTGCAGATCCCCCTGGCGTGAAGTTTCTTCCGGAAAACGGTCTGTTCACCTCGACGAAGCCCTACGGGATGTCGACATTGAACCCCGGCCCCGCCGCCGGAGGTATCCACGGCTTGGTCTCCGGAGCAGAGCTGACGGCCGGGAGCGTCCTCCCGCTGTGGAACCGCACGGTGGTGAAGTTTCGGTGGGGACTGCGCATACCGTCCGATCACCGCTCATCCTTCGCCGGCGACTTCGGATCCATCAACCCCATCAGCAGGTTCTGCCTCCACAAGCTTCCCACACTGGTGATGAGCAAGATCTCCATCGAACACACCTCCGCAGAGGACAAGTCCCAGGAGAAGCCCTCCGACGACGCGGAAGCGAGCTCCTCCGTGCAGGGGCAGCTGGCGTCCCTGCGAGCGGAGAACGGGAGTCTGCGGAAGGCGGTGGAGGAGCTGCGCGCCGACATCTTCGCCCGCAGGCCCGATCCAGTGACTCCCGCCGCTGTCTCCGGGACGACTACCTCGCGGCCGGAGATCAGAGAGCGCAGGGCGTGGGAAGCCAACAGAGCCGCCGCCAGATCGGCGGAGCTCGCCCGGAACAGCAACGACACCGGCAGGAAAGGTGAGGGGAAGGCGCCGCCCGAGGCGTCCAAGGAGGACGTGAGCGAGGAGCTCCGGAGGGCTCTCATCGGTGCTAGCGGCGGGCACTGAGTCTGTTCAATCTTCTTCTCCAAAAATAAATTCACTTCATATTATCTGTTAATAATAATAATACCCAGAATTATATTAGGAATGCGAGATTTTCTAAAATGAAAATGTATAATTATTTATTTCTAATCAGTTATTTTTTTAAAAAGTAGCTGCTTCAAAACGATCGGATCAGAGCTATATCGAGTGAGCATGCGCCGAATGATTATATCGGACGGTTGACACCCGTCCACGGAGGTGATTCGAAGTAGGGGGGCCGATTTTCCCAATCAGGCGATGGCGACTGGTGCAGCATCACCATTTGTGGCCCCAAATCGGATCTTAGCCGTCCCCTAGAGGGACCCCGCCGTGATCCACGGGGAATCGGGCGGTTCAGGTTGAATCTCTGAGTCGCGCCATCGGATTTCAAGGTGAGGCGATGCGATCGGCACCGCACGTGGTTGAGGCTGTTTGCAAAGCAAGAAATCATGAAATCTTGGCGTCGCCGATCGGCCACGTTGATCTGCTCGTCGAAGGGTAAAGTCGTCACCTTACACACGCTCTTTTTGGGAATATTTTAAACGTACAGGGGTGTTTTCGGAATAATCTGCAAGTGGATGGGCCGTCGCCGTAAGAGAGAGAAATCCGTGCCGGAGCGTAGAACCCTGAGACGCTCTCCTCCTCAACACCCATACTCGATTTGGAGAGAGAGAGAGGGAGAGATGGAGAGATGGAGAGGGGGGATAAAGAAAGAAATTTACAAGAAATCCAGGCAAAGAACAGCGAAACATTAGTGAGAGGGCAGACGGGGGGAGGGCGGAGGGGGAGGTGGAGAGAGAAAGAGAGAGAGAGAGAGAGGAAGGGAGGAGTCCCCGTCCCGGGGAACTAGGGTTTGCGAAGAGGGAGACATGGGAGGGTCGAGATGAGCCGCCATGACGAGATCGGCCGACCCGGACGAGGAGATCTGGGGTACAAGAGAGGAGCTCCTGCTGGCAAGCGCCGTTAGCCGGCACGGGGCGCAAAACTGGGACTCGGTGGCCATGGAGGTGCAGAAGCGTAGGCCCATCGCCACTCTCGTCACCGCCCAGACCTGCGAGAAGCGCTTCCACGACCTTCAGCGGCGATTTACGGCAGAAAAGAGCGGGATCGACGGCGAGGACGCTCGCGGCGGCGCCGAATCAGATACGATCTCCCTGCTCGAGAAACTCCGGAAACTCCGTGTCGCCGAGCTCCGGCGAGAGGTCGAGCGTTACGACGTTTCCATCTTGTAAATCCACGGCGCTCTTAATTTTCGCCTAGTTCTTTGCCGATTTTTCTTCTCTAGACCGAGGATCTGATGTCGGCTGGTTTGTGGTGGCGATTAGATCTAATTTGTTATTTTCTCTGGTATTTATTTCCTGATATCTCTGCCTTTATCCAGATCTCTCCAATTGAAAGTGAAAGAGCTCAAAGAAGACCGCGAACGGACGCTCCCCGAGGAGCAGCATTCTGGCGACCGGGCGCCGGATCCGCCGGAGGCCGAGGGGAAGAAGAAAGGCGCCGAGTCGCCGATGCGCTCGACGGAGAACGCCGCCGCGGACTGCGCCTCGAACGGGGACATCGGCCGCTCCTGCAGCGAGTCGAACTCCACGGGACAGAAGGCCACCCAGGATTCCGACGCCGCAACGGACGGCAACCCCGACGGGGCAACGGACGGCGCCGGGAGCAGGGACCCTGCGGCGGCGGATCCGGTCACCGGGGACGACGAGAAGCTCGCCGGTGAGGGCTCCTACAACGGGAGCTCCGACACGGTGGCCAAGGGCACGGAAGCGGCCACCCCCCCGGATGAGCCGGTGGCGACGAACCCCGCGAACCGGACGGACGCGGGCGACTCCGGCGAGTCCATGGCCGAGTCGAAAGGGGAGGAGACTTCCAAGGAGGGCAGCGACGTTCAGAGCTCGGCGAGCCCCTCCCGGCGGCGATTCTCGCGGCGGACGGCGGGTTCCGGGGTCAGCAGCGGGGGGGACGACGCGGAAGCCGACGAGGTCTCCCTCCCGTCCAAGATCATCGCCGCCGCCCGATCTCCACCCTTGGCGGCGTCCTTCCTCGAGACCATCCGGTCTTCCAAGCTCGGTTCCACGTTCGAGCGACGGATCGAGTCCCAGGTACTTTTTCCAATTCTAGCAAATCCTCATCTCCTCCTCCCCTCCCCGGTCATCCATCGAAGAACCCACCTTCTCCCCGTTATTCATTAAAAAATATTTAAAGTAAGTACGAAAACTTATTTCCGCTGATTTTTCCAAGAGATGACGCATGACATTAATATCGAGAAAATAAGATCGGGCCTCCTCCCCTGTATCTTGTGGGAGCCGGCGCGCTCCATCTGGGATGCGCTGTGGAACGTGGGACCGATCTGTGTCCGTTCGATCTCGATCAGGACTGTGATGATCTCTCTTCTGGACCTGGAGGGAGAGAAAGAGAGAGAGCCGCAGCAGTTCTGCTGTCCCCTCGGCACGGGATAGTAAAGCTGGCTCGGGCCAGCTTATATCGCTAGTAGTGCTAGCGGGGCCCAGTTGGCGACCGTCTCGTCAGGAGACGAGTCAGCCGATCCGAATCGACCCAGTTCGATAGCCGTCCGTCGGTCACTCTCTTTTTAAGCTTGCTTGTTATCATTTATTTCCGTGCTCGCTGTATTCGTCTTTGACTCTCATCTCTCTCTCTCTCGCTATGATCAGGAGACGACGAGGTACAGGAGCTTGATTCGGCAACACATGGATCTGGCGACGGTGCAGGGGAAGATGACGGAGGGGTTATATACGCGGGAGGTCGAGTTCTACCGCGACTTGCTGCTGCTCTGCACGAACGCGGTCGTCTTCTTCCCCAAGGATTCCACGGAGCACACGGCGGGAGTGCAGCTGCGGGAGCTCGTCCGGAATCAGATTGCCGTCGCGGTTCAGAAGGCCGCCACCGCGGTGCCCTCCACGGCGGCGGCCGAAGAGACGGCTCTCCCGCCTGCGCCGACGTCGCCGGCGGGGCCGCCGGCGGTTCCCGTGACCAAGGTGGAACCCGATCTCTCGGACTCGCATCTGGAGAAGCCGAGTTCTGACACTCCACTGGTTTCTTGCCGGAAACGGAGCTCTGTTTCTACTGGGAAGGCGGCTGCGAAGGTGGCGGCAGAGCCAAAGGTGGAGGAGGAGGAGAAACCGGAGCCGGACGAGGAAGAAATGGAGAAGACGGAGAAGAAGAGGGCAGTGAAAGAGAGGTCGTCCGTTGTGGGGGTGAGACGGTTGAGGACCGGCAAGGGGAGAAGGAAGGCCAACGGAGCGGGCAATAAGAAGAGCCCCCCCGCGAACTCTGTGCCGGCCGCGACGGAGAACTCATCAGGGAGCGCGAAGTCGGAAACGAAGAATGCCAGCAGCGGTGCCGCCGGCAACGCCAACATCTCGGCAGCGAAGAAGAGGAGCGCGGTGAACTTCTTGTCACGGATCAGCCGCAGTGCCGCGGCGTCCTCCTCCAACGGGACACTTCTGGAGACCCCGAAGAGCTCCTCTGGGAGAGGGGGCAAGGCGGCCGGCGGCGAACAGAAGAAGGGCGGGAGGAAGGAGCAGAGCCCAAGGCAGGGATCGGCGGCTGCGGGCTCGTCGGGTAAGCAAGCGCAGGAGCAGAGCGTCCCCGTGAAGCGGGGCGTGGGAAGGCCCCCCAAGAGGCCTCCGCCGCCGCTGCCGCTGCCACCCGCGAAGAGAGGGAGGGTGGCCGAGGCGGACGCTCCGCCACCCCCCAGGGCGGCGGCGGGGAAGAAGAGAGGGAGGCGATGATCGCCATGGTGCCGCCTTTTTCTGTAAATGCTGTAACAAAACGGGGGGATCTAGTGTAACGTAACACCCATTCTTTTTAGACTGGCTCCATTCATCTTCGCCGTCACCCTTCTTCCTCACCCTGGTTCGTTCTAACCTTCTCAAATTTATGTGGAACTTCTCCTTGACGGAAAAAATGGATTTTTTTTTTTGTTCCTGGTCACGAAGATCTTATCTTCCCAAAATGAGATGCCCAGCCCGTATAAACCGTGTAAATTTTCAGAGGGAGACTGATTATTTTCCTGCGCAAATATTTTATAAAATATTGTAAAAATAAATCGGCTCTCGATAGCCACCATTCGCGGCTTTGATTTCTCTCTCTTCTCGGCGGTGAGGTTAGCTGGCGGCGGCGGGGCTTGGGGGTTTGGTGGGTTTCTTCTCTTCATTGCATTCTTCTACGCCATCGAGCCCGACCAGTTGCCACCCCTAATCGAATGGGGACATCTCTATCTGCCATCTCTTCATCTCCTCCTCGGCGAGGCTTGAATCGCAGGGATCTGCCTTCTTCTCGCTTTCGACCCACCTAGATTTGGGTATTCTTACTTCGACACTGTCATCTTCTTCGATCTCTCTCTCTCCCTTCTTCCCTCTCTAATGGAGACTCTGAGCGTGGAGACCAGTGATGGGGTCACGATTCAAGCTAGGGTATTCACACCGGCGGATCTCAGAAGCGAACGGGTGGTCGTCCTCGTTCACCCATTCACCGTGCTCGGTGGATTCCAGGGTTTGCTGAGAGGGATAGCCACGGGGCTGGCGGAGGCCGGGTACAGAGCCGTGACCTTCGACATGCGGGGGGCCGGTAGATCGTCCGGGAGGGCTTCCTTGACGGGATTCGCGGAGATCGAGGACGTCGTGGCGGTCTGCAGATGGGTGTCGGAGGCGCTGTCCCCGGATGGGATCGTTCTCGTGGGATCTTCTGCTGGTACACCATCTTCCCTACCCTCCCCTCTTAGTCTCGTCTTTGCTTTCCTCGGCGATCTTGTGCGTGCTCGGATGATACATCCATTTCGAACATCTACCAATTCGCTCACCCTTTCGCTCTGGAATTGCCGCATCTCTTGATTTCTTCTAGAACAATTTCATTGCGGGGTGGAGATCTTTTAGATTCTGCTGGACAAACTGTGGTTTCTGTGAAAGAAGCCCTGGAATTTTGCTTCCGCTAGTGATTTCTACAGGCTTTGGACCTAATCCTGTTGCATTTGAGTTTTCTATATGAAAACAGCATCCCCACTGAAAACCTGCAACCATCTTCACCCGACTGGGAACATCCGCCAAGAAAATGGGGCGGCTGCAACAATGTCTCAAGATCGGACAAAGATAAATGGATGACACTAACCTTCCAATTCATTTCAGATTCATGGACATGGTTTGATTTCTGCATTCACATTGGGGCTTGAAAAGTTGAGGATTTAATCCACGGCAACATAATCTCCGCTTAACCCGTAGTTCATGAAACAGGTCCGGTTTCATGCTCTTGATTTGGAGGGGAACCTTCCTCCTTGAAAATGAGACGAGCTCTGGAAGGTCACGTAGAAACCATCCCCATCAAAGTTTTCAGGCCGCTCCGAGCCATTCGTAGCTGTAATACGGAGTAAAATCGAATGAATCGAAAGCCCATTTTTAGGTTATTTCTGTGAGGGAAAGTCAACGGGGAGCCTGGCTGTCCGAGAGTTCTTACAGAGCCAGTTGGGAGGCGGCTGGAAAATTTCCTGAACTTTCTAGGATCCAAGAACCCATTTCAGATCTGCTGTGAAAAATACGATCATTCCGAGGAGTGGAGGAACCCCAAATACGATCTTTAGTATAACTCGAAAGATGGGCAGATAATTGTGGCTTTGAGAGAAAAAAAGAAGCCCATAATTGGTGGTCCCGGATCTGAGCAGCTAGGAACCGTTCTTGATCGATTCTTTGTATGAACGATTTCCAACTCACTGCCTAGTTTATTCAATGATACGATGAATAAATCCCTGTTCTCTAACCCATGATGAATCTCTCTCTCTCTCTCGCTCTCGCTCTGTTTTTTTTTTCTTTTACTCTGGGGATGCTCTAGGAGCGACGATCGCGGGTTCGGCCCTCGACAAAATCGACGAAGTTCGAGCCTACGTGAGCCTGGGATACCCCTTCGGCTGGATGGCTTCCATTCTCTTCGGGCGGCACCATAAGGCCGTCCTGCAGTCGGAGAAGCCCAAGCTCTTCGTCATGGGCACCAAGGACGGCTTCACCAGCGTGAAACAGCTTCAGAGCAAGCTCAGGTCCGCCGCCGGGCGCGTGGAGACCCATCTCCTCGAGGGAGTCGGCCACTTCCAGATGGAGGGCCCCGCTTACGACACCCAGATGGCCGGCGTGATCTCCGCGTTCATCGCTTCTCTGTAATTCGGATCCGTGCGGTAAAATAATTTGCATTTTCCCGATGTTCTCCAGCCCCGAACTTTTCTGCCCCCGTCGCAATCCTCGGTGATCTCTGTGGCGATCAAAGCTCTGATTTTCGGAGAACCCATTTCCGGCCGGGTAACTCGCAGCCGCTGGAAAGCCAAGCCATGGAGGCTGCGGATTTCTTTTTATCGGATTAGCAGTTTACGCTTGAATCGTACAGGTGGTGTGGTTGAGGTGGGGGCTTCCTCGACCTCGTTTCCTAGGGAAGAAGGGGATTGGTTCCGTCTGGGACTAGAGGTCGAGCTGTCCGAAGGCGACCACTAATTTGTTCGCTGAGTCGGCGGACTTTCGGCTTACGGCATCGCCGATCGGACAGGATTCTGCGTGCCGCGCTGGATGACCACTTCCACCTCGCGTCTCTTTCGTCATCTTCTCGTGCCTGCCGCTCCGCTCTCTCTGGGCTGCCCACCTCTGCGGCTCGCGTGGTTTCCTTGGACATTGGGGGCTCTCTCTTCTGCGCGGGGGCGAGCTGGTACGGAGATTCGTGGGCTTCGCTGACTCGCCATCCATGGGGGAGAATCAGGCGGCGGAGCCACCCGCGACGACTATGGAGCGCGTCGGAGAGTCGGCGAAGAACAGTCAGGAGAGGGCAAAGCTGCTTCGCCTGGAGGAACTGAACTGGGACCACTCCTTCGTGAGGGAGCTGCCGGGAGATCCCAGAACGGATTCCACTCCCCGAGAGGTAAACTTCTTTTGGCCATCGACGTTGACGAACACCCCGACCGCTGTAACTGTTCAGCAGAAAAAAGCCCACAGAAATTCGTTTGACGACTTTCTGTGACTGTAATCTTGGTTTGATCGGCTGTTACGAATCCTTTTCTCACTCTACTTATGAGAGCAAGAGCGGCTCTGAATAGCGATCACTGAAACATGGGAGCTCTTGGTGCCCACCACTAGAATCTCCGGTTGCCCTTTCATGAAACACACGGAACCACAGGAGTAGAAATTATTCGAGCTACCTTGCTCTTCCGTCGTGGCAGTGATCGGTTGTGTGCTGGTAATATCTGTGGAGCATCTGGCTTCTGCAGGAGTTCATACGACGTGTTGGCACGAACCTTTGTGGGGGGGGCATCTCCATCAGTGAACGAAGTTGCTTATTGCTTCCAATCTTCGGATCAATTAGCTTGGCAGCAGTGGGCGGAAATCGATAGTTTTTTAATTGAAGTGACGAACTGTTTACTATTTCATCAAAACCTTAGGATTTTGAAATGGTGTGGTTAAGCGTTGCTGGATATTAGCTAAGGCAAGGGAACTACAAGGGGCTTATTTTTTTCTTGCCGCGTCTGAGTGCTCACTGCAACATACTTGGGATTCATTTCAGAATTGGGCCAAAATCACAACTATTACCTGATCTGATTGGACACCATGCTTGCAGTTTTTTTTTTTTTAAAAGACTAAGTACAGCGCTTTTGTTCAGGGCTTTATATAATATTATCAATAATCAATTCGGAAATTACATGGAGAATCATCTCCTCGAATCTGGCTTGCAGGTTGTAGGTGCATGCTACTCAAAAGTATCTCCTTCTGCCAAAGTGGGGAAGCCTGAGCTTGTTGCTCGGTCCGAGTCGGTTTCTGAATTACTGGATTTGGATCCTGCAGAGTGAGTCATCGTGCTACTTGGCAAAAAACTAAGAACATCTCCTGCTGGTCGTGTCTTTGCCATGCAAATTATCAAGTGTCAACAAGGTTTAATGCAGGACGCTGTGGCCATTCAGCCAATAAATCGACCGTGAAAGGAGATGCTGCTGCGATTAGGAGATTAGCCACAAAATTCTGCACATCTTCGGGGATTGCTCGACTCCCATCGTCGATCATACTAATCATTTCCTTATATCTAAATGAAATCGGAGGTTTTTCCTGGGGAACTTCGATTTTCGATGTACGCGTGTGCTGCCTTCTCATGACCACGCCCTCTGTTATTTCAGATTCCAGAGGCCGGATTTCCCTGCGATATTCTCCGGAGCTATACCTCTGGTTGGAGGGTAAGTGTGAGCTTTCTTCTTCCTTGAGATCGGCGATTGGTATTCTGTTCAGGTGTTTGCTTGAATTCATCGTCGACTCAGAGTGTCGGCTTTACAGGTTGCCGTACGCCCAGTGCTATGGAGGGCAATGGTTTGGTATGTGGGCCGGCCAGCTTGGGGACGGCCGTGGAGTCACCCTTGGGCAACTGGTGAATTCTCGCGGCGAGAGATTGGACCTGCAGCTCAAGGGCGCCGGGAAGACTCCCTACACCCTCCAGAATGCAGATGGCCTCGCAGCCCTGGGCGGCAGCATTCGTGAGTTCCTCGGCTGCGAAGCCATGCATGGGTTGGGGATTCCCACGGTCCGGGCTCTCTGCCTCATCGCCACTGGCGAACTCGTCTACCGGGACGTGTTCGATGAGTACGCAGAACCTCCTCTTCGTTGTTCTACCTGCAGTTTCATACATTTTCCATCTTTAGATGAATGCAATTTCTGTTTTTGTTCTTGTTGTTCTTGGTTCTGAATCCAAGGAAAAATATGGAAGCTCTTACATCGACTCACCGTTCGAGCTGAATTGCAGTGGGAATCTGAAGCAGGAGCCCGGCGCGATCGTGTGCAGGGTCGCCCCGTCCTTGCTGAGATTTGGTTCCTTCCAGATTCACGCCTTCAGGGGCGGAGAAAGCCTTGAGATCATCCGCCTCCTGGCTGACTACGCCATCCGGCACCATTTCCCCCACCTCGAGAAGACCCACAAGAGCGAGGCCCCGCGCAATAAATATGCAGGTGATGATCTTCATCACTGCCACGCTTTTAGATAGCAGGAATATCGCGAATAACTCAGTCAGATGTCGACGATGCCAGATTTGGCCGTGGAAGTGGCGGAGAGGACGGCCTCCTTGGTCGCCGGCTGGCAGGGCGTCGGCTTCACCCACGGGGCGTTGAACACCGACAACATGAGCTTGCTGGGTCTCACCATCGACTACGGGCCCTTCGGCTTCCTTGATGCCTTCGATTCGAACTACACTCCGAACACGGTAGACCTGCCGGGAAGAAAGTACCGCTTCGCCAATCAGCCGGACGCCTGCTTGTGGAACGTAGCCCAGTTCACCAGTACCCTGTCAACGGCCAAGCTGATTACAGAGGATGAAGCCAACCAGGCCGTAGGGAGGTGAGCCGGTCCGACTCCTCCTGCAGGGTTTCAGGACTGGCTGGCCCCTGAATCAGCTTCTTCGTGTGGTGGACAGGTACGGGGACAAGTTCATGGAGGAGTACAGGTCCATAATGACCAGGAAGCTGGGCTTGCCCCAGTATAACGAGGAGCTCGTCAGTAAGCTCCTCACCAACTTGTCTGTGGATAAGGTCGACTACACGAATTTCTTCCGCTTGCTGTCCAACGTGAAGGCGGTGGTGGCGGCGGCGGACCTGGATGAAAAGGACCTACTGGCTCCTCTCAGGGCTGTTCTGCTGGACATCGGCCCAGAGCGGGAGGAGGCGTGGATCAGCTGGGTGAAGTCTTACATCCAGGAGGCGAGTGTGCTCGAATTTCTGCTCTTTGAGCTCCGTTTGCGTAGATTGTCGGAGCTTGATATGTTCCTTCCTACGGTGGAGTGGGTGGGGGAGTGATTGATCTTAGTGGGTTCTCTCTCCTGGTTGCGCAGCTGGTCGCCGGCGGCGTTCCGGACGAGCAAAGGAAGGCCACCATGGACGCGGTGAACCCTAAGTACGTGCTCCGGAACTATCTCTGCCAGAGCGCCATCGACGCTGCCGAGCAAAGTGACTACGACGAGGTGCGGAGGCTGCTGAAGGTCGTGCAGCGCCCCTACGACGAGCAGCCGGGGATGGAGAAGTACGCGCTGCTGCCGCCCGCCTGGGCCAACCGGCCCGGTGTCTCCCTGGTGTCCTCCTCTTGAGCTCTCTTATTCTCCTTCTTCATCGGCAGCTCCGGTAACTGCCGAAGTGTTTATAAAAACGCGAGCTCTCTGGGATTAAGACACTGGATAACCTGGGACGGCTTGATGAAGCTCATTATATGCTGTAGATGGATAACCTGTAGGAAAATTAATCTATCTCCTGGATTCATTGTGACGGGGAGGGAGATTTTGAGAGCAATTTTAAGAGAGAGGAGATAGAGAGAGAGAGAGAGTGAGGGGAGTTTTTTTTTTTCATTGCTCCCTTAGGATTAAGGTATTTAACCCTGAGGAGACATTGTATAATGATGCCCTTAGGCTAAATGGACCGAGTAACAAACCCCATAAAGTTAGAGCATAGAAAATTTCTCATGTTCAGCGTGGAAAAAATGAGGTCCAATTGATGACGAGGAAGTGACTTGGTAAAAATATCTGCTAATTGATCCTACGTAGATATGTAAAGTGTAAAGATCTTCTTGTACACTACAATATTTCTAATAAAGTAACAATCCACTTCTATATGCTTTGTGCGCTTGGGGAAGGTCAGATTATTAGTGATGAAGGTGGCCGTTTTTTTGTCATAGTAAATGAAAATTGACATTAACACATAAATATTAAAATCTTTAAGAATAGATGTCACCCATAAGAGTTCACATGTAATATGGGCCATGGTTATGTACTCACATTCAACACTAGCTTACAAAATAATATTTTATTTTTTATTTTGCCAAAAAAAATGCCTTCAACATGTGTACAAAAACTTTATGAGTACATCATGTCTTGATGAGTACTAGCATAATCTGCATCAGAATAGCCCCACATATAAAAGTGATTGTGATTCACGAAATAAAGACCATTCCTTAGTGATGAGTTCAAATATCTAAAAACTTGACAAACTTAAGCTTAATCGAACTCCTTAAGATGCTGTATTAATTGGTTCAATTGGTTGATTGTAAATACAATGTTAGGTCTTGTCATTGTGAAGTATAAGAATTTTCCCACATCCAAAAACTTTGAACTATTAGAGTCACCAACTGGTTCTTGCAAGTCAAGAAGAATAACAATAAGTTTACTACCAACCTATGCATCTCATGAAGAAGATCAAGTACATAATTTCTATGAGAGAGAGAAGTAAATCATCATCCATATGGCTCACCTCAATACCAATGAAATAATTAATAGGGCCACTATCCCTGATAACAAACATAGAGTCTAGTAATTCTTTAGCTATACTAATTTGATCATTGCTCGTGAGTAAAATATCATCAACATACACAATCAAAATCACAAGGCTAGAAAAATGATATTAGGTAAAGATTGATGATCACATAAAAATTATATAAAATTAAAATTTTCTATTTAAAGCTCCATATAAACCTCTTCATATAAGTCATCATATAAGAATTTATTTTTAATATCAAGTTAAAAAAAATCTGTCAATGAGAATTTACTATAACTAAAAGTAATATTCATATAGAATTCAAGTGAACTACAAGAGAAGGTTTCAAAATAATCAACACCATATATTTATGTAAAATCTTTTACCACTAATTGAGTTTTATATCTTTCAATATTTGAAAGGTATTTGAGGGTAAAAACCAACATACATGAAAAACACCTTGGGGTATGTTTATAAGATCTCATATTCATATGAAAATTAGAGTTGACATTTTACTCGTCCATAGCAACCTTCCACAAAAGATGATGTAATGACTATGGAAAATCTGATAATTATTATAAAAAAAAGAGAACTTTTGCATTGATGTAGATAGATGGTTAAAGGTCATAAAATTAGGTAATTGACAAGAACAATAACATTTACAAAAAATAAACATTGAATCAACATCAAGAGGGAGAAAAAGATACATGAGACTTATCTCCATTAGAGAAAATAGTATTGGGTAAAGTAATAATGTAATCAATACTAGTAAAGGATTGGTGGTGTGATAATTATAGTTTAGGTAATGAGTGGAGTAGGGAACATAGATAGGTAAGGGAACCTAATTATTAGTAGTCATTTCATCAGACCTCATGTTTTCAAACTTATATTGAATGTATGTTCAAAGAAGGTGGTGTTAGCACTAATATAATATCTATTTATAATTAGATTATACTAGTGGTACCCCTTTATAGTCCTTGAATAATCTCAGAAAAATTAGTTAAAAATATGTAAAGATAATTTATTTGTTTGAAAGGTGTGAACAAAATAGACAATCAAATATTTAAGGATCGAGAACTGATGAAATAATTTCATTTATAAGAAAAGTTGCATTAAACATAGGTAACAAGATATGAACATTCATGTAAAATATGATAGTGTCATGTCACATCAAGTAAATGATATAACTTACATTCAATATAAGTTTGAACACATGAGGTCTGATGAAATACTTTTAAGAAAGTGAAGAAGGTAAATAATTTCATATTTCTAAACATATGAATACACTAGAATATTGAATTTTTATTTCCTAGAAAATATTTTAATGAGTATATGAATTTCATATTTCTCTTTAAGCATATAAACCTAAGATACTCTATTACAATCATCAACCAAAATTAAAAAATAGTGAAACCCCCTAACACTATTAATTTGACAAGGATTTTATAGATCAATATGTACTAAAACGAAAAGAATAATTTATATTTTATTCACTTTAGAAGAAAAAGAAAACATGTGGTGTTTGCTAAGTTGACATGTTTCACATTAAAAGAACTCAAAAAAAAGAGATATCCAACTATTGAGAAAGTACCGCTACCAATCTTTTAGTTTTCTAAGGATCTTGTAGGACAAAAAGGGATCATAAAAAATAACACAATAGTTAAAAGATATTATTTTACTAATAGACAATAGACTCAAGGTAAACTTATGTGTATGCATGACATTAGTTAGAGAGAGTCTAAAATTGAGATTTAGTATCAGTGATAAGTGATAAGAATCAATCAATAATTTTCACATGGAAAAGATATAAAAAGAATTTATAATAACTTAAATAAATAAGATGCTAATTTTTTTCAAAAAGAGACATACTAATGATGTGGGAAAAAATGTCAAAATTTGTAATTCAATTAGAATCACAAGGATTTACAGAAAAAATATGAATAAATGACTCATCAAAAACTATAGTTGCAGTAAATGAGACTAGGTAATATTTATATAAAACATTATCCTTTTCATTGAATCAAAGTATATTGTATTATTATCTAAAAATGACAACTTCAATCAACTCTTATATACTTACAAATATTTGATTTGTTCGATGTTTCAGATGTATATTTAGATAATCATATTTGACCCTACAATTATAAGAAGAATAATTAGTTCCATGGTAATACTTACAAAATAAACTACTTCATCTATGACCTTGATTGATATTAAGAGACTGATGTTCTTTTACCATATTAGAAGATACTCCTCTATCTTACCTTTAAGTTGTAGTTATAACTAAATAAGTTAATTATGTAATCGGGTTTGACATCTTGAATCTTGATAGATGAATATATATTTGAGCTAGAGTAAGATTATTTTTCAAGTTTCACTGATCATTTATTTTTTTATACATAGGGTGAAGAGCTATTAACAATTTTAATGACTATATAACCTCTTTTATTTGATTATTTTGACAAAATCAATAAAAATAAATTGGCTGGTGTATTGTTCATCTAATAGATTATTAAGAGAGCCATAACATTTTACTTGTGTTATGATTCTCTTCTTTAATGTGTAGATGCCCTTGATCACCTTATAAAGATATGTAATTATTCGTAGAAATAAATTTCATATGATACTTTACATATTTTTGTTGATTAATGCATCATTACGTAGTTATAAATTGACTCTTTGATGTTTGCTCAACATAAATTAGCTCTCTAATCATTATTAACTTCCTAATTTCAGTTTTATCATTTGACTTACCATTTTGATGTAAACATATGCTCTTGTGAGATCTCACAAATCATAAAAAGAAAGTTGATTTTTTTTTTTAATACCATTGAGTTTGACAATGCTACCCTATATATAAGGAGAGACACTTATGATTTGAGTGCCCCAAAACATTACATGAGAAATCACTCTTTTTTTCAATCAGTTCACAACTTAATTTGATCACAAGATTAGAAGATTTGGTCAATTACTTAGAGTAGACTATTGAGATGATGCTTCTAAGTGGACATAAGAATTGAAAAATAAAGTATTGTAGAAGAAAGATATCATCAAATATCAAATGATGAAGATGACTTAGAGTTGTTATAATCTTCAAATAGAAATAAGATTTACAAATTAATCTTCAATTCTTAGAAGCCTCTAGAGGTTATGAAGAAGTTGTGACCTGTATTTTTATTAGAAATGTAGATGATAAGAAGAAATTATAAAAAAATACAATTTAGATGTCTTTTGTCGAAAAAGATCTTCCACTAGTGGTAATGATTATTCTAATGATTTTTCAGTGATGGTGATGGAACATAATAATGGCCTCTATTTATTTTCCTTTCGATGATAGGTCTATTCATATTCACAACAAGAGATCATCCTATTTTGATATAATATTGAAGAATAATTATAGAGAGAAGAGGAGAGAGAGAGAGAATAAATTTTATTTTTATTTTCATTCACACAATCCATCAACTCCCTTTTAAGGTTAAAATACTTTAACACTAAGGGGACATTTAAAAATGATGTATTTAAGCTAAATGAGTTGAGTGGAAAATATATTTCTAAAATGATGGTCTTTATATGTAGTTGCTGAAAGGGTTAGTGGTAGATCATATTGTTGATGCCCTTAGTTTTGATACTATAATGCAAAATTTTATTTATTGAAATAATAAATAAAAATTTAATAAATTTCATGAGCTTGTGTTAAATATTTCATATTTCTAGGAATTATTCAAAATTCATGATGTTAATACCTTTATGATTCCATGTCTAATGATTCAATCCAAAGAGTTAATCTTAATATTTATATATGGTTTGAACCAATGCAACATCCTAAATTATATACATAAGTATAGAAAATCTAATGTTAATGCACATGATAAACTATAAGAAAATTTTTGAAATATCAAAATTACTTGTAAGAATCAAACTCAAAACCTAGATGACCATACATCAAAAGTTTCAGTGAAGAAATACTTAGAAAATCATAAAGTATCAGAGTCACTTACAAGATTCAAACTTGAAACCTAGATGACAACATGTTGGCTTTAATAAAGAAATACTTGGAAAATCACGAAGTAACAAAGTCACTTGCAAGACTTGAACTCAAAATCTAAACATTGACATATCAAATGCTTCAGTGAAGAAATATGCTAAAATCATATAATATCAAAGTCATTTATAAGATTTGAACCAAAATCTAGATGATGACACATTAGAAGTTTAAGTAAAAACATAATTAAAAAATCATGAAAAAGATAGATTATTGATGTGCATTCTAGAGAATGACACATTGATAGATTATATGGTGATAATAGATTAAATGATCTTATATGGACTCAACCTCAACAATAAAAATGTTTGTGACAACAAAAGAAATCTATAGTTAAAAATTGGAATAAAATGGATGAGAAAGATTATTGGCACACATTTTAGACAATAATTATTTTTTTGAGTATGTGTACGTATTTTTTAAGACAAGAAATGATTGGAGAACATTGAAGAATAATAGGAAAATATTTTTTTAAGAGAAAACTAATGAATAGAAAAATATGTCAACGAATATCCATCTCTTTATCAAGGTTCAACTATTGTAAGCTTTAATATAGTATAAAAGGTTACATCAATCCTTTATTAGACATTAGTGATTTAAAACAACATTCATCTCAAAGGTTGATGCTTTCCATCATGCCCTAAGGTGCCTTCCATCTCAAAGATAGTGAGAAAAGAGGTGTTTGGGTTAAAACATGTGGTGTTGATAATATGGTTGTGTCCTTGAAGGGATTAAATGAATGTAATTAGGTTGTTCACCCAATTAAAATCAATGTATTTATGAGTGGTATAAAGGATCATATGGGGTTAGAAGTAGTTGAGGGATGAACCAATATTAAAAACCTGAGTCCTTGGTGATGAAGAGAGAATCATGAGAGAACTTGTATTGAAAGAGAGAGCCTTAAAATAACACATATTAAAAAATAAATGTAAAAAAACTTGTGTCAAAACATCTACTAATAAGTAAAAAGCAAAAAATTGATTTTTTTTTATTTTATATAAACTTAATTTACCCACCCCTTTTGATGTTTCACCTAGCCTCCCTTGAACTTACACATATTACACCTATTTCTTCAAGGACTTTAATCTCTTAGAGCCTCAAATCATTTAAAAATTATTATTTTTAACATCTTTCCAACATTTTGGAGATGTCTTGTCCTTGAGCTTCTTCGAGATCTTAGGAGGGGAAATGACATCTTTATAGATTATTATGACATAATATTTTCTGAGCCTAGATCAATGTGTAGTTGATGTGGTAAATTCTACTTACAATAGAGAATATATTATTGTTTGTTTATTATCGTAAATACCTCAAGTTTTCAATGCTTCACCCTTGCACAAACTTGCTAACCTCCCTCTCTCAATTGTTAGTGGCAATCAAAAGGCTCTTATTCCTTTTTTTGCCTTCAACTCTTCTAGATCAATGGATTCATGAAAAGCCCATAGCCTAGTGGACTACAAGTCTAAGAATCATGAATAATGTACTTTAGGCATGAATCAGCTCAATGCTTGAGATGGCCCATAAAAAATACATCATCAATGTGTCAATAGTTTTTTATTTTTAATTTTTTTTCTTCATTTATTCATCTTTAAGTTTTTGAAATATTTATTAAATATATTTTAAGGTGTTACCATTATTGAACAATCTTTTATAGACATTGTAATAGAAATTTGACCTATTTAAAAGCCTCGCATAATAACCCAAAAGAGATTATTTAGAATTTTGAAATGTTTTCTTCATTTTAAATTTTATCTCTTTACTTATAGATTTAGACATCTCTTTTGTATATTCAAGAGAACCCTTTGATCTTGTGAATTCAAATCACCCTCATGTCAATTGAATGTTGAAGCTTCTAGTGTTGTAAATTTAGAATGAGATAACTTTACATGAATTTAAGTTATTACAGATTTGACTAAACTTCATCTCTACATAACTCCAAACTATTGTAGTTTTGAAGATGATCTTATATTGAGTCTTGATGGATTTTATTAAACTCTTAAGTCAATACATTTGTCCAACTCATGTATTTCAATTAAAAAGGTCTAACAATTATAAAAGCCACCATTAACATATTATTTAATTATAAAATATTTTTTTATCAATTAATAGTAGTGAAATTGAGTATTAAATAAAATTTAAGAATGTACAAATTGGAGTTAACAATGTAATAAAAATTAAATTTATTGTAGAATTCTTTGACATGGTTTTAACTTCATTACTAATGTGAAAGAAAGTGTTTCATTATAAGTGGGTGTACAAGTCAAGGAAAAACATGATGGCGATAATAGATACAAAGTGAGACTTGTCGTATAAGGCTTTCAAGCAAAAGAAGGGATAAATTACATAAGAATTTTCTTTTATGTTGTGAAGTTGATCACAATGGGAATAGTGTTGAGTATTGTGACTATAAAAAAATTATGTGAAGTAACTTAATGTAAAAATAATCTCAATTCATGATGATTTAGAGGAAGATATTTATATGATGCAATCTAAATGGCTTACTATTTGTGATAAAAAAATTAAATATATAAGTTGAAGAAGATCATCTATAACCTTAAGTAAGTACTAAGATAATAGTACAAGAAGTTTTATAAGTTTATGAAGAAGAATAACTTCATGAGATGCAAATACTTCATTGTTGTTATTTGAAGAAAATTGATAGCTCTTATAACAACTTAGTACCTATGTTCATAATATATTTGATTACAAAGGTAAATATGTAGAAAATTAAGAAGTTAAAAATGAATTAATAAATATATTTATTATAAAATATGAGTGCAATAAAATAATTTTTGGGGTGAGAATCAACTGTACTCATAATAAAAGTGTTGATTTCTTGTGATTATTTGAAGAGATAATTTCAAAACATTTTGAGAGGGTGCTTTACATATTCAATATGGAAGTAACAAGTCTTGGGAGTATCCCTTTAATTAATCATTTTCAACTCTCAAAGTGTCAATTGCCAAAGATAGTAAAAAGGGAACAAGACATGTGGTATGTACCATATCACATTGTGTGTGGTAAGCATTATCAATTTCGTGTTCAATTTAGGAAGAGAAAAGTCAACAATTGTCCCATGAATTTTTTGTTTAAACAAGAGAAACTTAATGCATATTCCTTTGTTTCAACATTAATGACTTCAAATTGTGAGGATTTGAAGATCTACATTTAGGTGGTAATGTACAAGGAGACCACTATCTATCACATCTAACCCTCGGTGGTACTATCATAAGTTTTGTTTCTCCACTGCATAACATTATCTCCATCTCTATCTCTCAACAAGAAAATAAGTATAATATAGTTAAAAGAATAAATAGAAAAATGATTTGACTTAAGAATTTTATTACTGAACTTAGTAGGAAGTAGGAAAATGTTGTGCTGCTTTTTGATAATTAGAGTGTCATGCACTTAACTAATAGTCTCATATTTCACTCCATGACCAAATATGTACAATTGAGGTATCACTTTTCTTGTAGCTTATTATTGGATGGAATTTTGGCACTTGAAAGGGTTAATGTATCACATAATTTAATGAACATGTTGATGAAGATGGTTGTCATAAAAAAATTGAGACTATGTATATGTCTCAATTGATCATCAAAATTACTTGAAAATCAAGAACAGTGTATCGAATATCAATATCTGAGTGGAATCTTGTTGAAGTTGTGGAGATTGATCTTCTATTAGTTCATGTCATGTTGTAATAAACTCTTTGATGAGTACATGGATCCAAATTCACAGTGAATTAGCACGGGGTCCAAGATGACAACCAGATGGACATTGTCCCTTGATAGTGAGACTCAAATGGGGCAATACCCTAAGAAAAAAAAAATATTTTTTTGGAGCATAAATGTCATTTGGTTATAGAGTTTTGCCTTGATCTTGTGTTTAAGAAGAAGAGCGCCACCATCTCATGTAATTATGGCATGCGAATATGTTTTGCCACTAAAGAGGCTATATTTGAAAGTAAACTTGATATGTGTGAGATTATAAACATATGAGATTTCTCTTAACCGAATAAATCTAATATGTTCATATTATCACTATTCTCTCCCTCTCCTCTCTCTGGTTGTTTTGCATCAGATCTACACGATGATACTCCAATCCCCAACATCAACTACATCACAGTACACGTTGCGATTGCCTCCACAACACAGAACACATGAGCTATAACTCTTTGACGTACCTCTAAGACGCACTAGGAGTCGACCACTTCCAGATGGAGGAACCCGCCTACGACGCTCATATGGTCTGCGTGATATATCAGCGTCTACTGCGTCTCTATAGGTGGAACCGTGCGCTGAAATGACGTTCATTTTCCCCATGTTTTTGGCCCCCAACGTTCATTCCCAAGACGAGGTAGGTCTACGAGATCCATGTCGCGATTAAAGATCAGATTTTTCTGAGAACCCATTCTTTTTCGGAAAACCATTGAGACGTAGGGTGGAGTAAATTCTGGAGTTGACTCGTCCGTGGTGGGGAGGGAAGTTGGTTCCATCTGGGAGGGCCAGGAGTCGTCGAGCGGTCCGAAGGCGACCGACCAAAAGGCCCATGGCCAATCCATCCGTTGAGCGGTCTGTCGGCGTGCTGCGTTGCCCCTCTGACTGGGGCTCCAGAGGGCTAATTTCCCGGCTGCGTGGAGACATAGGCAAGGGAAGAGGGCGTGCTAGAAAAGGGATCTGCGGGTCGCGATGGTTGGCCATTTTCACCTCGCGTACCTCTCGCCGTCTCCTAGCGCCTGCCGCACCGCTCTCTCTGGGCTGCCCATCTCTGCGTCTCCCTTGGTGCCGGGTCGGTGTCTCTCCGGGAGGGTTCCGGCGGCGCCGGGCTGGGGCGGCTCGCGTGTTCTCCTTGGACATCGGGGGCTCTCTCTTCTTCGCGGGGGTGAACCCGTGTACAAGCTGGTGCGGAGATTCGTGGGCTTCGCTGAGTCGCCATCCATGGAGCAGAATCAGGCGGCGGAGTCACCCGTGGCGTCTGCGGAGCGCGTCGGAGAGTCGGCGAAGAACAGTAAGGAGAGGGCAAGGCTGCTTCCCCTGGAGGAACTTAACTGGGACCACTCTTTCGTGAGGGAGCTGCCGGGAGATCCCAGGACGGATTCCACTCCCCGAGAGGTAAATTTCTTCTGCCATCAACGTTGACGAACACCACGATTGCCGTAACTATACCTGTTCATCGAAAAAAGGCGACAGAAATTCGTTTGACGGCTATAATCTTGGTTTGATCGCCTGGTATCTGTCCTTTACGCAGTCTTTGTAGGAAAGTAAGAGTGGCTCTGAATCTCGATCACTGATACCAGGGAGCTCTCGGCGCCCGTGACTAAAATCTCCGGTCACCCCCTTTCATGAAACATTTTCACAGAAGCGGAAATTCCTTGAGCTACTTTGCATCTATTATCTGCAGGAGTTCATATGGCGTGTTGACACGAACCTGGGGGAGCTGACGCATCTCCATCTGTTAAAGAAGAAGTTGCTTGTCTTCCAGTCTTCGTTTTTTATTGAACTGTCGAACTGTTGGCTATTCAGCAAAACCATGGAATTGACCGGACGACTGTGCGCATTGGCATGCCCACAGTTTCAGTCTTGGAGAAGTTTGGATACGAAGAACTCTGACCAAGACGGTGCCTTCTTGCAAAATAGCCCCCCTTTAATGTTTAACCTCGGGAAAAAACACTTCTTAAAATGATTTCCATGCCATTTTTGGAAGCATAATTTTTTTTCTGTTGACTGAAACACTGTAGATCATGTTTAGAGTCAGAATGGAGCTTCATTGAGGGGAAAAAACCAAATGACAACTACTACTACCTGATCTGATTGGATACCAAATTTATAGTTTTTTTTTTCAAGACCAAATACAGCGTTTTTGTTCAGGGCTTTATATAATATTATCAATCAATTCGGAAATTACATGGAGAATCCTCTCCTCGACTTTGGGTTGCAGGTTGTAGGTGCTTGCTACTCAAAAATATCTCCTTCTGCTAAAGTGGGGAAGCCTGAGCTTGTTGCCTGGTCCGAGTCGGTTGCTGAATTGCTGGAGTTGGATCCTGCAGAGTGAGTCATCCTGCTATTTTGGACAGTTGTGGTTTTCAGCATGCCTGACGTCCCTTCTCATTGACAGATATGGCTTCTTTAACGCACGTCTCATTTGGCAAAAAACTAAGAACATCTCCCGTCGGTCTTGTCTTTGCCATGCAAATTATCAAGTGTCTACAAGGTTTTATGCAGGACGCTGTGACCATTCAGGAGATAAATCAAGCGTTAAAGGGGATGTTGCTCTGTGATTGGGATCTCATGAGCTCGTTCAGAAAGTGATCTGCTTTATCTATAGTGGCGTTCATGGGAAGGACAATAAGTCTGAGAGGACTGTGCCGGTTCTAGGGGCGTTCGTGGGCTCCCGGCAGGATTTTTCTACCTGCGGTTTCATAGTCTCATTTGCTGTATGACGAAGCTTTCAAGAACAACTGATCCACGGCTTGCCATTGAGCATCCACATCTTGGGGCTCGCTCGACTGCCATCGTCCTATCTAAATACCTATTTCCTCCTATCTAAATAAAGTTGGAGGCTTTTCTGGGGAACTCTGATTTTTCGATGCGCAATTTTGTTGATTCCACTGTGATGCGTTTGCTGCTTTCTCATAAAGAAAATGCCATGTGCAAGTGTTCATCTTGGGCGACCGCCTTGTACTTATTTTCGAGCCCTCTGTTATTTCAGATTCCAGAGGCCGGATTTCCCTGCGATATTCTCCGGCGCTTCACCTCTGGCTGGAGGGTAAGTGTAAGCTTTCTTCTTCCTTGCGATGGCTGCTCAGTGGTCTGTTCAGGCGTTTGCTCGAATTCATCATCGACTCAAGCGTGTTGGCTTACACAGGTTGCCATACGCCCAGTGCTATGGAGGGCATCAGTTCGGTGTGTGGGCCGGCCAGCTTGGGGATGGCCGTGCAATCACCATTGGAGAACTGGTGAATTCTCGTGGCGGGAGATGGGAACTGCAGCTCAAGGGCGCCGGGAAGACTCCCTACAGCCGATTTGCAGATGGCCTCGCAGTCCTGCGCAGCAGCGTTCGTGAGTTCCTCGCCAGCGAAGCCATGCATGGGTTGGGGATTCCCACGACCCGGGCTCTCAGCCTCGTCACCACGGGCGAACTTGTCTACCGGGACATGTTCTACGAGTACGTCCCTCCTCTTCGTTGTGTTACCGGGAGTTTCATACATTTTCCATCATTAGATGAATGCAATTTTTCTTGCTGCTGTTTGGTTCTGAATCCATGGAAAATGTGGAAGCTCTCACATCAACTCACCGTTCAAGTTGAATTGCAGTGGCAATCCGAAGCAGGAGCCCGGCGCGATCGTGTGCAGGGTCTCCCCGTCCTTCCTGAGATTTGGTTCCTTCCAGATTCACGCGTCCAGGGGCGGAGAACACCATGGAATCGTCCGCCTCCTGGCCGACTACGCTATCCGGCACCATTTCCCCCACCTCGAGAACACCCACGAGAGCGAGGCTTCGGGCAATAAATATGCAGGTGATGATCTCCATCGCTGCCATGCTTTCAGATATCAGGAACATCGCCCAATTACTCACTAACAGAGGGCGATGATGTCAGAATGGGCCATGGAGGTGGCGGAGAGGACGGCCTCCTTGGTCGCCGGCTGGCAGGGCGTCGGCTTCACCCATGGGGTTCTGAACACCGACAATATGAGCTTGCTGGGTCTCACCATCGACTACGGGCCCTTCGGCTTCCTTGACGCCTTCGATCCGAGCTACACTCCGAACACGACGGACCTGCCGGGAAGAAGGTACTGCTTCGCCAATCAGCCGGACGTCTGTTTGTGGAATGTCGCCCAGTTCGCCAGTACCCTGTCAGCGGCCAAGCTGATTACAGAGGAAGAAGCCAACCAGGCCATGGAGAGGTGAGCCGATCGACACTCCTGCAGGGTTTTCGGACTGCCCAGCCCCTCTGAATCAGCTTCGTGTGGACAGGTACGGGGACAAATTCATGGAGGACTACAAGTCCATAATGACCAGGAAGCTGGGCTTGCCCCAGTATAACAAGGAGCTCGTCAGTAAACTCCTCACCAACTTGTCTGTGGATAAGGTCGACTACACGAATTTCTTCCGGCGGCTGTCCAACTTGAAGGCGGCGTCGGCGGACATGGATGAAAAGGACCTGCTGGCTCCGCTCAAGGCTGTTCTGCTGGACATCGGCCCAGAGCGGAAGGTGGCGTGGATCAGCTGGGTGAAGTCTTACGTCCAGGAGGCGAGTGTGCTCGAATTCTGCTCTTCGATCTCCGTTTCCGTAGATTTTCGGAGCTTGATATCTTCGTTCCTATGGTGGGGTGGGTGGGGGAGTGATTGATCTTTGTGGGTTCTCTCTCCTGGCTGTGCAGCTGGTCTCCGGCAGCGTTCCGGACGAGCAGAGGAAGGCCGCCATGGACGCGGTGAACCCCAAGTACGTGCTCCGGAACTACCTCTGCCAGAGCGCCATCGACGCCGCAGAGCAAGGCGACTACGACGAGCTGCGAAGGCTGCTGAAGGTCGTGCAGCGCCCCTACGACGAGCAGCCGGGGATGGAGAAATACGCGCGGCTTCCACCTGCCTGGGCCTACCGGCCCGGCGTCGCCATGCTCTCCTGCTCCTCTTGAGCTCTCTTATTCTCCTTCTCCTTCTTGAACGGCGAACTCTCCGAGATTGTGGCACTGGTTTTCTGTGAGGGCTGGACAGAGCTCACCATATGCTGTAGATAGATAACCTGGAGAAAATTTATGTCTGTATGTATCTTCCGGATTCATGGCGATGGAGAGGGAGGCCTTCCTGGGAACGACGAGGTAGAAATATGCTTCTACAATGAGGGTTCTCTTGGTGATGTTTCTCGAGGGGTTGGCGGCGGGTCATATCGCGGCGGACCCTTCGACGATCAGGACCCGTCTGATCTGCATGGTGCCCCAGAGCCTCGAATCCTTCGGAAACGTTTATGTTAGGGTTTTACCGAGGTCCGGGGGAGGGGAAGCGACATCTTGGCCTATTATCATGCCCTCAGGTTCTCTGATTCTGGAGCCGCTGAGCAGTTGATGCGCCAAGCTCGGCGTCATTCCGCAATGGAGAAGGCGCTGCTGTCTGCCTGTTCCTGCGGAATCCCTCTGGTTCCAAGCGCCTCGCCTTTGTATAGGCTTGCGAATCTCCCTCTCTCGGCCGCCGGCGGCGGTAGGGAGCTTCTTCTACCCGTCGCCGTCAACTCCGCTGCGCCAATGCATCCTCGGAAAGCTCGGATGCCCCGCGTCGCCCGCAGCGAGGCCCAGGACGCCCTCTGCGATTACCTCCACAACACCAGAAGCTTGCACTTCACCGACGCAGAGCACATGAGCAAGAACTCTCCGACCTTCCTTCGGAATCTCATTGCAAACCTCGAAGGCAACCAGGAAGTCGGCCGATCGCTCACCAGGTTCCTCCGCTACCACCCCATCAACGAGTTCGAGCCGTTCTTCGAGAGCTTGGGGCTGAAGCCGTCGGAGCTTCCTCAGCTCCTCCCCCGAAACTTCTTCTTCCTCAGCGACGACTACGCCATGCTCGAGAACTTCCATGTCCTCTGCAACTACGGAGTGCCGAGGGGGAAGATCGGGAAGATTTACAAGGAGGCCAGAGAGATCTTCGGATATGGCCGAGGTGTGCTTTCCTCGAAGCTCTCCGCCTACGAGGCGCTCGGTCTGAGCATCCCCACCGTCATCAAGCTGGTAGCCTGCTGCCCTTCGCTCCTGATCGGCGACGTCCACCGGGACTTCCTCCAAGTTCTTGGAAGGCTGGAGGACGCGGGCATCGGGCACGACTGGATCAGGCGGTGCTTGTCCGAAGATAATACCTACCGCTGGGATCGAATGCTCCAGATGCTAGAGTTTCTGGATCAGATGGGCTGCGACGAGGAGGATCTGGAGAGGCTGGTCAGAGAGCACCCCAGGTTTCTGTTCGACAATTCCGGGAAGAAGATCTACGTGCTCGTGGCCATGTTACTAAAACTAGGCGCGGGAGTGAGCAATGTTCTTCTATTGTTCTCCCACTATCCTCAGATTCTGGATGGCAACGGCGTCAAGAACCTGTGGCAATCCATGAGCTTCCTCCTGAAGATCGGGATGGAGAGCGGGCACATCGCCGGCATCCTATGCGCTCATCCGCAGGTCCTCGGATCCTCCCCGCCCAAGAAACCAGAGGCCGTGCTGTCAAACCTGGACGTGGGCTGCGAAGAGCTGTGCGAGATGATAATCGAGGACCCGCGCAGGGTGAGTAACCTGGTGCCGGAGACGAAGGACGGCCTCGCGAAGGCGGCCGGTGGCAATCATCTTCACGAGAAGACCATCTTCCTACTGAAGCTAGGGTTTCTCGAAAACTCGGACGAAATGTTGGTGGCGATGAGGAAGTTCAGAGGCAGAGGGGACCAGCTGCAGGAGAGATTCGACTGCCTGGTGGGCGCCGGATTGGACTGTCACGATGTCGCCAGGATCGTGAAGGAAGCTCCGTCGATGCTCAATCAGCGGACGGGCGTGTTGAAGGGGAAGATCGACTACCTGGTTCGCGACTTGGGTTATCCCGTGGAATCCCTCTTAACCTTTCCCACCTACCTCTGCTACAGTCCGCGGAGAATCAAGCTCAGGTTTTCCATGTACACCTGGCTCAAAGAGAGAGGCATGGCCAAACAGATACTGTCTCTGAGCACGATTCTCGCAGGATCAAACGAAAGATTTCTGAATTATTTCGTCAATCTTCACCCTGACGGTCCGGAAAAATGGGAAAGCTTGAAGAAGGCCATCTCCTCGAGCTGAGTCTACAGGTTCTTCGTCTATCTGATGCACATCTGAGTTCACAATTTTTTTCGGGCAATCGTCTGAAACCTGCTTCGAATATTTCCTCTGTAAAGCTTGCACAGATCCATGTAGGATAGCAGTCATCTGGAATGAAACAAGCTTTGGTCATTTGAATATGAGATCGTCTTGCTCCAAAAGCAGACGGCTTATGGATTTGCTTAGGGGGTTGATACATTGTTCTAAGATACGATACACGAGGTGTGATAAATTGTCCAGCTATGGAGGATAGTTAAGCATCGGCTACATCCAGCAAAACTCATCCCTCCGAAGAAAACTAGCTGATCTTAGACGGAAAATGTGTAGTCTCTGATCCTCTTCCCTCGCCATGAACCTGAACGTCCGTGCCCTGGTTCTCAAATAGGCTCCTGGCTGCCCTCTCCTGCTGCTCGAACATCTTCTGTAGCTGTCTGCCCTGTTCTTCAATCCTCATTTGGATCTTCCGTTGGATCTGCGGAGCCAGAGATTTCCGGGAACAGAAAGAAGTTAATGGGCAGTAATCTAGATGAATCAGTCCCTGGGAGCGGATCAGTGGAGTTTACTCACCTCCAGCTGTTCATGGAGACGGCTCTGCACCTCCAGTTGAAGTCTCAGGGCTTCTGTCATATGCATTCTGCTGCCAGAAATGTAGAACAGAACAATATTGGGCTGACTTTTGCTCGAAATGATTAAAAAAACTGATTCGAGCCATTGAGAATGTACTTTTTTGGATCTAGTCCGACAAGATGGCCGAAGGAGTCTCTTTCGCCTTCATTTCTCCCTGCAGCACGAAAGGAAGAAGAGGTGCCTTCTTGGGAGTCTGGTGTGTTCTTGGCAGTCCGATACTTCTGTGGAACATGAGATAAAGCGATATGTGATGTTTCGAGCTCTTCTGCAGACGTAGAGATATCATCGTTCGTGTTCTCTGCAGGATTACCTGTAGATGGCTCTTGACATGGCAGATAGTCAGTCCTTCTGACTCCATCAGCTTCAGAATCCCCTTGGGAGTTGCCTCTGCGTTCATCGGGGAAGCCATGTCAGGACGTGTGGCAAGCTCCTACTCCACCATGTCGAGGAAGGCATGGTCAACCCTACTTACTGTCTGCGCCTCCGAGGCGACCCACAGCTTCGACGAAGCGTTCATGGAGCTCCTGCGTCCATCTGATCCGGGTTTTGGGCGGAACAGACGCCCTGGGAGGAGCAGAGCTGGGGATGAGAGGGACCCCCATGAGCGGAAGCTCGAGGTTTTCCCATTTTGTCGGAGAGTTTGTCTCCCATAAGCTGACCTTATCACGGAAAAGAATCGCCATCACGGGAAAGTCAGAAGGAGAAGAGAACATGAAAACACTTACTCTAGGAACTCCGGCACCAGAGCTCCCCTTGCCCAACTCTGGATCACCTCCTGTTACCTCTGCATCTCTGGGACTCTGGTACCTCTCCATCTGAACCTTCACCAGCCATTCGAGCGTATCTTGTTGGCGGGGATGAACATGATTTTCCCTGTCTGTAGAAAAGCTCGGCGGTAGCGAGAAGACAGGGTGCGGATCGAGCTGGTGATCGAACCAGGGGAGACCCATGTGAGGATCTTCCTCCCCGGAGGATTCGAAGCGAGAACCACGAGACGATGATCCATGACGTTTCTGTGAGCTGTCCTGAATGTTTGTCGTGTTCATTTCCCAGACGGAGGCCAAGACCAAAGCATTGAGATCTCCCTCCCTCAATTTTTTTTTCATTTTTTTTTTGATCTCTCTTGTCTCGTCTTATCGGAACACGGAGCTCTGAATCCCCATAACAACAGGAGGAGCATCGATTCTAGAATGTGGTTATCTCATCGCCCTCATATTCCAGGAGACTTCATGCTCAATATTCGAATACGACGATGCATGTTCTTCGGCGGATGGGGATGCGCAGTGGTCGATCCTCTTCGGCCGCAGATCAAACAAACGCCAAAGAAAAGGCACGAGAAGCATCTCGGTTTTCTTTCTAATCCATGATTAAGCAAGTTTCCTGGTTCTGAGGTAAGCAGGTTTCAGAGCTCGGGCGAACCAATCTCATGGCAGCTATCTGCAAGGCGGCGGAATCTCATTTCCCCCGGTGGGAGCCGCCTTGCCGAAAGCCCCTCCGCCGGATGCGTCGGACAAGTAGAAACCTGCTTTGATCGGCAGCCACAGGCTTTACAGGTATATGCCCATGAGCCGTAGATGGGCTTCTTCTTCCCGACGTGCCTTCCGGCCACCGGCCATCCTAGATGGGCTGCAGGTGGTCGGACTTCGTCGGTGCCTAGTTCGTAGAAAAGCGCCACTGACTCGCAGATCGTCTGCTAGTTCGCTGGGTGCAATTCCGCCGGCGTCGGACAAGACGACCTGGTCTCACCTTAAGAGGTGCCGAAGACCAAAATCTCTTAATGCCGTGAGGCAATACAGTGAGCTGTGGCCCCATCTTCCCGTCAACCCCTGGTTTCATGAGCTTCTCAGAACTTACGGGAATGAATTTTGCCAGATGAACATCCTCACAGATGGTTGTAGCTTTTGGGAAACTAAGCCTATCTCACGGCGGCGACTGCGTCGGATGCCGGAGGAGGAGCTGGGCGCCGCCAGGATCAAAGGGAAGAGAAGATGGGGATGCCCGGCAGAGTAGCGCCGGCGTCGACGATGAATATGTTTCCGGTGACGTACTCCGACGAGTCGTGGATCAGGTAGCGGACGACGGAGGTCAACGCCGGATCCGACGAGCCGAACGTCCCCAGCGGGACGGTCCTGGCGGCCACCGTGCTGAGCCATTCCTTCTCCATGAGGCCGGCGGTGATCTCCGACCTGAACAGGCCCGGCGATATCGAGTTGACCCGGATCTTGTGCGGCCCCAGCTCCAGAGCCATCACCTGTCACCCATCGCAAGACTCTTTCAGACAAAAGAATCAACGCCCGGAACCCGCCCCCCAATTGCAGGACGGAGAAGACTACCCTGGTCATGGAGTTGACTCCCGCCTTCGACACGGAGTAATGAAGCCCGCCGGGTAGTTGACCACGATTAAGCCCAGAGATGGACGAGACGCTGATTATGGATCCCTTCCGGCCAGCGTCCCTCATCCGCCGGCAGACGCTCTTCGACACCAGCCACGTCCCCGTCAGATTAGTGGCAAGAATGCTGCTCCACTCCTCTTCCGGCAAGTCAACCGGGGACCGTACGGCTCCTGATCCACAGCCATTATTAGAAAGGAGGGGGGGCTTTTTGATGCTGGAACACCCATTTTCAGCTAAGCAAAATGAATCCCTGAAGCAGAAAATCAACCCCGTTCGGATTTTTAATGCAGGTCGCCCTCCTGGGTTTAAATATTTAATCTTTCTAGAGAGGGAAACCAAATGGATGAGCCCGTTCGTGCACCGGGCCTCTATTTCAAGTGGATTTCCGATCGAACGAAGACATAGCGTCATTCGTGGGAGTCCTGGTGCGAAGAACAGATGCATCTCTCTCTCTCTCTCTCTCTCTCTCACTTGGGTTCTTCAATCAGGGCATCCCGTCTGGGTAATCAATCGAGAATTCCCCAGTTCATATCTCAATCTGGATGAACCAGGCAAGAAATCAATGGCGATTCCCATCATCCCCCGTGGAACCAAGTCTTCTTCTTCTTCGAGGAGAGAAGACCTACAGATTTCAGCGGAAACTGGGCGAGGACGGAGAGGGATACCTCGAACTCCGGCGTTGTTGACCAGCGCGTCGATGCGGCCGAAGGCCTCCCAGGCCTTCTGAACGGAGCGCTCGATGGAGCTCCCGTCGGCGCTCAAGTCGAGCTCCACCGGCGCAGCGACTCTCGCCGGCGGCGGAGCCAACCGGCTGATCTCCTCGCAGAGGGACTCCAGCCGGTCGACCCTCCGGGCGGCGGCCACGATTAAGCATCCGGCTCCGGCGAGGTCCAGGCAGATCTGCCGGCCCAGGCCAGATGAGGCGCCGGTCACCATCACCACCTTCCCCTCCAGGCTCCGCCATGGCAGCCGCAGAGCCCCCTCCTCCGCCACCGCCGCCGCTCCCCGCTCCTCCGCCATGGCCCAAAGCCCAACCCCCCCGCCGATCCCCTATTCCTCTACCCGGGGGAGGCCATTTATCGGGAGCGCCCACCACCACAGCGGTGAGCGAGCTCACGTCAGCGAATACGTCTGCTCTTTCCCTCCTAGGCTGCATTCGGCGGCTGCTCAGTCGCAACTTCAGGAATTTATATAGAAGGCCGTGTTTGGATTTCGCCCAGGTGGTTTCACAATTAGGTAAGCAACTGCTACACCCAGCTCAGGACAGAAGTCGTCGCCCGGAGTCGAAATTTCCGCTCACTCATCTGTCGTACGTTGACTTGGGTGGGAGTCAAAGACAACTGTTCATTTATAGGCTCCGGAAATAAATGGAGAAATTGGACTGCGCTCGGCTGTAGCGGTTTGGCACGTACGACAAAACGGCTCATGCCCACACACCTGCAAGCTGGACCAGGATTGACACGTGAGAAGCGCACGTGGGAGCAGAGGGGAAGGCACGTTAGATCGTTTCCTCGGGGTCGGTTACTCCCACGCGTAGGGGGAGATGGGGTTCCTTATTGTCCACGCTCCGGTTGGCAGCTAAGGAGTGACAGAACGCGCGTGATAAGGTGCTCTCCAGGTGGGGAAGTATCATAGCCGTCACGTCTAGGCCATCCACAGTCAGCAGGAAAGAAAGATAACGGGAAAATTCTAAAATACCCTCAATGATCAAATATATCATGCCGCTGGCTACTTTCGGAGCAGTTTGAGGGTAACTAAGTAAATAAATGGAGCACCAGGGTGAGGCTTTCGAAGGACCTCCTCGTCTTGTATATAAAACCGCGCGGAGGAGGCGGAGGATCGATCTCTCGGAGGTGCTCGACGAGAAATGGCTCGCCAACCTCAGACGAGATCCCTCCGGCAACTCCGCGGCGGCGGCGCCACCTCGCCGAGGGGGGCGGCGCATCGTCGCTCGACCCAGGAGAGGATCAAGTCCATCCTTGAAGAGCATCTCTTCCCCGGAGTGATCCAAGTCGCCGGAGCCTTCTCCAAGCTCCGGTCGGCAGTAGCTGGGCTATTCGGGAGGAGGAAAGACGATCGCTGCGATCTTAAGATGAGGAGGAGGAAGCGGAGGAAGTACTTCTCCACGATCCAGATCGGCTATGGCTGCTCTTCCTCTCCCGTTCTCCCTATGGCGGGGCACCCCAGCGCCATCGGCGTTGATCCGAGCCATCTGTACTACGATTCCACGTGGAATTCGGTGATCACCACCACCTGCGAGGAGGAGGTTGAGTACAGCGTGGAGCCGCACCTCTCCGGGTACCTGCAATGGCTGGAGGAGAGTCAGCCGGAGAACCCCGCGGGTGAGCACGATGACCCCGGCGAGATCGATCGCCTCGCGGAGAGGTTCATCGCGAGCTGCCACGAGAAGTTCAGGCTCGAGAAGCAGGAATCCTACAGGAGGTACCAGGAGATGCTTGCCAGAAGTGTCTAAGGAGAGCTACATTCCCTCCATTTATGCCTGTCTTCGTTTTAGTCGTGTTCGATGCATTTCCAGACAGCGGCTCATCTCTCTCTCTCTCTCTCTCTAGTTATTGCACTCTCCTCGTTACTTTTTACCTGGGCAAAGGACATTGAGTTCTTCACTGGGCTCTGTGTCCATCTTCCACTGGTCTTTCGTCGTTCAGTGTGTGGGGGCTGACGCAGACCATTCTTGCGGATGATGGCGGCGTGAAATATGAGATCTTCTACATCTCTCTCTCTCTAGTCGTAGCCCGAAAACGGCGGTGGGTCCACCTACACAGCTCCCCAGGGCTCGTCTTCGAACGATGAATTCACCAGGAGCAACTCTGTCGGGCCCACATGGCTGCGGTCTAAGGACATTCAACTCCCCCTGCCGATGCCACTCACTTTAACTCAGATCTATTACACTACACCCCCCAAAGAGAGGAATAGAGAGAGAGATAGAGAGATACAGAGAGAGAGAGATAGAGAGAGAGAGAGAGAGAGGGAGAGGGATCCGATCCTCTGACGGAGGGGGCGGCAGTCAAGAGATCCCTTTTGTCTTCCGGTCCTCCCCGAAGGAACCGAAGGCAGCCGCTCTCGGGGAGAAAAAAGAAAGGAAAAACCTACCGAGGCGGTTCTTTTTCTTCTTTTCCGCGATTCTCACCCTCTTTGCCCCTCCTCTCGGGGGAGCCCTCCCTCCCGCCTTTGTGCGCGACTCACAGAGACAAGGAACAGAATCCCAAGGCGGTCCCGGTCCCTAAGCTCCCGCTTTGACCATCTCCCCACAGCAAACGTCATGGGCGTCGGTCACATGACGACCACCCTCCTCGACTAAACATGAGACGACGACTCGGTCAAGGCTCGGCTGATCTTGATCTGTCTTAAGGGGTAGAGAGAAGCCTAATCTCTACTAAAAATGGGTGCCTGAAAGCTAACCCTGCCCTGTCTGATCACCGCGGTCTCTGGCAAGAGAAGAACACTAATAAAGAAAGAAATTTAAATAAAAAATAAATAAATACAGGCAACTGCTATTGCCGTTCTTAATAATATAATTCAAAAAGTGTTTTTGATTGACAATTAGGGAAGGATCATGGCTGGGTAGAGGACAGCTGATCAGTAGTAACTTAGAACATAATATCAGAAATTATTACCCGGGGAATGGGATTCAGCTCTGAAGCATGACTCCCCTGGCAATCTGAAGCTCAAACAAACCATGGCCTGCAACCCAAAGAAAAATGTTAAGTACTGTGATATCTGACAAATGCTGCATTGATCCAATAATAGTGCAAGTATGGCTTCTATTTCTTGGTGCATCAGTTAAGTACTTTACACGGGGCATCAATAATTGTGCCTCTCCTTCAGAACGCGAGGTGCCACTGTAGGAGATTAAGCATGGGAGTGACAAATGACCAGGCCCAACCATCCCTGGAATTACATGCTAATGCATAGCCATCAAAGCATGTACCACAATGCACCATAATTGGAATTTCTTTCATAAAAAAAAGGGCAATTTAGAATCTCCTCTTTGATGCACAGGCATACCAGGCCTAAGGAAAGGTTTTGGAGGTTTATTCCATGACATGTTTCCCTAAATCGTTGTTGTCCTTTGGGAGAACCTGTGAGTAGCACCACAACTGAGAGAATAAACTTTTTTTTTTCCAGAAGTTCAAGAGACTGGCCGAATATTTAAGAGGCGAACTCTAGATTAACAGGTTGAGGATTTAGGATTTAGGATAAACACTCACGATTTGCAAAGCTTTGCTAGACGATCAATGTTATGTTTTATGTTTTGCGTAGATGGTTAAGCAAATCTCTTCCTAAATACATGAATAGTGAAAAAAAAATGTTTAAGCACGGCTAGGAAGCAGAAATAGAGGCACTCCGAATGAAATGAGAAGCAGTATAAGAAGGCCCACGCTTTAGCCATGTTAAATATTGCTGAGGTTGACCATGATTCATATGTATTTTTCTCAATGCCAAATTGCCATACGGCTCGTTGTACAATTTGCGATGGGAGTTCTCACCTTGTTCGGAGCTACATCTCTCACAATATGAAACCGCGGATCTTGTATCTTAGAATCCAACATGGACTCTGCAATCTGCAAGTGAATCAGTAGACTGTCACATAGCAGTAGAGTGTTACCTTCAAACAACTAGCAAGATTCTTAGAGGCAGAAACTGGGGATGGTGTGAATAAAAGAACTGAGAAATTAGTAGAAAAAATGAAATATTAATTGGTAAAGAGAAGCAGAAGCCGCCTTCCTGCGTTTGTCAATTCATTTGGTAACATTCTTAAACACCATCATGATCCTAAACAGTACTAGTGTGGCCACCCACAAATGCTTCTTTCTGGTCTTTGCGTGACTGGTTATTAGAATTCGCTATGTCGAACCAACTTCATGCCACAACCAGTTACAATGTTGTTTATAAAAGAACAGAAGACGAAAAGAATGGAGTATGAAGAGTGTCCTCATCTCTTGGTTTAATTGAAGCTCCGAAATTCAACAACTGGATCATGATTGGGTTGTATGTATCCACGAGCAATGAGACTAGTGGATTGAAGGACTATTTTTTGTTCTTCTCCATAAATTCTCACATTACCCAAACTAGTTGAATTTCTGGCATTTAAGAAACGCAAGGTAGGCGACTCTATTGTAACAACGACTGTAAAATAAAGACTTATTATCAGACCATACCCCAGAACAGATATTCCTGAACAGATACTTAGTATGTACGTGAATTTTAACATAGTTACCACTATAAATCTGAAGCCTACTTTAAGATGTGAAACAAAACAAAGTCGAGAAGAAGCCCAAGACCCCAGAGAGTACATAAAATTAAAGATAAGCCAGAAGCAAGTAAAGAGGAGGCCAAAAGCACCATCACAGCCGTTAGAGGTATGGTGAAACTCTTTTATAGATCTATTTATCAGTGCAAATGGAATCCAGGAATAAAAACTTACAGCTTGCAAGGTCTCTTCAGATTCGTTTGAACGCATGAAGCAGTAGCAATGTATCCATGGTAAGGATCCCTTCCAATGTTTCCTTTCAAGAAGACCCTTAAAAACGTCTGTCGGTTAAAGTATAAACTGTATAGTTAGGACAAAGTGGAGTAAAGAAAAGATACGAAATGGCATTTGAAAGACAAGATAATTGATATGAAGAGCAATTCAACTTGTGGGACAACTGCACCGAGGATCAGTGTTGTGCAAAGAACATTGTTCTCAAGCATGTGAGGTCTATTATCAAGGCTAACTATTTAAATAAGTGTAAAATCGGTAAGTCGATTTCAAAGAAAGGTACACAAGAAGCCATCAGACAATACTTCATTATACATAAAAGGGTTTTCATGACCTTACTGAATCATACCCAAGAAACTAATGCTGACTGTTGTTAGCTGTAATTTGGCATTGATCACCGCTGCTAACTGTTGCCAACCAGCTGTCCCCCGCCCCCCAAGTCCAAACTCCCTTCTAAAATATGATTCGCAAATCTGTCCCAGTTAATTCTGTCCATTAATATCGTAACCTTATTTAGTAGATATACTTGTATTTACACCATTATTCTAGCCTCATAAACCCCAATCGAATTATCCCCACAGAGATGGCAACTTAACTAGGATCTGGCCTGTCCATTCCAGACACCCAATCCGATTCCACATTCCTTGCTTGCTTGCGTTTTCTTGATGTCTTGATAACTCTGATGCAAAGCTGGTGTGCATCCATAGAGTAACAAGAAACAAGGAACCAAAAGGATACAGTGTACTGGGAACTTAAGTTCGCATGGCGTGCAGGATATCATAATTTATTAACATGACCATCCAAGAATCTGAGCAAAAAGGGCCGTCTGACCATGTAAAGACATCAATGCCCGACAAAAAAAGACCTACAAAAGTAAGCTTTCTAAGCTGCCGATTAACACGTCAAAAGTTGGATAACTTAGTGATGTCAAATATAGAGAAAAACACACCAAGAAAGGTAATAGCAGATGCTGGCAGATTCATAATCACATGATCAATATGCTCCCACGTCTTGGAACTGGCTAACTGAGAGCCACGCATCCTCTTCTTTTTTGTTGCATTATACTGATTCTTTGACATCCTGCCACCATCACTTACACTCTGATACCCTGTAGAAGCAAAAAAGTCAAGATGAAATGATGATAGAAACAATCAATCCACTAAACATTTAATCCACTGTGAAGACTCATGCTTAATAATTTGGTGGTCATCTAGAATTAAACGTTCATTTGTGCAGTTTCCCGGATTTTATCTAAATAGCACCCCGGCATAGGTCTCTGAGCTCCTTTTCCCAACACAAATTTTTAAGGGCGTGGGCCACACAAATCTGTCACAAGACACCCCCGTAATAAATAGCACACTTGACCTACTAACTTAAAGTCAACTGTCAGAGCTTAATTATGACCAGATCAACAGAAATTAATAAATGCAAAAGTACATCAAAGCCTCTTTTATACGAGTCTTAACCACAAAGAAAGACGATCCAATGATAGCCAACTTAAAAGCATAAAGAAATTCAGATCAATAAGAACAAAACTGATAGCAAAATGCACAGTAATAACTTTCGAAGTTTTTTAGGGCCTACTTCCTACACCATCTTGCAGTTGCCTCTTAAGAGTAACATCGATCTCCATGCATGGTTCCATTACAACTTGATCTTTTGTGCCTAGATCCAGCTTTTCTTTCTTATCAGCTGCAAAGATAAACAGTCAAATACAATTTCCGACACAAAAAGATAACAACATACTTAGTCAGAGACAATGTACCGGTTATCTTTTCATCTTCAACACCATCTTTATTAGTGGATGAACTATTTGTTTCATCATTGTTTGAGGAATCAACTGAGTATTCTGGCTTATCCAAAACTTGCATCAAATGGCGCATGAATTCTCTAGCATCCAGGTTATATGTACGAACATTGTCCTCTACCTTGTTGATTTTTGTGTTAATTCTTAAATAATGAACACTATCTGGATTTAAATCATTTGCATGAACTATGCAACCCTTTTGGGCGGCTGGAATTGAAAAAGGACCAATCCCAGAAAACATATCACAAATAGTTTCTCCTTCCCTGAATAGCGAGACCAATCTTATATGCTCATGTTCCAATCTTGAGTTCCAATATACCAAACCATAATCAAGCCGAAATGTTGCCCCATACTGCTTAACCTCAGTGACCATGTCTGCTTTTCCAGCTAATATCTCAAACTTTGGCACACGAAACTCATTTGTTATAGTTCCAACCTTATTTACCACAGTTTTGATTCTTGGTTGGTTTTTCTACATCAAGAGAAGAAAAGGAAGGTAATAAGAAACTCTAGTCTTTCTTGAATAGAATTAAAAGGAAAGCAGGGGGGGGACTCAGTAGACCATGAATAAAAAACGAACAGGAAAAAAAATCAGCAAAGATCACCATCATAAATATGAGAATTAATGATCACAGATGATTCAAAAAAAATCAGATGTTTTGAATCATACAAAAACGCAGATATTATCCTCAAAGATGAAAAATCCTTGGACACAAAAACCAAACAGATAAACAGTATAAAATCAGGGAGTTAATTGAGAACTGAAAAAACTTTGAGGTAAAGGAGCCTCTCCATGGTGTGGTCCGTTAAAACGGGGTCCTGCAAGGACTAGAAAAACTCTCTTGTAGGATTTACCCACAGGAGATTCACTCTCCAGATTAGCAGCCCTAAAAGAAACTTTAGAACTAGACTCAACGACCCTCCTCAAAACATTGCTCTATTGGGAAATACTTGTCTATCCATAAAATAAACACAGCTGTATACCAATGGACAATTGTACACCAATGAATATATTTCATATGTGTTACGGGGTTCTCAATATAGAGGAATTCCAATAATGTTCACTCTATCTAAAATTCAATGACATTGTCACAAAAAATAATATACAATCAAAAGAGTTTGTTTCAAAACTTTTGAACAAGAATGTTCATCTTATAAGAGATCCAGCATGTGAGTAGACAATGACCAGTCAATATGAGGAAAATTAGTAAGTAGACGATAAAAATATAATTATGAAATTGATCGCCATCCTTTTAATAATCTCAGGCATTGGATTTTTTAGGACAAACATGTGAATAGATATGCGAGAGAGAGAGAGAGAGAGAGCAAGAGAGGGGGAGAGAGGGTAAAAAAAATTATAATAAGAGATAAAATGAATATGCACGCAGATTTCATAGAAAAAAAAACAGAACTTGAATTAAAATGAATTAATCAAATTCTATGGCTTAACTATCATTTTAATTCAAAGATTAAGACTAATGAAGAGAGTAGACAAAGAGACACGATTTGGACATACCTCATAAATAACCTGTGCAATTACGTCTTTGTAGGGAAGCAGCTCACTTGTGATATTTAAATGAGCAATATGCCCTGGAGATGAAGGCGGAAATGTCAAAAAAGTATTCACATTTAAACAGTAAAAATCGGATGAGAGAAGCTGGCTGAGTAAATCAAGAAAAGATGAAAACAAATATTAAATAAAAAAATGCAAATATTTTGAAAAAAGTTCAAGTCAGCACGGAAAATATTTAACTTTAAAAGAAAGGGCATAGAGAGTACTCAACTATTGTTTCAAATGACGAAGGCACCTCTGTTCCAGGGGGCAATATCTGCCTCAAGATGTAATCTAAAATATACAAAAGTCATTGTGAATTATAGTTAAATAATAATCACCTCCAATAAAAAGCAAACCAACTTTCCGACCTAATGTGAACTCAATCAGGCAGGACCAACTAGTTTGGTTTTCACCCATCCACATTTAAAAGAGAAGAAATGGAGAAACTACATAGAGCGAAAAGAGATACTTTTTTTTGGGGTCCCACCAAAGGAGGCAACGCTGGTAACATGTAGAGCGTCTTAACATTAAAAAGATTCGGCAGCAAAGATTGAAGCAAAAAGAGATGGTTCACATTTTCCACCCACTAAACATATAATCTATAAAGATAAAATTTAACCATGAGGAGCCCGATTATGCACGCCACTTGCATAAAACAACATTAGAATGTGCACAAGTTTGGTGTATATTTCCCGTTGAAAATTCATAACTAGTCTAAGAACTGGGACGCTTGGAATGTGCTTTCTTGCATAAAACGTGAACAGGATAAACTCTTGATAGCTGAGTCATAATGGGACATACTTTCCAAAAGATCATCCAATGAGGCAGGAAGAAAATAATTTTTGAGGTCACGAATGCTACCGACCTGCGCCCCAGTATGAATACCCAAGAGTCAATGAATGCGGAACCACTTCAATCACGCATAATTCCTTCAAAGTTTTCAATGCTTCAGTCGAGATTTCAGATAAGTCTGTCACGTCAAAGGCGTCCTTCTTGAGGAAAAAAATCGTAATGATGAATGGAGTAGAAGGCAATGGCAAGGTGATCCCGTGCTCACTGGCATCATTAGACGACAGGGGACGGTGGCCAAATTCTTCTTACCGGAGTCCTGAATCTTCTCTGATAGTATCAGCAGGCGGTTTTTGTCAGAGGAGGAATCCTCCGTGATGGGCTTGATACGGGGCCTGTCCAGCAGATATCTGCTGGAATGAAGAAACGCGGTGAAACAGGGCGCCTTGACAGACAACCATTTCCGAAAGTAGATAAAAAAACCCAAGAAGGAGTCGCCGTACCCGTTGAGGATGCGGCTCGCGAGGCTGCAGAGCTCTCGAGGAATGCGCAGAGCCCAGAGCTGCAGCTTCACGTCGAATGCTCCTTCATCCAGCAACGGGTGCCGTCTCCCCGCCGGCAAAACTTCTTCCATCCTCTTCTCGTCCTAACGCAGTCGAAAGCATTTCCATCAAACCCGATGGCACGAAACCCGTCAAACTTCTCGACGAATGGGAAAAAAATAAATAAACAGCGACGTCGAATAACCTCCATGCTCGCGGAGCTCGATCTTTATCTCCCGCCTGACCTCCGCCGCCGCGACACAAACCAGCCAAGAGCAAGGGCCACCCGGTCGAGGCTTCCCGGAGAAGTTGCAAACGGAGCGGCACCGCCCTAGGGGTCCAAGTTCGAATGATTCATTCCCAGAGAAAAACGGCTTCTCCCTCTTCGCCCTACTTTGCAATAACCCGCACGCATTTTCTGACACTAATGCCTATAACCCAAACTATTTTTATTTCACAAAGTACCCGAAATGATGACCCCATATTTTGCGATATACCGGGAAAATATTAGCCGCCGGTAAATCCGGTGTAAATGGGCCGTACTGGTCCGGCCCGAAAGTCGCCCATCCACAGCGGGCCGGCCCAATAAAACGGTACTTTCCACCATCCATCGGAGTCCGTTACCGAGGAGCCGAGATATCGGTTAGCGCGTTTACGCTACAAAACGGGGTCGGTCAGACGAATCCGGAGTCACTTGCGCTGTCTCGCCCACGTGGCTGGGGACCACAATCCTTTGAGCAGAACACGACACCCGAAGGGAGGTGAGAATAACCACCCCTTGTACACAACTTCTGTTGTCCTATTAGCGTATAGTATTTTTTATCAGGATTAATATTAAAAAAGGAATACGCGAAAAATATTAAGCCGAGCTCCAGATCCAGTCCTGTAATATCCGCCATTTATACTGGATGATGTATCGACGTCCTTCCTCGTTGGGCCTGATCTGCGGCTTCACTCTCTTCTGCCGCCTCCACCCACCCGCCTCCTCCCCCTGCGCCCTGATGCTTGTTCTCCACTTCTCCATCGACCTCTGGTGCTTTTAGGAGTCGTCTTCCTCCTCCGCCGGTTTGTTTGCCCCTGATCGGAGCAGCGTAGGGTCTGGGAACAGGGGGGCTGTCGAATTTACCCGGAGATATCGCCGGAGGCGTCGATGAGCTGGCGGACGGAGTTTCAGGAGTTCGTGGTGCCGCGCGAGGTCAGTTTCTGTCTCCTGCATCCGTCCAGCGGAAGGGGAAAGAGGATCGCATTCCGAATCGGTCTGGTTGTTTACCTGTCTCCGCCGCCGCCGCCGCCGCTCCCACTGTTCCTTCAGATGACTCTGATGAGAAAGTGAACCGCTCCTGCGGTTGCGGCGTCGAGTATCTGCGTCTCTGAGAGCGTTGTTTAGGTCTGACCAGCATGCTCTTCGAGGCGCCTGGTTATTTTCACTTTCACCTTGAGATTTGGCCGGCCGATTTGTGTGTGGAAAAAATCGCACAAGTGGGTGGGATATATCCGACGAATTGCATGCTTGGGTTGCTTGTGATCGGAAAAGTTGTTAGGAAGAAATCTGTTATTCTTTTTCTGAAGAACGTAGCGAGATCCTATGTCTCTGCTCGTCGTTCCTCTCCTTCTATTCTTCTGTTCAATTTAAGGGTTGCATGCTTCATGTTCTCTTCTGTTTTCGTTTATTAATCTCATAACACGAGAGGCGTCCTCACTTGGATGATCCTTGTCACCCTACGCTTCGAATCTATTCAATTTCTGCAGTTTCCTTCTGGATAAGTGCAGAATCAAAGATCGCGTGTGTGTGGGTGTGATTTATGGATTCCTGACCCTCTATGCGTGTTCCCAATTATCGTTCCTAATCGGCTTCTTGTTTAGTACAGTAAGAGGGGTTTCTTCCTTCATCCTCCCCTCCTCGAGATCTTTTTCTACAACTCCCCGATCATAATATGTTTCAGTCTTTCTTTCGGCCCCTCCGTCCCTAAATACCTGGGCTCACTGTGATCACACACGCATGCGTGTTCTTGAAATCTTCTTTTTCCGAGATAATATCGCCCATATTCTTCATCTTGGCGCATCTTTCTCATCTTGCTTTCGGTTTGCTTGCAAATGACTTTGTATTGGTTTGAACTGTGAAATTCCTTCGATTTACTTTCATACCTCTGTGCTTGATCGCTTCATCTTCGGCTTGAGTTCTCACAGCAGATTTTTATTCCTTTGATCTGCAGCATTTCGCTTCAAATCTATAGAAATCCATCTTCTGCTGCTTTGGGTCGATGGGTAGAGGCAGAGGGAAGGGAAAGAGGTTGACGGCGGTCAAAAGCCATGACCCAGAGAGCGGTGGCGAGGAGGTTCTCCCGTCCTACAGGAGAAGAGGAAGGCCTCAGAAGCCATTAAAGGATGATCTCGACAACGACGAGACTGGGAGGATTGAAGAAGAAGAAGACGACGACGACGACGACGACGACGATGTCAAAGGTGGTACTCCGAAGAAAGAGGCCAAGGGCTCTGCATCAGCAGACAACGGGAAGAAGAGGAAGAGGCCCCCTCCAGTAAAGGACACCACGAGCTCAATCCCAGATGAAATCGGAGCTAAGGGAGCGACCAGTTTTGATGGCTCATTGAGGTCCAGCGGTTTCCGCCAGAACGGAAGCCGGCGGAAGAACACCCCTCGACGCGCCGCCGAAGCAGGAGTGGAGTGCACATGAGGAGGGTATGCACCGCCGCCATTTCCATTGCCAAGAATTTCTCCAGCTCCATTTTCCTTGCTCTCTTCTTAGCCTTTAATATTTAATTTTCCCGTTAAATAATGATTAGTATAGGAGACTCTGGGACCTCTTTGCCTTGTAATATCATCATTATCTCCTTTAATTCCCATTTATTTGGATCTTCCCTCTGCTTTTGGTTCCCTTGGCTGCCGATCCCTCTCGTGTCACACCTTACCATTCCTGGTTGACCCACTTTCCATCTTCTGCTTGGACAGCTGCATCTGTTTCTCAGTCTTCTGCTGCTTCTGACTGGCTTTCTTGCCGTCCATGGAAAGCTAGTATCCGACCGCCGTGTTCATCTGGGTTGCGTCAATTCCGCATGAAAATTGCAAGTTTTGCAAGGGTTGGACCAAATCTTCCTTGCCCAACCTGTTTGTCAGCAGCATGTGGGTTGGTCAACGTCAACCCATCAGCTGATCGCCTGTTTTGTGGGACGACTGAGTGCTCTACAATGCCAGACACAGTAGGTTGGGAAATCGGATATAGAATCGGTCCGGACGAGTTGACCCGGTCCGGTCCGAGTTGTGCGGGGGCAGCTATACGTTGGTAAAAGCGGCACGGCAACACGTTGCCACGGTTATCGAGTAAGTAGCAAAAGGGTCCATCGAATGGACGGTTTAGATTGATGGCGTTATGTGGAAAAGATTTTTCGAGAGCTGGAGCATTTTCCCGCCACAGTCTCCTCGATGGAAAGTGCCCGCGCCAGGTTAGTTGAGCCGCATCCTATCGTGTCGGGACACGTGTCCATCCGTACGAACTCCCAACGGTCAGACCTTCTCCGAAGAGACTGCTGCAGAGTACGTGGGGCCCGCACACCTCCCCCCCCACCCCCTTCCGGGTTCTTTCTCCTCTCTGGCAGAAAGAAGAGTTGGATGATCTCTAGGATTTCATCTTGGTTCCCCATTTTTGGGAGTGCCGCGATCGGCCGGGTACCCCACTCATCTCATGCTTGCCACAGGAATATTAGCTTATCGAGAATCTTTCGCTTCTTCCTCGGCCCCCTCAGAGCAAAAATGAGTGGAATAAGTCAGTTGATGTCGCCGGTGCTGCTCTTCGTGTCGCTGCTGGGTTTGGTTTCGACAGAGACAGATCCTCTCGACGGTGATACCTCTTCTGTTGTTTCCTGGTGTTTCTTGTCTTTCGTTCTTGAACGAATCAGAGTTTTCGGCGTGCTTTCCTTTCTGGTCAACCAAGAAGACGGTTATAAGTATGTTTCTTTTACGCCTGCGTAGCATCGGGGTGGGGAGGAATTGTTCGGTCGTGGATGCAGCAGCCCTACTGTCGTTGCTGTTCTCGTCCGGCTTAATCGCCTAAACTGGAACGGGGAGAAGGTCCTTAGGATGGTTTAGTTCATAATTTTCAGCCCGCGTAGGCAACACCTGATTTAGAACGTTGAGAGTTTTTGAACCATTGGCTTCTCTGCTGGTGTAGAGGAAACGTTTACATGTCTGGCTGAACTCGTCTCACGTTATGGCAAATGAAGTCTCGTTCTTTCGGGGAAACATAGATGCTCCAATCGTTCATTATGACGTGAAAAGGCTGAAGGTCAAATATTTTATCTGTCATAAACGTTATTTGGTAAAATGATACATATATGTTATCTTCTGTTATACATTATTATATTGAAATATTATAATAATAAAATAAAATTTAAAAAAAATCTAGAATTTTCTTGTCTACACAACATAGAGGGGTTGCATTAGTATTTATCTAATAACTTCGGGTGAATTTATTTTTATGCCTACTTTTATAGAAAATCTAAATCAATGTCGCCTACAATTATTTTAATTTTTTATTCTATGGATTAGTTAATGGTTTTTTATAAAATATGCTATGATTAATTAATTAATTTTTATATGATTTTAAAAAAAATTAAAATTAGTGAGTACCTAACGTTAAGGGCTCGCCATGTGGCTTAGGCTAAACTTGGTGACTAAACACATCCCATCTAGCTATTGGATTATGAAGCATGAGTTTTAATGAGGCTTTTTCCATGCAGTTGAAGCCATCCATGCTCTTTATAGAGCCCTGAACAGCCCTCCGCAGCTGAAGGGATGGACATCTGAGGGGGGCGACCCGTGCGGTGGGGAGCTGTGGCATGGGGTCTCATGCTTTGCAAAGTCCGTTATGTCAATGTACCGTGTGCCAGGCTATATGCCCAAGCTTATAGTATCCTTACACGGTCTTTAATATTACCATTTGGCTACAAGGCAATAAATTAACACGTTGTGTCATATCAAAAACAGCAAGATCAAGGGGCTAGGGGTTGGTGGCCAACTGGGTTTGAACCTTTCAAATTTCAAGAACTTAAACGAACTGTGAGTATTTTTTTTGATTAATTCTCAACGAAGTAAATGGAATGGAAAAACGAACCAAACTGTAATCTTCTATTTTACCCTAAATAGTTAATAGAAAAAAATCATCCAAGCCTTTTCTTCAAATATTTTGCTTGACTTGTGTGTAGGGACATCAGTGAAAATTTTATTGGCGGTGAAATCCCGGATTCTTTGCCACCAACTGCGACACATTTGTAAGATAACTGCCATTTCCTACTTCACATGGAATGCTACATTGATTAAGTTCTTTAAGGCGGTTGTCACCATTTCCTATGAGAGTGCAGAAACTTAGCTTGTAACAAGTTCAGCATGAACGTGCCATTCTCATTGTCTTACTTGAAGTCCCTTACTCACCTGTGAGTAAAACTAGATATTTGTCAGTCTGATTGCATCAGTTTGTAAGAATGGTTTTGAACTGACCGATTTTCTTTTGCGCAGGAATCTCAGCCACAATTCCCTCTCTGGACAGATTGGGAATATATTTACGGATTTTCACAATCTGAAATATTTGTGAGACTCTTCATTATAGATGCCTATTTTAATTTTTAATTTAAATGACCCATGATCTCCATCTCCCCGCACAAGCTGTCATCCTAAACTTACATTGTATGGAATTCTGTTTGTTTAAAATATTTTTTCACCCTATCCTCTTGTTGGATCGGTGAATTCTGAATCTTTGAACTTCAATTTTTTTGTACTTCAATGTTTTCTATTAATGTGTTCTGAATTTCATGGCTGACTGCTTGAGGGCATATCCAAATTTCAGGGACTTGTCATTCAATCACTTTTCGGGTGATTTACCCATCTCATTCACTTCATTGTCGCACCTGCATGGACTGTAAGTGTATGTTAAAACTCAAAAACCTTTGGACGGGTCGAAATTCCTGCCTAGTTTCTTTAAAAGCTCTCTTCTATTTAAATTTTGAATGCCTTGCTCACTCCGTTTCAGACCTCTTTGTAAGTTTGTTTCTGAGTTCCTCCTGAAGATCTTTTCTGTATATATGCAGTTATTTACAAGAAAACCACTTCACTGGATCTGTCGCTTTTCTTGCTTATCTCCCGTTGTCTTCTCTGTAGGTTTCCTCTTTTATCGTTACTTCACAGAAATTGTTTCTATATTCATTTTCCTCTCCACACCACCACCGGGATGAACGTGACTTCTAATATACTGCCATTGTTTCAGGAACCTTGAAAACAATCACTTCAGTGGAGTCGTGCCAAAACAATTTGAATCTATTCAAGAGCTAAAGTAAGAAAAATTGTCTATTGTTATCTTTTGATTTTCCTTACATTTTATTTAAAATTATTTTTTTCATGTTGACATCGGTCATAACTTTATTCTAATAATCAGGATCAATGGAAACATGTTCCAAGCTGGATATGTCATTCCTCCACGATATGACATTGAATATTCTCCTCCATCTAGTTCTCCACGACCTCCACCTGCCATTTTTAGCTTGAGACAAGATTGTAATGTCAGCAACGACCCCATATCTGCATTAAATTGTTATGGGGAATATTCTTTGGAGAGTGGACAGAGTCAGGGAGTACCAAGCTGGGGTATTGCAGCTTGTGGAATAGGTGGCCTGATTTTTGTGGGGCTAATTTTAGCTGTCGTTGTAGTCTTTGGCCGAAGATCACGTAAAAATAGAATGAAGAACTTGAAGAGATCTTGTGATCCCGATGTTTCTCTTCCGATTACTTCTGTTGAAGGTAGTTTTCTTCTCTGCGCTACTTGTTTATACTATGTAAATTCTGTGTTCCCATGTTATAGATTTCCTAGCCACAAACCATCCACAGACCCATGAGCACCAGATTTTATATATGGTACAATTATGTCATTTGACTCGTCTTTTAATTTTTTGAAAACAAAAAATATTTCTGTTGCGCCTACAACATATCAATTTTCTAGATAGGGATTTAAATTGTCCGACAACTTCTACCTTATTTATTGAATCTGTCATCGTATTACTTCAAGTAAAAGTAACAAGTCCCTAGTTTCCGGTTATATTTGACTCTTGAGAATTGGTTAATGCCAGCATTATAAGTACACCTTATCCGACCTAGAAAGATAGAATCAAAAGGACAGAATTATGCCAAAAAAAAATATTATTCTTAGCTTCATACACCTGGATGTGGGTAGTGTCTCTATTGAAACAAAATCTTGAAAGACATTGTGAAAATTGATGTCTTAGGGTGAATCACCATTGTCACAGTATCGTATTCTAGATTCTAGATCTTGATGATAACATGTTAGAATTTTTAAGATACTTTACCATTTTTATGTTTGAAAATTGATGATTAGCTGTCATTTCTTCAAGTTAGATGAACGATTAAGACCTCTTCAGTATATTCATAGGTTTTTTTTTTTCGTTGTTTCGTTGTGGATTTGTTTTTCAGGGACAAGATTGCACACTGACAATCTAATCTTAGACCCTCCTTCTGTGTCTGCCCCGAAGACTGCCTCTTTTCATCATACAAGGTCTTCAAGAGCATCTGGAAGAAAAATCTCTTTAAGAAGACTCAGAGGTCTTCCTACGGTGAAGCTTTACTCTGCTTCGGACCTGCTACTTGCAACAAACAATTTCAACGAGAGGAACTTTCTTGGAAACAGTTTATTTGGTTCTAGTTATAGAGCAGATTTTCCCGGTGGCCAGGTATTCAATCGTATTAAATAGTCAATCGATGGCAGGAAGAACCTAGACGGTAGTAATCCATTCTTCGCACTAAGTTTTTCTTCTCTGATTATCACCCCTGGTATATTTAACAATGAGACAAGTCTTCTCTCTCAATAATGCTGCATTTGAAAAAAAGAATTATTGTAAATTTGGCCTTTGCTGTGATGATAAGCTTCGTAATAATCTAAGTTTGACCGCGATATCTTTCTCTGAGATCGTTTCGTCAAAAGTATTCATGTCCCACGCCAGTTCTCTGAATGACTCGAGGTGATTCCGTGACTTTCACAGACATGCGTCGTGAAGAGGCTTGAAATAGCTGCACTGCCTCCGCAGGAAGAAGAGATGTTTATGGATTTTGTATGGAATATGTCTCGTCTGAAGCATCCCAGCATCACACGTCTTCTGGGCTACTCCGTTGAGCAGGGGCAACACATTCTAGTTTATGAGTACATGAAAAATGGGTCTCTTGACTATATGTTGCATTCATCTGATGAAAGGAAGAAACTTCTTTCCTGGAGAACCCGGGTTAAAGTAGCTGTTGGTGTGGCGCGGGCCCTGGAGTAAGTCCGAACTCAGCCTGAAGTAGAGAAAGCTTGGTTTCTAATTTAGTCGACACCCTCAATACAGAGATGAAGAGCCAAAACCATATTCAGATTATTTTTCCTTAAATATGTTTTTCCTTTTTTTTAATTTTATCGGTATATCTGTTCTTATTCATATATGAAATCTGCTCAGGTATCTGCACTTGGCGTCTTCTCCTCCGATCACTTACGAGAATTTGAAGGCGACCAACATTTTCCTTGATGATAAATTGATGCCCCATCTTGGCGACTGTGGACTGGCCATGCTAAGGCCTCTCACCAACATAGAGTCGAAGGTAACTCAGTGTCTCTTTTCTGAAGAACAAAAAATATATTTTCTTCTGTGGGAGAAAAATCTGTCTCTTTATTTATTTAAATATATTTATAAAACGGGTGATCATCTCAGCTTCTCTATGGTACCTTGTTATCTTAGATCATTTTCATTTTTTCTGAACAGGCTTCCAACCTTGCCGCCAGCCGAACGGGGTACACTGCACCAGAATTTGGTGTTTCTGGGGCGGACAAAACCAAGAGTGACGTCTTCAGTTTTGGAGTGCTGCTCTTGGAGCTACTAACAGGAAGGAAGCCATGGGACACGTGAGTGCCTCCTCATACACAATGACATGCGCTTCTCTCTCTCTCTCTCTCTCTCTCTCTCTCTCTCTCTCTAGATTTATATAAATAGAGATATATTGATGGACCATTGTCTTCTTTTTGCTTCGTTCTCTACCTGCGACAGCTCGAGGGGGAGAGAGGAGGAATCTCTCGTGATGTGGGCCTCTTCTCGTCTTCATGACATTGCCATGCTGGAAGACATGACGGACCCTGCGATTAAATCCAGCGTTGCAGCCCAAGTTCTCTCTCGATTCGCAGACATCGTTCTACCTTGCATCCAGGTACGACGAGAGCCCACACGTTTCATTTGGGTATGCGTGGATTTAGACCTTGGCATAAAGCCGTTGACCCTCCATCGGCCGCCGCAAACAGCCACATCCCGAGTTCCGGCCCGTGATAAACGAGGTTGGGGACCAGTTGACCCGCCTGCTCGGCAAGATACATCGTCAACCCCGCGACGGGCGCGGAGCGGCGAAGGCGGGGGGCGCGGAGCCGGACGTGTCGGAGTTCTCCTTCAAGACGGCCCTGTCCCATCTGGAGCGATTCTCACACGTTAGTGCTCTGAACAAGGTTGCCTCTTCTTCTAGCACACTGTCGTAGGGGAATAAAAAAAGCTCGGAGATTTCAATGGAATGGACTCTAGCTTGCGACGGAGGAAGCCATGGTGGAATAAAGGACTGTGCGGAATGCCCTCGACTATAGCAAGATGTTCCCATGGGGTGAGAAGATAGAGTTGGGTCTGTATTCCAATGGGTCCACTGGCATCGCACTATTCAATATTATTCTTCTGCGGACAGTGATCAGTTCGCCGGGTCCGTTTGGGGTGGAACATACCTACCTGGTTCCGATGCCCGACCCATCTTAAAAGGGAAATTCAGCCGCCTTTGGCGCGTGGCAGGCGGCGAGCCTAGTGGGAAGGGATTCCTGAAGGTCACTCCCCCCGGTTTTATCGCCGGTGGAGAAAAAGGACGGTGAGGAGGGAGGGCAGGAAGGCAGGCAGGCTCGCGAGGTGTGATCTAACAATAGCGGTCCCGCCTCGCGTGACGCAGTGCAGGGAGTCGGCCTCTTCGTGCCATAAATTCTGCAAGAGTCGGAGTTCACGGCCCATCACAGGAGCCGGCCGCGGGTAATGGCGGCTTTTTTTTCCAGCTCCCTGGTCTTCTTTTTGTTCTTCTTGTTGTTCTTGGGTGTCAGAGAGTCGGGCGCTGGTGGGGGTGGTTCGCTCAGCAGGAGCTCCTTCCCCCCTGGTTTCCTCTTCGGGACGGCCTCCTCGGCCTATCAGGTGAAGAGCGTGTCAACTCTTCTTCTTCTTCTTCTTCTTCTTCTTCTTCTTTTCTCTGTTTTTCCCCCGGCTTTCCTTCCCTACCCTCTCGCTGATGGAGGGACGGCGCGCCCCTGTGTTTCCGTGCTGTCCCGCAGTACGAAGGCGCCGCCGCAGAAGAAGGCCGAGGCCCCAGCATCTGGGACACGTTCACCAGCCAACACCCAGGTTTGCTCTCTCTCACTCTCTCTCTCTCTCTCTCTCGACCCTTAGAGTGGTTGTGTAGCTGACGAGTCTTCCCCGTGGCTTTCGTACGCATAAAATATAATATGCTTTACAGATTATATGGCCTTGATATAACCCTCAGAGAGTTTTTTTTCTTACGTGCGGTTCGAAGTAGCAATCTTATTGGTCTCATGCAGAAGACTAAACAAGCATCCTGTCGACCATAGTTCAATATTCGTGATCACCCTTCCGGAATTTCTGGGATTCCGGTGCTTTTTCATTGTCTTATGAAAATAATCTGAAGTTATAATCTGCCTATCGCCGGTCTTTCGCAAAAAAACTAGCTGGTTCCTGGCTTACAATAATCTAAAGCGGTATCTACACTTCTACCCTGCAGAGAAGATTCGAGACCGAAGCAATGGAAGTGTTGCGACAGACTCTTATCATAGATACAAGGTACTGTAGTCAAAAACTTTGATCCTTTTTTTTTTTTTGTTTCAAATATGGATTATTTATTTACATCTCTTTTGTAACCTCTTGATTCATAAAAATAAAAGGGTAGCTCTTTAAGAATGTGGGTACTCAGTTAACTATACGGAAGGTAAAGAATATAAATAAAAAAGAATTCCAGTTAACTATGAAGAATATGGCAAGAAAGCCTTGAGGTTTCAAGTTCAGAAAGAGAAATGAATTTGGACCGATCTAGATTTCAAGAAGTTTTCACGTATACTGTATTGTGACATGGTTGCATTTTTCTCGGAATCTACTTGTAAGACTCTCTCTCTCTCTCTCTCTCTCTCTCTCTCTCTCTCTCTCTCTTATGGTAGAGTATGATGACAGCCAGACCCGGCCTGTCTGGGCCAAGATTGGGTTTCACAGGCTTTTGCTGTGGATCTATCTTCCGATCTTCGATCAACGGCTGGGCTTGATTAGATCCACGTCGGGCCTTGGGGTCGACACCCTGAGTATGTATGGGTACGCAAATTAACAAGAGTCTGTTCTGCATGCAGGAGGATGTGAGGATCATGAAGGAGATGGGCGTCGACGCATACAGATTCTCCATCTCTTGGACGAGGATACTACCGAGTAAGCAACAGTCGGGAATTCCAATCTGTTCTTGTTTTTAAATTTCGACATGGAAAATGGCAAATTTTGACCATCATCACCATAAATTATCACAAAAAGGAGAGCTAATGTGCGTGTCCGCAGATGGAAGCCTAAGCGGGGGAGTGAACAAAGAAGGAGTCGCATACTACAACCGCCTCATTGAGGAGCTCATCTCCGAAGGTCTATGATTCACCCATTAATCATATTCTCGGGCTGGCCGCTGGATGTTCCCTCTCCTAAGTCGTCTTCTTCTAAGCCTCCACAGGCGTGCGGCCCTTCGTGACTCTCTTCCACTGGGACTCTCCCCAAGATCTGGAAGATCTCTATGGAGGCTTCCTGAGCCCCAAGATCGTGTAAAGCCAACGCCACCCCTCGCCTTCCTCGAGATTATGGTTCGATCACAGGCTCATATGAGAATCAATAATGTTCTTGCAGCCCAGATTTCGTCAACTATGCGGAGGTTTGCTTCAGGGAGTTCGGCGACAAGGTGAAGCACTGGATCACGTTCAACGAGCCGTGGAGCTTCTGCGTGGGGGGCTACGCGCGCGGGATGACCGCACCGGGGAGATGCTCCCCGTGGGAGGCCAGAGATTGCAGCGCCGGTGACTCGGGGAGGGAGCCGTACGCCGCCTGCCATCACCAGCTGCTCGCCCATGCGGCGACTGTGAAGCTTTACAGACAGAAGTACCAGGTACCCCATCTGGTTCATGAGAATATTTTTCTGGGGTATTTATTTATATGGTTGAGCTTGGTTCGGGTGCGACTGATCAATGCATACTGGGATATTTTAGGGTTCGCAGAAGGGCTTGATAGGGATAACCCTGGTGTCCAACTGGTTCGTCCCCTTCCACAAGTCAAAGTCCGACGAGGACGCCGCCCAGCGGGCGCTTGATTTCATGCTCGGATGGTGAGTACTAGTCTTCCCGATGACGATCAGATCTTGAGAGAGAAAGGCAGATGAGGCAGAAGTCTGTCACAGGTTCATGGATCCTATGACACAAGGGGACTACCCGTTCAGCATGAGGGTGCTCGTCGGAGACCGGCTTCCCAGGTTCACCGTCGAGGAGGCTCAAATGGTCAAAGGGTCGTTTGACTTCATCGGACTGAATTACTACACCTCTTTCTACGCCGCGGCGCTCCCCTTCTCCGACGTGGTCAACGCGAGCTACAGTCGCGACATTTTTTCCCTTCTTTCAGGTGAGTACTGCAAGGTACCCCCTCTGGTTGTTGTTGCTGTGCTTTCCCCTTCCCTCTGCACCTCACTCCATGAGTTGGTCTCTGGCTGGACAGGCACGCTCAAGGGGAGAGCCATTGGCCCTAAGGTGATCTCTCTCTCTCTCTCTCTCTCTCTCTCTCTCTCTCTCTCTGATAGGGTTTTACCGCAGGCGGCTTCGGAGTGGCTCTACGTGCACCCGCCGGGAATAAGAGAGCTCCTGTTGTACACCAGGGAGAAGTACAACAATCCAGTCATCTACATTACCGAGAACGGTAAGCTTGACTGATCGCCGACGAACACGGTCGTATACCGATTTTGTGTCGATGCTGTTTGCAGGAGTTGACGAGAAGAACGACGAGACGCTGACTCTGGAGGAGGCGCTGAGGGACGACTTCCGCATCGCCTTCTACGAGCAGCATCTCCTCCAAGTCCGGCGAGCCATCAGGTAATCAGCCTTCTGCGCTCGCTCTCTCTCTCTCTCCGTCCTATGGCAGAGGAAAGAAGCTTTGATTGATTCCTCCGCCGCAGGAAAGGGGCGGACGTGAGGGGCTTCTTCGCCTGGTCTCTGCTGGACAACTTCGAGTGGATGGACGGCTACACTGTCCGCTTTGGCATCCACTTCGTTGACTTCGGAGCCGGCCTGAGGAGGCACCCCAAGAGCTCCGCCCTCTGGTTCCGGCATCTCCTCCGAGCTCGGCGCGTTTGACTTTGCCCCGCATGGTCAATAGAGTTCGGCTGATCCGCCCCCCCCCCCCCCCCCACCCTGTCTCGGATCTCCGCGAACTAATTATTATGCAGCATGAAACGTATTTTTATTCCCCGACAAACGAGCACGTCGGTTTCGCGGGCCCGCACGAGACCGCAGGATTCCCACGTGCGGAAGGAACCCAGAGTACATCCCACGTCCTGGATAATCTCTCTCTCTCTCAGAGACTGCCTCCGGGTTATTTATTATTCTAATATAGATGTCAACTTCAGAAAACAATTACAGGGTCAAAAGAGAGAGAGGGAGATGGAGGCTGATGGCACCCTGGCAGCGACCGGAGTTGGGGTGGGATCTTTTATGCTCTAGTGGAGACGACGTGTGCGCGTGTCAACGCTGAAGGCGCGCCGTCGCCTCCTTTAAGCCGGAGAAGAAGGAAAGGCCAGTTAGTCGCCGTGAGGGCCGCACCTCACCAAACACCGACGTTAACCCCCTAACCGACGCTTGGATGCGCCCGTCTGTCACCCTCTCTCTAACGACTCCTCTAAAGCAGAATACAGAACGCCGTAAGGGAACCAATCAGACGGCGGCGCCACCACTGACGACCAATCGAGCTGTTGCATTATTGTCCGGTTTGCCTCACCGGCCGACTCCTTTACAACTCGGCGCGGCAAGTCCACCTAAATCGCCACCCGAGTCGGCCACCATCTCTCCTTGATCATTGAGAGAATCGAAGCCGCCTGGTTTTCTTCTGGGTTGTCGCCCGACTCCGAGTCGTGAACTCGGCGGCGGGTTCCGGGCCCACGCCGGTGGCTTAGCTGGCGTACGAACACAGCGAGGTAGGGGACGAGTCGTGCGGACAAAAACAGCTGGCTAGGGACACGTCGATCTGATCGGCGGCGGAAACCGCCCTACGGGCTGAACCAAGGTGGTGGGAAACGCCGACGTGGAGTGCCGGAGAGGAACTCGGGGGGCGACACGTCGGAGGGGGAGCCGTGAGAAAGTGGAACGCCAGCTGGACCCATAGGCGCCTTGCTGGAGACGTTATCAACGGGGAATCGGACGCCATGGGGCCAGCTGGCAGGCCCGATTGGACCGCGTTCCCCTGTCGCGTGGCTCGGCCGCCTCGTCCGCCTAGTCCGCCGCCAGATACCAGAGCAGCCCGAACTTGCAGAGCTCTCTCTCTCTCTCTCTCTCTCTCTCTCTCTCTCTCTCTCTCTCCCTCCCTCTCTCTCTTGCTAGGGCTCAAGTGGGTCGTCCGATTTAATGGCTTGTGTTGGCCGGGCAAAGTTAACATTGGAGATAAGTAGGGGGCCCCCAGGCTGAGCTATCGTGGGCGTCCACGTCGGAAGTGGTTAACACGTCGGAAGGTCGGGAAGGTCTTTCAGGCGGCGGGCCCCGCCGCCGCTGCCCCCGGTCACTGAGGACGGGCGTCCGACTACCACGATTCCCCAGCTGCTCTCATCTGATTGTGATCTCTCATCCTACTCCCGCCGGGTCGACCTAGTCCATGGTTGAGCTCGGGAATCAGCACGCGGCGACGGTGGACTCGGCCGTTCCGGCCATCAGGTCGTCGGAGTTGGATTTTTTAAATAAACCCCCCCAACGAGAAATAATATCCGTATTTCATCTTCCCGCCGGCTTCCCCCTCTGACGTGGCCCTCCCATTTTCTTCTTCTCCAGTCGTCCCCCTCCTCTATCAAGTATAGAGATCGAGAGGGGAGAGAGAGAGAGAGAGAAGAGAAGAGAGAGAAGAGAGAGAAGAGAGAGAAGAGAGAGAAGAGAGAGAAGAGAGAGAAGAGAGAGAAGAGAGAGGAGAGAGAGAAGAGAGAGGAGAGAGAGAGAGAGAGAGAGAGAGAGGAGGCAGGGCTCCGTCCTGCCCAGCTCGATTGATTCTTGGTCTCTGTGATGGAAAATCCGAAGAACAAGCTCTCTTACATATCGGTGCCTTCGCCGATCATCCATCAGGTTCCCTCGTCGTCCTTACAGGGGCTCCTCCTCTCGCCGAAGAAGAGCTCGAGGCCGCGCAGCCGCTTCCTCGCCGCCGCCAGAAACACCGGGTTCCTCGTCTTCCTCTGTCTGTTCGCATTCGTGGGGATGCTAAAACTCAGCGTCCAACTCGACCCCCTCGTCCCCCTGGCCCCCATCCCCTGCGCCACTCCCCGCCCAGAGGCGCCTCCCCTGTTCTCGTCGACGGCCGGCGACTCTCAGCCGGCGACGCCGCCCTCCGGCGGCGGCGATGGAGGAGGTGAGGAGTTCTGGGAGCAGCCGGACGGGATGGGGTACCGGCCGTGCTTGGATTTCAGCAAGGGGTATCGGCGGGCAACTGAAGGGATCAAGAGGGACCGGAATAAGTACCTCGTGGTGGGCGTCTCCGGAGGTCTGAACCAGCAGCGGAACCAGATCGTTGACGCCGTGGTGATCGCTCGGATTCTCGGCGCCGCCCTCGTCGTCCCTGTTCTTCAGGTCAACATCGTCTGGGGAGACGAAAGGTGATCCTCCCTCTCCACCTCTACCTCCACCTCCACCTCCACCCACTGGTTTTCGTCTCCGTCTTCGTCTTCCCGGTCGAAAACTCTGGTTCCAGCGACATGGAGGACCAGGACTATGAACAGGACTCGGCTGGCATCAAATGGTCGTATGCTGGCTAGGAAGGGGAACCCGAGATGACAGCTGGGTACGGCTCTGGTTGAACTCTGGCAGCCGTCGTCCATGGAATCCGAGCCCCTCCCCCCCTCCTCCTCCCCTCCGGATTTCTATTCCTCTCAGGAATAGACGAGCTCCATCGCCACGAATCTCCTCCGACAGGGTAGGACTAGTCTGGTTCCCCGGAAATTTGAATCTCTGAATCTGTCTCCTTTCCGGGGTTCCGTCCCGCCCGTGATTCCTGCTCGAGCTCGCCACCTTCTGCCATGAAAACCCGTGATCATGAGAACAGTTCTCGATCGAGAAGGCGAAATTAACCGGGTTCTTTTTGTTTCTTGGTTTTGTTGGCGAGGGCAGCGAGTTCGGTGACATCTTCGACCTGGAGCACTTCAAGCGCGTGCTGGCGAACGACGTGAGGGTGGTCTCGTCGCTGCCCACCACCCACCTGACCCGGCGGCCGGTGGAGCAGCTCCCCACGCCGCCGCGCGTTTCAGACCGCTGGATCCGCTCTAAATACCTCAAGCGCCTCACCCGCGAGGGCGTCCTCGTCCTCCGCGGCTTCGACTCCAGGCTCTCCAAGGACCTCCCCTCTGATCTCCAGAAGCTCCGCTGCAAGGTTCCCTCTCTCTCTCTCTCTCTTACTTATGAATCGTCGTTGACTTGTGTATTTCTTTATTCTCAGGTGGCATTCGACGCCCTGAGATTCTCAGCTCCCGTTCGTGAACTGGGCAACAGGCTGGCGATGAGGATGAGGAGCAGAGGGCCGTATATCGCTCTGCACCTGCGGATGGAGAAGGACGTCTGGGTGAGGACCGGTTGCTTCCCGGGGCTGAGCCCTGAGTACGACGATGTCATCAGCAGGGAGAGGGAGAGCCGGCCGGAGCTTCTCACCGGGAAGACGAAGATGAGGCACCAAGAGCGCAAGGCGGCCGGCCTCTGCCCATTGACCATTGTGGAGGTCACGAGGTTGCTCAAAGCCCTCGGAGCTCCGCGGAGAGCCAACATATTCTGGGCAGGCGGGGAGCCCTTCGGCGGTGGCGCCGCCCTGCTCCCTCTGGTGGGGGAGTTCCCTTATCTCTACAACAAGTACAATCTCTCCTCACCGGGGGAGCTGGACCCGTTTGCGAACAGGTCCTCCATCCTCGCCGCCGTCGACTTCATCATCGCCGAGAAGAGCGACGTCTTCATGCCCTCCCATGGCGGCAACATGGGCCGCATCCTCAAGGTACAAGAAGCTCAGCTCAGCTCAGCTCAGCTCCAAGTCTCCACCTTCCTCCTCCTCCTCCTTCTTCTTCTTCCTCCGACGATCTCCGACGATCTCTGCGCAGGGGCACAGAGCCTTCGCCGGGCACAAGAAGTTCATCACCCCGAACAAGCGGCAGATGGTGCCGCACTTCCTCAACGCCTCCCTCCCAGAAGCAGAGTTCATCCAGATCATCAGGGAGCTCCACAACGCCTCCTTGGGTCAGCCGGAGCTCAGAACTGACAAGGTCGGAAAGGACGTCACTGCCTACCCCATCCCCGAATGCATGTGCAACACCACCGCCCCCATGCCATGACCTCTCTCTCTCTCTCTCTCGCTCTAGGGAGAAGAAGGCCCCCCGATTTTTGAGAGCGCCGCCGCCGTGAATAGCCACCCCTTCCCTTTCTGTACGATACACACACACACATTCATACAAGGAACCAGAAGCAGTGCGATATGTAATCGCCGCCCCATTTTTGGCTCCTGAAAGCTGTCCGCGTGTTCCAATACCCCCTTCCGAAGAATCAGAAGATATAGAAAAAATCCATTCTTTCAATTATTTGCAGATATATCCCCCGGGACATTTGCTCCCCTGTCTCGGGTATCGTAAATGAATCGCCTCCTTTTCTCTCTCTCTCTCTCTCTGCCTGCGCAGCTGCTGACTGTGTGGGCCCGGCCCAAATCTCCCGTTTTGGGCTGGACTTGTATTAACTGGGCCTGATCATTCTGATCCAATATCTTGTTCTGGGTCTTTTCTTGTCGGGCCTGTTTGGTCCGTGGTGGATACTGACAGGTGACCGACAGGATCCGATGGAGGCACAACGCCTCTTTCCGATTGGTCGGGAAATGACGGTAGAATACTTTGCGTGGCCAACGAGAGCTCGTAGTAGGTTGTGTTTCTGCGAGTGTGGAAGCATCGCAGTGTCCTCGAGCTCTCTCGGCTGTGGTCCGGAAGGTAAGGAAGAAGGTGGTAACGGGTCTTCGGAGTTTTCCTTGCCGTCTTTAGACCAGGATTCTGCAGTTTCTCGGTGTTCCCGGCATTTCGGAATGGATTTCTACTGACATCCGTGTGGATAGACCTCCGGATCTGAGTGAAAGACTCGAAGATGTAACGCGTTCTTGGCACTGGAATTCATCTGCTGAGAAATTCTCACGCAACGTCGGGAGCTTCTCGTCGGATATCTTTCGCATCGGAGTTCACGATTCGTCAGATTCTCGAGCTGCAGACTTTGAGTGGGCTGCACTCTTTCAATTGTCTTCCCTGCACTTAGGAATGGAATGATGTTAGTATCCGTGTGTGTTTACTTCTGGATCTGAGAGAAAAGACTAGGAAATGCAATTCGTTTCCGTATGTGTTCTAGACGTGGAAATTTACGCGATCGAGAAGTTCATGTGTTAATATTCTGGCCTCTTGTAGAAAATACTGCTCAGATCGGAGCTTTCCGGCACCTTCGGTTGTCTGCCGCGTAAGCAAGTTGGGCAAGGCCGATGCCAACCTGGAGATCCTGGATGGCATCAGATTTCTAAGTATTCTCGAGCAAATTTCGGCCGTCAGGGCGCAACGGGTTCCTTCCACTAGTCAAATTTCCCCACCCCGTTGTCTAAGATTATTCCAGTGGAATACTAGTTTCTGAATCCTCCATTATCAATGCCAATTTCCTGCCTTCATAATCGGGGAAAGCTGTTCTGCAAAACCATTCCATCTGAGTGACCGAACTTCCCTCACATTTACGCCTCATCGATGATTCACTTTGGTCCGGGTGAGCAGAATTTCCGCTTGTCTGGCGATCTCTTTCATCTCTCGTCAGTTTCATTCGGCTGTATCCTTAGCCTCAGAGAGAACCTCTTGCGGTTGTTCTATTGCATCTCGTTCCTGTTATTCTCTCTCGTTCTGCATTGCATATTTTTCATATTAAAAGCGACCGTGGACTGCTCTGTTACTTTGTTCTCATACTTACGCTATACCACTCGATAATTTCCTGCTCGTCTGCTAGTTGCACCATGGTTCCCCAGATTGCGTTGCTTGGTGCTGGTATCTTTGTTCGTACACAGTATATCCCTCGCCTAAGAGAGTTGGCCGACTATGTAATCGTTAAGACGATCTGGAGTCGTTCTGAGGTATGTGAACTATCTTTGCTTGCGATGTTGATATCTGTGCAGTTCTTTCGCGTTGATTCTAGATGAGGCACCATTAGGTTCCCCATAGGAAAAATCTTGAAGCGGGAGAGTTCTATTATCCTATACACAAATTGGAAGGCGATTTATGTGGCATTCGGGTGCTTTGTAATCTGAGTTACGGTGACCCAGGATTATTTAGTCACTAGGTTATTTCATCCTGCGTAGAACCCACATCGAAGGCTCATCTGACTATACGAAATACTTAGTGATTACTTGGGTTCGTTGATAGGCTATGCTTGCAATTAATTTTAATTCTTGTTAAAATGATGAAATTTGGGCAAAACGTGAAATCATCCTAAAACATCGCAAAATAATGCTGGAAACCATTACATTATATGCGAGGGCTATTGGTTCTTGGCTGTTGAAAAGAAAATCTCTGTTTGATAGAATTTTCAAAAATACGTCATTAATGGATTTATTCAAATTGCGTGCACATTTCCTGATTTTTTTCACCCATTATGTATTACTCTGTCAAGGAATCTGCAAGAGCTGCTGCAGAACTCGCCCGTGATTTTGCACCAGACATTGATTGCAAATGGGGTGAAGGAGGACTTGATGACATTGCTCAAGATAGTTCGATTCATGGGGTCGCAGTAGTCCTGGCTGGGCAAATTCAGGTTTGTCACACGTTAATTAAATCAGGTTGTGCCATTTCACTTTGTACTGTTCATTATATCATAGTAACCTTTCTTTCTAGGCGTCGAAAATTTTCTCTTCAATTCTTTCGATGAATCTTAATATATGCATGTGTTTAGTAATACGCTTAGGTTGAAAAATTAGTGGTCTTGTCATCTTAAACTTGACAGGAGTTTTTTGTTCATTTTTGACATGAAATATGAAGTCATATGTTCGAATATCTCAAAACGTGAGATATAATGTGCAGGTAAAATGTACTACTGGGTGTATGTATTAGCAGTAAAAATTTAAATCTTCTAAAATTAAAGATGGTCAACGTCAATGACCTGAAAGGGCAACCTTTTAATGTCCATATTATTTTTCTAAGTAAAGAGTTTCAATCTGAGATTCCTTTGCAATGGAATCTGTATTACCTTAGTCCGTTCTTTCCCAGCATATATTGACGACCATTCAGGAAATCAGACTACTAGTTAATCACCTTTCCATTCAGGAAATCAGTCTACTAGTTAATCACCTTTCATTTTTCAAAACAAATTAAGCATGGTTCACGAAAGTAAGAGCTAGAAGATTCTAGATTTTTTCAAATGTTGGATGCCATTGAAAACGCCGATTATGTTGCTCCTGTGGTTTAAATGTTCACACAAACGGGAAATTAGGTCGTTTGAGTCCAGGGTCAGTCGCCTTAGTGGTCATACAGATGCAAGTCGTACACTGAACGTTTTGTCTGAAAAATGGTCTGCGGGCGTCTTTTCCAGGGCATATAAGGTAAACAGTGGTTCTCCTTAACGCATTGACATTCAAATAGCTAAGCCTTGACTTGAATACAAAGCTAGGGAAAACATCATTGCTTTTCCCGCTGACATTTTCTGTGTGCGCTCAGACTGGGAGCACATCTCCTGTACACTCCCAATGTAAATAACAGGAGTTAGTTTAAGACATGAGCGATCCTTAGATCTGAAAAATATATTTGGGTCCTTCAGGCATACTGTTCTATTTTTTAATGGTTTTTTTCTACTACATCTCGCGTTTCAGAAAATATTTTCATGATTTTTGGCGTTGGATAGTATCTTATACTTGACATTCTTAAAAAAAAAAAACTGTAGGTTGATGTATCCCTACGGATGTTGAGAGCAGGGAAACACGTGATTCAAGGTAATCGTGTATGATACTGGAGAAAATTATTTCGTCAGACAGTTTTCATTTGAATCTCCGGTGGTTCTTGTGATATCGAGCAAATGGTTGATGCGCAGGGACAAAGCTTCTGTTGTTGATGCACGTTTGAATTATTTGCATTTTTTAGTTGAATTTCACTTCTGTAATGATTGATAGGGTACTATTTATTTTATAATTTTATTAATTTTTTGAATCTCTAATTTACATCCTTTCGTCTGTTTCATGAACGATGGGATGAAATGAAAGAGAAACCTGCTGCTGAATGTAAGTGACATTCATTCCGAGTTTGGCGATACCCTGGTTCTGCTTTTAAGTTCACCTCCCTTGCATCCAAGCCAACTAATTAGGGAATTTATAAATATTTACGTTATGATTATGTCTGGCAATGAGATTGGTGCTCATTGTTGCCGAACTCCCGCCACTATTGAACCATCAGCTACAAGTGAGGCAGAAGCTGCCTTGTCGAATTATGGATCCTTCCTCAATAGTAGGCCCTATCAACCTATTTGGGCGGTTGCAGAGAACTATCGATTTGAGCCTGCTTTTGCTGAGGTATTTTTTCGCTGTATTTTTACTTTTATTTGAAGAAAACATTTTAAATCTTGCCCTCGCCTTGCAGGCCAGGAAAATGATGGAAAACATTGGTGACATGATGAACATTCAAGTCGTCATTGAAGGTTCAATGAATAGTTCTAACCCATATTTTTCAAGCCCTTGGAGGAGAAAATTATACGTAATTGAACTCTCCATGACACCTCAGTAATTGCTCCGCTTTGATTGTTGATCAAATCGCTATGAGTTTTCTTGCGGGCCAAACCTTAGATGACGCGCGTTTCATAAATCCGTTTCTAATTCCTGTGGCCACTTCATTTTTTTTCTCATTTATTCTGCAGGGGGGTTTTATCTTAGACATGGGAGTACATTTTATTGCCGGCCTACGAATGGTAAGCTCTCCTCGATTTAAGTTGTCCGGACTCCTGAACCAGGCTGTTCTTCCATTATAATAAGCATATATATATATATATATACATATATATGGGTGCGTGTATTTATATTCCACTTATGAGACTATCATCGCCGGATTGAAAGGAACTGATATATTTCATCATGCTGATAAAATAACTGACTATACCTGTTGTCACTGGTATATCTCATGCTTCCTATGGTGACTAGCATTCTGTCATGCCGCTCAAACAGGTAGCTGGATTCGAGGTTGCCACCGTGTCCGCTGTCTCCAGCCACGTGGATTCCTCACTGCCTCCACCAGACAATCTTTGCTCCCACTTGTAAGTTTCTCATCATCCCCACCAGACAACCCTTTTGTTCAAGCAGGTAACCTCAGTCTCCTCCCTCCAGCAAGCTCACGAATGGCTGCCCCGGGATATTTGTGATGACAGTGTCATCGCCATCACCCAAGGTCTGAAGAACTCCCACTCCCTTTTCTCTCACCACTCCTTGTCATCTGCATGGTATAGTCATCAAGCGCAGCACATGAGTGGCTATAATCTGAAGCTCAAGGGCCTCTTTTGCCTGAGTGTTCCTGCTTCTAGATATACTGGCGTTTTGTTGGGTCGAAGGCAACAGTGCAGGTCGAGCGAGGAGTTGTCAATAAGCAGCATGGGTACTCGGTATGTCACTGAATTTCTTTCCATTAATTGTGCTCATTTCAGATTTTTTTTCTTTTTTCATGTTACCCGAGAAGATATGGCCATTTCTTTACCCGATGAAGAAACATTTTGAAAGTATTAATGCCTAAGAATGAAAAAGCTCATGCATAATGATATTATCATCCCTGAGCCATTTCAAGCCGAATCACCCCTCAATCTGATTCCTGAGCTACTATCTAGCTGATGCTGCCGCTCTTCAGGTGGATCCTAGCTGTTGCAGTAATGCAACTTAAACCTGGAGGATTTCCCTCCATGCATCGACCGAGTGATCATCTCTTTAAGAAGACCTGCCTTCTGAGAATTTAAGATGGAACTCATTCCTCTCAGAAGCTGTTAATCCATCGATTATTAGCTTCTGATCAGTTCACACAGGAACTCTTTCAGATGGAGTTACAGCGATCCATATTTCTTGCAGGTTTTGTTCTTCCCCGGCGGCGGGAGCTGCCAGAGCAGCTTCTTCCCATTTTCCGGCGTGAACGAAGAACTAAAGGCCTTCTTTCATGACATCTCCCAAGCTCTCGTCCAGGTCGGAGCTCCAGTCTCCTCACCGAATTGCTCCTCATATGCATTCATCTGCAGATTCATGGGACGACTGGTTCTCTTCCCTCTGCAGGACGACGGCTCGTCTCACGAACCCGATCCCCGCAGCTCATTTATTGAAGCTGCGCGCGACGTCGCCGTCCTGGAAGCCATGCTGGAATCCAGTGAAAGGGACGGAGCTCCGGCCGCCGTCAAAACATTTTAGGCATCATCGCCCCGCAGCCCGAAGACCTTTGACCGGGTCGGAATAATACCGGCGGCAGATGAACTTCGTGGATGGCGTTTGGCGCCTTTGACTTTTCATTTCATCGGATATTCCCGTTGACCATCGTCCCATTATTTTATTGAATTGTGTTGTTACCATGCCTTCCTCTTACTAATGGGGATAGAGAGAGAGAGAGAGAGATGGCTACTTCTTCTGGGGTAGAAAAAGCAAAAGATAATGAATAATTGTTAAATTAGAAAAGATGGTGGGTATAATTTTAACTTTCCTTAAGCCTGCACCGCCCATGGAGTCCCGTCCTTACGTTTTTATGGGATGGATGGCCGGCCCATTCCATGGTGCGCCAGGCCCACCCACCAGGTGGTCCCTCCCTCCATGTGAGGCCCACAACAGTGGATACTCGATTCTGGGCCTTTTTTCACGCTTCCACCCGGTCTAGTCAGCTGTAGATTCACATTCTGGGCCGGGTCCACGTTCACGGGAGATCTTTGGTGGGTCCACTGAGGCAACGGCGGAGACAGCTGTGGCCAACTGACCTCCTGGTGACGACGCCGTCTATTTGCCGTCGCCCAAGACGGCCATCGGGTTACCGCCGTTTACGTCGGTGAAAACATTGTAGCCGTCCGATCGCCGAGCTCGGGATCGGAGAGCCCAGAGTTTTGGTGCGTGGGGACGAGGAGATCGCCGGGCATCGCGGTAAATATGAGAGCGCGCATCGCGAGATTTGGGCCGTTGCGCGTGTGACGGACCGACCACGGTCTTCGCACGTGCGCTCCGGCTTCCTCGAAAAGGGAAGAGGGTAAAAGGCAGGGGGATTTTGTGGACCACGGAATTTTAATATTGGCGTTCATACCCTTAAACAGGCTCTGAGGGCATATTTTTAAATTCCAAAAGGCTTCTTAGGTCTTTGAGAATGTCTTTCTGTTGGATTCATTTCCCCTCTATCCTCTCTCTCTCTATCTCTGTTTCTCTTTCTCTCTCTCTCGATCTCTCTGATATGTCACACTCTTCCAGTGCTTTCCGCTTGCTTTCCCATACCACCGCTTTCGTCCTGGAGTAGGAGGTAGGGAAATGGTCGGGGTGCCGCCAGCGGAGCTTCGAAGGAGTTCCTGACCGGCGGCGGAGGGATATCTACGGGAGCATCATCCATTTGCAGCGGTGGCGGCGGGGTTTCAGGTCGGGACCTTCACTCTCCCTAGCCCTCTTTTTGGAGATGTGTGTTGCTCTTGGCGTGATCTTGAGATTGTCGGCGATGTATGGGGCGTTTTCTTGAAATCTACTCTCCTTTCCTCGTTTTGTGTACTGTTTATCATCTGCGATTAGATTGAATGGATAGTGTTGGTCTGTTGGCAAACGTACGTTTCTGGATGTCGCTGGTTTGCCTTAAGCCGAAATAGGAGGAGCTTGTGCTTTCCCTTTCCTATTTCTATGGCTTTTCTTCGTGTTTGCCCCCCTCATTGCCCTGAGGGTGGAGAAATATTAGCTTCTTATGGGCTCATTGTCGGACTGTGCGTCGCTCGATGGGCTTGTATGTGTTGACGATCTGGAGTTTCCAAGTTTGTTAACTTCTTGACTTTTTTTTTTTTTTTCCCTGGCTGTGTTCATTGCAGTGGTTTTGGGAGCGGTCTGATCCAGAGAGCATTTCCTAACGGAAGCCATTTGTTGTTTGACATTGGCTTGATTCTCCTCCCAGCGCGATGATCGAGTGAGGAGGACCGCGCTGGCTGTGTGGCTTGAACTAGGGTTTGAGTCCCTCATTCCCTCAGAGCGTTCCACCACCACTTTGTCGCCCCCGAACCTCTTTAACTCTCCTCTGTTTCGCTTAGTATCTTGGGAAGATGCAGAAGCTCCCTCTCGAGGCGTTCTCCTTGAGGGAGACCACTCCTCACCTTGGTGGCACTGCAATGGCTGGGAGCAAGCTGACGAGCACGTACGACCTCGTCGAGCAGATGCAGTACCTCTACGTCCGCGTTGTCAAAGCCAAGGATCTCCCGGCCAAGGACATTACCGGGGGTTGCGACCCCTACGTCGAAGTGAAGCTTGGGAACTACAAGGGCGTAACCCGTCATTTCGAGAAGAAATCCAACCCCGAGTGGAACGAGGTGTTTTCCTTCTCAAAGGACCGTATCCAAGCATCTTATATCGAGGTGATCGTGAAGGACAAGGACCTCCTGAAGGATGATTTCATCGGGAAGGTGTTGTTTGACCTCAACGAGGTTCCGAGGCGGGTTCCTCCAGATAGTCCGCTGGCTCCGCAGTGGTACCGGCTGGAAGACCAGAAGGGGAACAAGGCGAAGGGGGAGATAATGCTTGCCGTCTGGATGGGGACCCAGGCTGACGAGGCATTCCCGGAGGCGTGGCACTCTGATGCATCAGCCGTTCCTAGCGACGGGCTGACGAATATAAGATCAAAGGTGTACCTCTCCCCCAGGCTCTGGTATGTGCGCGTCAATGTCATCGAGGCTCAGGACTTGGTGCCGAGTGACAAGGGGAGGTACCCCGATGCTTTCGTCAGGGTCTCTCTCGGGAACCAGGCTCTGAGGACGAGAATCTCGCCGAGCAGGAGCATCAACCCCATGTGGAACGAGGACTTAATGTTCGTCGCCGCAGAGCCCTTTGAAGAGCACCTGGTCTTGACCGTGGAGGACAAGCTGCCCAACAAGGAAGAAGTGCTGGGGAAGACCGTGATCCCTCTGTCCAGCATCGACCGGAGGCTCGATGCCAAGGCCGTGAATACCAGGTGGTTCCATCTCGAGAGGCACTTGGAGGGCGAGGAGAAGAAGGAGGGCAAATTATCCAGCAGGATCCATCTGCGGGTATGCCTGGACGGCGGGTACCACGTCCTGGACGAGTCCACGCACTACAGCAGCGACCTCCGCCCGACGGCCAAACAGCTGTGGAAGCCGACGATCGGAGTTCTTGAGCTGGGCATCCTCAGTGCCCACGGCCTGCAGCCGCTGAAGACCAAGGACGGCCGGGGCACCAATGATGCCTACTGCGTCGCCAAGTACGGGCAGAAGTGGGTGCGGACGAGGACAATCATCGACAGCTCCAATCCGAAGTGGAACGAGCAGTACCACTGGGAGGTCTACGACCCCTGCACCGTGGTCACCATCGGCGTCTTCGACAATTGCTACCTTCAGAGCGGAGACAAGGCAAGCAAGGATCTGAGGATAGGGAAGGTGCGGATCCGACTCTCCACGCTGGAGACGGACCGGGTCTACACCCACTCGTACCCACTGCTGATGCTGCACCCCTCGGGGGTGAAGAAGATGGGGGAGGTGCAGCTGGCCGTCCGCTTCGGTTGTTCGTCTCTGCTGAACATGATGCACATCTACTCGCAGCCGCTGCTGCCGAAGATGCACTACCTGCACCCGCTGTCGGTGGCGCAGCTGGACACGCTGCGGCACCAGGCCACGCATATTGTGTCATCGAGGCTCGGCCGGGCGGAGCCGCCGCTGAGAAAGGAGGTGGTGGAGTACATGCTGGACGTGGACTTGCACATGTGGAGCATGCGGCGGAGCAAGGCCAACTTCTTCAGGATCATGGGCGTCCTGAGCGGGATGATCGCCGTCGGGAGATGGTTCGACCAGATCTGCCACTGGAAGAACACCCTCACCACCATCCTGATCCACGTCCTCTTCGTCATCCTCGTCCTCTACCCGGAGCTGATCCTGCCCACGGTATTCCTCTACCTGTTCCTGATCGGCGTGTGGTACTTCAGGTGGAGGCCCCGGCAGCCCCCGCACATGGACGCGCGGCTTTCCCACGCGGAGAACGTCCACCCCGACGAGCTGGACGAGGAGTTCGACTCGTTCCCCTCCAACCGCCCGCCGGACGTCGTGCGGATGAGGTACGACCGGCTGAGGAGCATCGCCGGGAAGGTGCAGACGGTGGTCGGCGACTTGGCGACGCAGGGTGAGAGGCTGCAGTCGCTTCTGAGTTGGAGGGACCCACGGGCGACGGCGCTCTTCGTGACCTTCTGCCTGGTCGCCGCCGTCGTCCTCTACGTAACGCCCTTCCAGTTCGTGGCCCTCCTCTCCGGCTTCTACGCGCTGAGGCACCCCAGGTTCCGCCACAAGCTCCCCTCTGTGCCGGTCAACTTCTTCAGGAGATTGCCCGCCAGAACGGACTGCATGCTCTGAGTCTGAGTCTCGTCGACGCACTTCGTCTCCTCCCCCCCTCTCCCCCCCCCCCCCTCCGCCTTTGAGTCTGCGCCTCCCTCCCCTGTTCCCTCTCTCATCTCCATTTGTTGCTGCTGGTTTTCTGGTGAGTCCCAATCGGTCCTCTCTCTCTCTCTCTTTCTTTCTCTCTCGCTAAAGGTGATAGCCTTTCTGTTCGTGATGTGTGATCTCACATGTACTCTAATTTCTGACGTGAAGCCTTTGGTTTTCATGTGGTTCCCAGCTCGTCTTCTGACGGCCTTCTTCTTCCCCCTTCCTCATCTGCGACTCTATCCCTCCCACTCTGAAAGATGTCTTCTCGCCGCCGGCATGCCGTGGAACCCGGCAGGGCCAAGCGTCGGAACCCGGAGGCTCGAACCCTCCGCAGCCCTCCCTACTTTCAAGCAGCGAGCTGGTCGTCCGAGTTTTTCTAGCCCTCCGATCATCTGCCTGCTACTTTCAAGCAGCGAGGCTGCTACACGGCCGTAGGCCCGGTTATTCTCAAAGGGCCTCAACGGGCAAGATACCTCATAGCCATATTGGGCCGGCCCGTTGGGGGCAGACAAGTCTCTGCGCTCCTTCCCAACAACGGTCAATTAAGGGCTTCAGAGAAAGTTGGGGTGGGTTTTTCTGCCTGGAGGTTGCCATCAGACGGCGACCAAACAGGAACAGAAACTTATAAAAATTAGGGCAGAGGCATTGGATTTCTGATTCTTAAATGGCCTCAACACGCGGCATCTGTTTGACTTTGACCATGAACCCAGTGGGTGAAGAGAACCCGTGTTTCGGGGTGTGGAATCCTGGCTCTCCCCGCCGAGTCCATTCTCCTTCATTCTTCAACCTGCCACATCGTCTCCAGAGGCTGTGTCATGGGGAGTTAACCTCGTTATGTACTGGTCGCATGTTATGTTCCCACGCCGCACGCTTCCACACCTGCGACTTATGTCTCTGTAGTGTCCTCTCTTCCTGCGTCAACGTTAAATGGCGCCGTGTACCTCCGCGAGGGCGTCGCTCAAGCCGCACTGTGCCGTGCCGTGCAGATGGCACACCGTGCCATCGGCCTTCGAGCTTCATGGGACGCCTCCCTGAATCTTGTTGCCCTCGCAGTGTTGTCCACCGGGACCGCGCGTGCCAGTGCACAAACGTCCTGTGTTCTGCAGGTGCCACACCTAGCCGACGCACACCTCCTGCACGCACCTGCACCTGAGGTGCGTCACGCCCTGTGCCGTGCGTGGGCACCTACGTGCGAGCGCGTGAGACCTCACGCTGACTTAATCTTCTATGCGAGATGTGTCACAGTAAGCACTTACCCATCGTCTGCACTGTTGCAGGCTTGTTATATATGTGATGGGGACTTTTCATCCTTCAAATTACACCTAAAGCCCAATTTATTTTGTTCGAACAAGAAACAGGGAGTTGCCAAGCTCAGGACATCACTCTCCATCTGCATAAACTATGTCAAGGGATCAAGTCAGCGACAAACGGGGTTCGGCAAGTCGTCCGATGAGGGGCAGTAGTATATTTCCACCACCCGACAGAGTTTTCTTGTCCAAAAACCATTAGAATTCAGAAGACATTTCTGATCAAGTCATGGGTTTTGAGTAGTCGAGATCCCCTCTCCTTCCTGAGCAGCTTCTGATGAACAAGTGGAAATAAAACCTGGCCGCCTCTGACAAGGGATATTTTGATGCTCTAGAATGCTTGAGAGCTAACACTAGAGAAATCTACGGTCTTTAGAGACTAGGGGAGATCAGAATGCCTGATCGCCGTCCGGGAGACATTCGTTGACAAGGCTACCCGTGGAGTTCGATAATAAATCACTATTCGTTGTGTTGCGGCGCCCATCTGCTATTGGATAGTCTGGAAGACTCATGAAGTTGAATATGCCTTAGATAGGATTGGTTTGTCTAGATGGTGAGGATGATGTGAGAGTCGCGGATGTTAGGAAGCTTCTCTATATCTCTTGGGCACTAAACTTATTGGCAGATGCAGACGTGAACGAGTCACATATCATGAGGCCCCGAGAATACGGATTGTTGACAGCTTCAGCCAAGGGGACGGGAAGTTCGAATGTTATAGATCCAATTTCATCTCTCTCTCTCTCTCTCTCTCTCTCTCAATATTTAAATCATACTAATTCGTGTTGCGGAAACATTACGAGGTCAGAGCCGAAGTGAAGCTGGTTCAACACGGAGGGATTGTTTTTCGTTGGGATGGGGATGATGACTGCTATTTCTCTCCCTCGTACCTTAACGTAGGGCTATTGCAGAGAGACCTATTAACGTTGTCATTGGAAGGGCTGGGACTTGCCTTGCGGTCCTGATCTCATTTCAAGGTCTAGGCTTGGCCCTGAACCCACCGGAAAGTCTACAAAATGAGTTTCAGTCTAAACCCCATTCAAATTTGGGCGTGACGAAGACGGAGAGAGAGAGAGAGAGAGAGAGAGAGAGAGAGAGAGAGAGAGAGAGAGAGAGAGAGAGAGAGAGAGAGAGAGAGAGAGAGAGAGAGAGAGAGAGATGGGGGCACAACTCGATGATGAATAGAGTCAAGAATATGATCTATGTTCATAATTTATTCTTCGTACTTAACTTTGAACCTGCCTCAAAAAAAATAAAAATCTGACCTTCTGGATTTTTGATTTACCCAGTCCATCGACAAACCTAATTTCGACACCTAACCTTATACGAAGATTAACAAGTATTCGGTGCGTACATAAACAGTATGTCTTATAACGCGTGCTTCGGTCAGCTCGGTGAGGCACGCTGGACGCTCACAACTGGGTTGGGTTCTCGACTCGGTGAGGAGTGGGTGGGTGATAGAGATACCTCGACTTCTTTAAAGAGCGCCATGGAGCAAGATGATTTCCTCATAACTAGTTTTCTGAAGGGTCGTGTTCTGATGCACCTAATCCAATCGTTTTCCATTCCAATCGATGCTGATCTCGTTTTTAAGTTACGGAATGATGACAACTTACTGAGACAAAGCCCCACCTCTCAACACTAACTCTCTTGAGGCCAAAGCGTTATGGGTGCGTTTGTCCTTTGCTTTCTCTTTCCCACTTTCTCCGTGTCCCATCAAACAATATAGTATAAATCGGACGACGTTGACTTCGGAATTCAATATTGGCCGAGATATTATGCCGTTTTCTGTATTCTTTTCTCCTTTACGGAAGATCAGCATACTCGATGCCAAACTCTTTGGCTTATTCTTGCGGAAAAAATGGAGGGATATCTGAGGGAACACACAATTTAGGAGCTAGTTTAGGCTTTCGACTGTAATATGAAACAATCTGACAAGAACAGTTCTAGTCAATTTATAGTAACCTATATTTTAATTAAAATTTTATGAAGAAAAATATATGATTTCATGTGACCTTTAGGTCTCATATTACATAATATCAAAAGAACAAGGCTGGAAGCGTCAAAACTTCCAAAACGCTTTCAATAGCAATGACTCCCTAAGGGTAACATAAAAATGAGTATCAAATGATGCAGTGCCCAATCTTTACAAGCTGATGTGGCTGGATTCATATTGCAAGTAGATGAGGTTGTCTTCAGAATTTGACAAAGAACTGAATATGGACTCATTTGTATCTTCTTATTGACGAATGGTACAGAGTGTAGACAAGTATTTCTTCTTGAGTTCACTGTTATATTGCCCAGTGATGAGATCAGAAGACAACTTTTCCTAAATCTAACTTAATCAATGAGCAAATGTTTGGAAGAGCGGAAAATTAGTTCCGAACTCATGAATCTCAAACATTACCACTTTTGTATGCTAATCACTTAGTTGTTGGGAATATAGACTAAACTTTAATTAAGAGTTATAATTTTCAATTATTTTATTATTCCTATAAATATTACAATTCGTGAATCTTTTTGTAATGAAGAAGGTCGGAAAGCCCAAACCTTAAAGTACCAACATCCCAAAGAGATCTGCCTTGTATGAGTAAAGTCAACCAAATCTCCAATTACATAATGGGTAACATTGTAACCTGTTAGATGAGTGCTACCTAATTGGAAATTTGGCATGGTATAAGAATGTTATTCACATAATTGAAACACGAGCCATTGGCCGGGGAAAAATCTAGCAGGTGCAACGTGATAGCATCTTAGTTCGTTCATAGAGACGTTGGCAGGTGCAACGTTCAATATGGTGCCTCATTAGTTAAACTCCTGTTTGTTGGTGCAACGTTCAATGGGCATTCAAAGATTATGATAAATATTAGAATTTTAAAAAATATCCTGAATTAGTTTTCCTAAAGATTTATCGCAAATAGTTATACGTTCCCTCCATCTGAACATTTAGAGGGATAGCCTTGAGGTCTTGCCCTGTCATAGAAGAAAGGATAACTAATTTGACGAAAAAGTGTTTACCTTTCACTTTGTGATCATTGTCATAAATGGCAAAAATGATCTCGTAAATTTGGTAAAAAAAGATAAAATCCCTCTCTTCAAAGATTCTAAGGTCAAAAAGTGCCCCGAAATACTCGTGACTTTTGTTCTATGGACGAGCGCCCTATTCTATGACAGTCGTTGACGTTTCAGTATGCCTTGATTCCACGAGGCGTAATAGTTCTGTCAGAAAATACACACGCATGCATGTATAATACACATGGGCAAGTGTATGGAAGACCAATTCTATACAGATAATTTTAAACATTATCTTTCTTCTCACAACATGCACGGACGTGCCTCTTTATCTGCCCAATCCTTTTGAATGGGAGTGCGTGAGATCCTCGATTAAGAATGGAACCGATACCAGAGCAGCAGTTCATCATACGGTGGTCCTCCTCAAGACCCTCTCACGAGCGCCGGGCATCCTTCTCGCAGGCATGGGCCACACATGCAGCGAGGGCTGCATGGAAACCCTCGCGCATTCATGCAATCAGGGAGGGCGACGATATGATTCCCGCCGCAGGAGGAACTGTCTCTCCATGCCGCAATATCGAATCTTTTGATCCCCCTCCGGCGAGGCCGAGTCAGAAAGATGGTCTACCCTGGGTCCCACTCGCGGCGCCTCGAGATCCCAGCAGTCGACCCCCGGCTTCCATCGACCTCCCCAGCCAGGCAGCAGAAGATCGAGGGAGGGGCGCGGCGGTAGTGTCGTCACGCTTCCGTCATCATCCGCGTTTCCCTAAAAATAATTCAACTGTGGGGACCACTGCTGAAGGGGTAGTTTCGTCATATGGGTGGAGCCGGTCGGAGGACAGCCGCCCGGACGGTTTCGCAGGTCACACAGCGGCGGTATTCCAGGCGGTCTACGGCGGGGTTTGTCTTCGCAGGGAGATCTGTTGAGAGCGGCTTCCCATTTCTCCAACCCCGAGGCAGCCCCCAACTGCTGCTATTTGCCGGGACGTGATCTCTCTAACTACACTTATCTCTACCTTTTGTAAAGTGTTCCCGCGAGACCAGGTTAAAGGGCTACCGATAGATGAGAGGGTGGGTTCGCAGACCTTTGCGTGTTTGTAAGTCAGGGCGGTACTGCAACTCCGTTTCCTAAATTCAACCCCCGGCCCCGCAGCAGCTTATCAGGATCCCCTCCCCACCCCCACCTCTCTCTCTCTCTCTCTCTTCTGTTCAGCAGAGTCTCTATCTTTTTCCGCCACAGAAGAACCGGAATTCAAGACAGCTACACCACTACCAGAACCACAACACGGTAGAAGGCACCCTTTCGTTCTTTTTCTGCACGCTCTCTTCCTCTCTCTATATATCGCTCCAAGCACACCCGGGACCCGCGCTTCTTCGCCGGTGGCAGGGACCGGCGAATGGAGAAAACAGAAGTCTACTGCACCATTAATGGTTCCGTTCTGCGGTGTCGATAGAGAAAGCGAGGAGAAAGACGGAGAGGGCACTTTTTCAGGGGGTGGCGTCCGATGGCGAGTAAAGGAACCTCGAAGAAGGCGACCCATTCGCAGCAGCAACAGGCGCAGCCGCAAGAGCACCAACAGATTGCGTTTGGCATGGTTCAGCCCTCGTCTTCCCTGCCCGGCAGCTTCATGTAATTACACAACAGAATCGAATAGGGCGAGAGCCACGTCTTGATTTCCTTCGTTCAGACCATCCGAGATGTGGAGGAGTTTGTCGGTGAGAGGGGGATTGACCACGGGAGTGCTCTTAGTCTTTGGGGCCCCTAGTTGTGAGCAATTTGCTTCTCGTATATCTTTTGCTGAGAGTTCGGAAAGTCGCGGTGTGATTTTGGACGGTGTGTTGGATAGAGATGGACATGGGTAGAGAGAGGATAATCTTGGCTTCAATAATGATATATTTCGTGGCGCAGTGCTATATACGATATCTGCGAACGATTTATTTCCTCGTGGAGAGGCGGAATATAGGATTGTTCATCGACATGAACGATATTGCGTCTGAATCTCTATCCAGATGCCGATTTTGAGTTTATTTCATGTGCTTCTCGATTGCAGGAATAAGGATACTGGAGCCTATGACCTGGGGGAGCTAGATCAGGCACTATTTCTTTATCTAGACGGACATGAACATCCCTCGGTTCAAGAGCAGAAACGTAAGCAGAAATTATCCTGATGATATTTCAGAGGTTCAGTCTGTTAGTCATTCTACTCTCTCTCTCTCTCTCTCTCTCTCTCTCTCTCTATCTCTCTCTCTCCCTCTCGGTGTGAATCTGGAGCATTGAATTTATCGATCAGTACCGAGGACGGAGTTGCTTAATCATAGCCATGAGAGACAATGGCAAGCAGGTCTTCCGGCGTCGATGTTTCGACTAGATTTGTCTGGGTTTTGCATAATTTTGAAAATCGTAGAGGATGAGACTTCATCTTTCAGGTTTTCTCACGTTTTTGTTTGGCTGAACTCTGCAGTGGAATTACCACTGAACCTTTCTCTTTTTTCCATCCTTCTCCTACTCCCAGTTGCGCTTCTCTTTCATCTTCTCCGTCTCCGACTTCTTCAATGGCGGGGAACTGAAGCCCCGACGAAACAAGCAGTCTCTCTTTCCTCTAACCGACTGTTTTTCTCTCCATGTATATGTATACATATCTGCCTAGCTATGTTTCCTATTCCTTGCTGAGGAAATATACCATCATTTTGCGTGGGAACGAAAGGAAGATGAAAGGCTGTCTCCTTCCTATTTTTGTTCCTCCTTTGCCAATAGTTGAGTCGCACAATTCAGGAGATTTAATGCTTACAAGGCTTTCTGTGTGCAGAAACCTTGAACATCTTCCCATCCCAACCCATGCATGTTGAGCCGTCTACAAAGGTATGGGCAACCTCTTTGCAGTTATTAATTCTCCTTTCTTGTTTTTAATTTGCTTGGAGCCCTACAGCTGCTCAACTGAAAAACTGTGTATTTCCAGGGAGGCCTTGGCATAGCTTCCCCAGCAACTTTTGTGTTCAAAAGACCTTCAGACCGGTCGCCGAATTCAACAAGAAGTCAACTCCCACCTGCGCCAGATCCAGGGAAGGACGTCAAATCAGCAGAGAAGGCAAGTAGAACTCTCTCTCTCTCTCTCTCTCTCTCCATCCCCCCTTTCTCCCTCTCTCTCCCTCTCTCCCACCCTCTCGGAATTGGATGTCTTTAATTTCCCAGTTTGATCTGACTCATATTGATCTTCTCTGCTGTTGTTGAAGCAGCGTCAAGGAAGTAGAAAGGCCACAACATCCAGTTCGGAGCAGGAAAGCCCCAAGACGTCGGACCCTAAGGTTTGTCGCCGTTTGAACGATCCGAGTCCCCCGACTGTTGACCGCATCCGTTTCTTCTTTTCTTCGACGATGAGATGACTAACATCAGTAGCTCAGCTTAATTTGACTGGCTAATTTATTGGCAGATATTAAGGAGGCTTGCTCAGAATAGGGAAGCAGCAAGGAAAAGTAGGCTCCGGAAGAAGGTACGGTCAACCCTAATCAGAATAGAGCAAATGGCGTCTCCTCTTTGCTTTTACCATTCTTTGTGGGATGCTGTTTCTTCTCGTTTCTCATGCTAGACCATTTAGTAGGAGACTACTCAAAATGAAGACTTCTCCCCCATTATGTTTGCATTCTACAGGCTTACGTCCAGCAGTTAGAGACTAGCAGGATCAAGCTGACGCAGCTCGAGCAGGAGCTCCAGAGGGCAAGATCTCAGGTGCAGCCGCTTATCCGTTGGCTCGCTACTGATCTTACCGAATCATATTCCTTTCTCCTTCTTTCGTGATCCAGTTTTTCACGCTAACAACATTTTAAAACGCGCTTAGGGCGTGTTCATGGGCGGCGGTCTTCTTGGAGACCAAGGGATGCCGTCGGGCATCGGCTGTATCAGCTCAGGCATAGCTCAGACCTTGTGGCTTCTTTGGTTCGCAGTTTTGTCAAATTATATCTTATGTTTATCTTTTCCGTCCTCCTGTAGATGCAGCGATGTTCGACACGGAATACGCGAGGTGGCTAGAGGAACACCACCGCCTGATGTGGGAGCTGAGGGCGGCGGTGCAAGAGCAACTGCCGGAGAACGAGCTGAAGATGTTCATCGATAGCTGCGTCGCCCACTACGACGAGATGATTATCCTCAAGAGCATCGTTGCCAAGTCGGACGTCTTCCACCTTGTGTCTGGCATATGGAAGTCTCCCGCCGAGCGGTGCTTCATGTGGCTAGGTGGCTTCCGCCCATCCGAGCTCATCAAGGTTTTTCTTCTCTTCACATTCACTAAATATGCTTATCCTCCTTTCATTACTCGTCCTAACTGCCCTTGTCCCTGAAAGCTCCACTCCACTTGTTTGATGTTGGGTCCATACTCCGAATCACTTCCAAAGCCATTGAGTTGTTCCTTCTGCTACACTCTCAACCTAATCCCTTAGCCCAGTCATCAAAAACCGGAAAATAAAGCCATGCAGAGAGATAGTGAGACAATCACAATGATCATCAAGCCATTTCCTTCTTAAAAAACTCAAAGCATCTTAGGCATAAGCAAACGGACTAGGTATTGTGACGTTAGGAGGTACCCGATCCGAAGAGTGATCTTTATTGATTCTGGATTGATAATGGTGAAGCTCCTCTCCCAGTGAGTGACCCACCGGTGATCCATATCGGTGACAAATCTCACTTGACGAATCCTCTGCTATCTTCTTATTTGCGATATGATACCTTGGACACAGATCTGGCACCCTGAGGGATAATACAAGAGAGTACCAAACCCATTACCATAGTTGTCTTATCATGAGGGCCAAATAATCTACCAGCTTTGTCTCCAGAGCCGCCAGCATTTGAGTTGTTGGGATTTTGTTAGGCGTGAAATGAATCTTACCATCTCTTCAATTCAAGATGGGTACAAAATACGCGTACACATATTCGTATATAGGTGGATAGATAATGCACATGTGTGAATGTATGAAGGCAGGGGTAGGTGCATGGTGTTAGGTGCCGAAGTTGAGGATAGTAACTTTACGTCTGTACCTTCCACAGACGGAGGAGTTGGTTCCTCGTAGAAGAGAAGAAGAGGTCTAACAAGGTATGCACACATTAGGACGTGCATACTTTTTATGGCACCCGTTGATGCCTATGTTTCTCTGTCCACACCTTTCGTGGGTTCTCAATGATACATAATAATGGAAATTAATTTCATAGACATATTATGCAAATTTTGTACAAGAGATTGTAAATATGGATACAGAACTCAGGAAAACGGTAGTAAACGCCAGAAGTAAAGATCATGTATTCAATACGATTAAATACAGGTATTCTTCTCTCAAGTCATGATGTTTTGGATTGAAGCTTTCTGTCTCTACTCGATGTGTGCCTCTGGGTTCCACCAAATAGAGAATTTGTGCTCATTTCCCACCTTTTGAAAATTGTGAAAAAGCCCCTTTTATCTGTTCTCCACGCATATGGGACCTCTTTTTCGGGATGCTAAAAAGAAATCATACAGTTTCTTGCCCAAAGTTTTGATTTGAATCAGCATTCCAAACGAAACAAGATCTCGATTGAACTATAAGATTCTTTCTCTCTCTAACAGCAATGGAATCCAGAGTTTAACCCATATCCTTCCAGAAGGAATAGCATGCTAATAAGAAGCATGATTCTTCCAATGTAGCATGCACAATTTTCTCGTAGTGAGCTCCTTAGAATCTCACAACCAAACCTCTTGTTTGCTAATTCCGAATTCATTCGATCTAGATTCCTCTATCCCCTGCATATCATCAGCTCAGCTAAGTCTAAAGATATTTTTTCTATTTAAAGCCGAAGATCAACAGAAAGTGAATGGGATTGCTTCGTCTGTCTAACAGTTCAATTCAACCATAACCACTCCAAAATAATATGAAGGTAAAAACGTGATCCATGAAAGGACTGCCAAACTTGCATTTCTTTGAATATTCATGACCTATATCTGTTGTGGGTCTACCCCCTATGATTCAGCCTTGGTAACCAATGAAAATAGTTTTTTCGTATCTGCGTTGAACCATTGCGTGGTACGTTACTGGCAAAACGAAAATCACCCTTCTTATTTTCTCTTTCTTGCTCTTCGAATACTCTACTAAGCACCAAACTCCCCCAACATAGTATGACTTTATTTTGTTCGTATAAATTTCATCACCCATGTAAGTTAACTGAATATGTACGACCTAAATTGACATTTCTTTCCTTTTGTTTGTGGTGTTCGGATACAGATTCTACTCAGCCACATAGAGCCGCTGACGGAGCAGCAGATGATGGGATTATACTCCCTGAGGACGTCGACTAATGAGGCCGAGAACTCGCTAACCCAAGGTCTCGAAGCCCTCCAGCGGGCTCTCTCAGACACCATTGCCTCAGATGAGCTGAACTACCCGTCCAACGTGGAGAACTACATGGGGCAGATGGCCATGGCCGTGAACAAGCTCTCCACCCTCGAAAGCCTTGTTCGGCAAGTACGTATATCTTATGTTCAATTTAGCATTGCCCAACGTTCTCCGAATCTTTCTCTTATCTCTTTCTCCAGTAATATTCAAAACCTCAAAAGGATGCAGCCCAACTACAAAATATCTTAACATTCAGAAGGGGGATGAGGTAATTTTGATAGCTTTTGTGATCCTTACAGGCCGACAACCTGAGGCAGCAGACCCTCCACCGGTTGCACCAGATGCTCACTACACGTCAAGCCGCCCGGTGCTTCCTGGCGATGGCCGAGTACTTCCACCGCCTCCGGGCCCTCAGTTCCCTCTGGCTAGCTCGCCCAAGACAGGAGTGAGCCGACAGATTCAAGCGGAGTATGCACGGAGAATAGGGGATCAGGGATTGGGAAAGAAACAAGGAGAGCTGATAACGCCATCTTCTTTTCGGCTGGAGGGCCGGATACCTATCGCGCCTTAGTTCCTTCCCGTTGCACCGGAAAGGGTCAGTTTGGGGAATAGGTGAATGGACTCTTTTCAGAAGAGGCCGTGGATGTAGACCAGCTAATCGGATATACGGATACATTTCATTGATGGAATACGGGTTTTGACCACCATTCTCTCGTTTCTTCTTACCTGAATCTTCGACTGCAGAATCCGCCCTCAGCAATAGCTTCGTGAGTCTTCTCTCTCAAGAACATCAACAAATGGAGTTGTTGGCCGATTCCTCCCCCACCCACCACCAACCACCCCTCCCTTCTCTATCTCTCTCTCTCTCTCTCTCTCTCTCGCTCGCTTCTTCGAAACTCTCTTCTTAGCCCGTAGTTAATGGTGAGGAAGGGGGTTGGCGCAGGTTGACGGCGACGAAGGGGGTGGCGGAGTACAGATGACGAGTGGGCGAGACGGTCGCCCATTTGGCTAGCTTGTGGCTTGCTGCATGCTCTCCGAACATCTGGTCAGTCTTCACAGAGACGCTTTTTGGATCAGGAGTTTGTCTTGTACCCTATTAAAAGTGGGGAAATATGCCGCAAATTTCTATCTTTTCCCCTTGAATATGTGCTGATTTACTATACGATGGGTTTGTGGACGAAGTTTCCTGAACGGACGGCGTTCCCCGGGGTATCTCAGGTTTGGGAACCCGAAAGCCTTTCGTTCGACTCGCACCGCGTTCCAATACATATGACCTCTAGCCTCATGCCTTCGAATCTCTCTCTCTTTGTGGTGACGATGGGTCCAGTAAGCCCAAGGCCGGGCAGTGGCATAGAGTTACACGGTGGTCTGCCAAGTGAGAGGTGTCACATACAGGATTGATAAGGGCAAAATGGACTTAGGACTTACAAGGAGATATCATCCGTCGTCTCCCGTGTCGGCCGTGTTTGTCGAGGATCCCTTCAGACCTAAGCCCATTGGGCTTAGGCCTCCGGCATGCCCATCTGATCACAAAGTACACCCCCCCGTATATCATCCCAACAGCTTGGTTGGCCTGCGGTCACATGCTTCCCCGTCGGCACGTGGCCCATCTTTTTCGGAGGGCAATGTCGGCGCCGGGGAAGCCCAGGGTCACCGGGAATCCTGACCCTGTCGGGGGGTTCAACAAATATTCCAAGTAAAAAATGTAACAAAAAAGAGGGATTCGGGCCTTAAGGCCAAGAATGGTGATGTCTTTCCCCACCGTGAGATGAAGCCGGCGGAGCCGACGCCTGCCGAGAGGCCCCCAAAGCTTTACTCTGCCGACGACTTTAACAAAGTCCGGGACAAACGTCTGGAAACCAAATCGCACCAATCTCAAGTACACCTTGGGACTATAAACGAGACCCAACGTCATCGGGGAAAATAGTTTGGAGTCCGTAAGAAATTGTGTTCCTTGTGAACTGTTTGAGGCCGCCTGTTTCATCCTACCTTAGTGGCCTTTGAAACTGCTGTAAAAAGATACGTCCAACACCTTTATTTATCATTATGCCATTGAGTTCGTAGATCGTTGATTGACCTTCTTCTCTTCCCTTATTCCTTCTTCTCTCCCCTTTTTCCTTCTTCTCTATTATCCCTTTATTTCTTTCCTCTTTCTAAGAGCTTCATACCTTCTCATCTCTCATCTCTCTCTCTCTCTCTCTCCATTTTTTCCTTTGACCTCTGCTCAATAGCATACCGAATTATGGCAGCGCCTTCAAATGTGGTGTCTTTCTTTTCCGCGACGACTATCTGTTAAGAAGAACTCAATTCATCCCTTTCTTTAAGAGTCATGGTTATATATGTCTGTGGTCGGTGGCTCTAATCTGCCGTCTCCAAAGACTCTCATTGATGAGAAGAAAGTCTAGCGGCCAAATTCCGACATCACTTTTTGGGAAAGAACCGAACAAATAGTTATTTCATGGATCATAACATCCTTGATAAAGCCGCTCCTCCTATTGGTAATAAGTTACTACACATCGTTAAATGTGTGGTAACCAACTAACAGTGGGAGGATGGGCTCTGTTAGAAATGATATTAGCCATGAAAGAACCCTTTGGTAACAGTTCTCTCCTCTCTACTCTCTCTTTAGCTCTCTCCCATCTTTTTCCCTCTTCTCTCTATCTTCTCTCTTCTAGTTTACACAGACCTCGATCGATATTTATTTTCATCTTCTTTCATGGTTAGTTCCGGCGAAGCCGTTTATCGTAAATTTATGACCGGGTCCTATTGCGTCCCTCGTTTGCTTTGTATCAGGGCCAACATTATGCCGGGAACTGTTCTGATTCATCAGACAAGAAGGTTCATAGGTAAATGGGTCGTGTTCCTGCAAAAACTCCCCTTGGGATTTCTTCTCGTAGCTGGTGAGCTGGTTTTGTCTCCCTAAAATTGTACGGCTGATGATATATTTTTTTTCTTATTTTTGTCTCCCAGTGACAACAAATTCTTTGATTACGCTTCACAGCCATCAACTCCCGCGTTTAGTGCTTCAATTCTCTCTCTTGTTTCTCATTCAATCCTCAGACTTGATCATGCCGATGTCTGTGGTCCACGTATCGATCTATTTAGCCCGGTAGAACTTTAGAAGATTTTTCTCGCTGATGCGAATCCCACCGTACGGATACACATCTGCTGATGTATGGGTTTTGCTGGATGGTGTCTACTGTCCAACATCTTTGATTTTCTAGTTGAGAATTCAGTAGTTTATCACGTAATACATAGGAAGCACTGCTGGGTGGTTCTTGATGTTGCTTTGTGAATAACGATAGTTATGTGCAGAATGTAGAGAGTCTGATCACATGCTGCCTCTACTTCAAATCCGTGTGTATAGAAAACATGCATCCAATCATCCAAACCCCGTGCAAACTTAACTTTATTGATAAATACTTAATTCTTCTTCCTTCTTTTAGACGTCTTAGAGAAGTTTGTCTTACATTGTTGGGTTTTGATTCTTTTAATCCTTGAGGTAATCAAATCCACCTTACTTGTTGATGTAAATTTGATGAATAATCAATCCGCGGAAATTTCTCCAACACCTTGATGTGAATGACAAGGGGAAGAATTATCTGACACATTTTTTAAACTCAATATTCCATATTTCTTTATCTAGTCTGTATACAATCTAATTCTCGTGATGATTTTTATTTCTGAATTTCCACATTCCTCATGCCTGTTGATTATTATGAATGAATATCTCATCTTCAGGAACTGCACTGCTTAGTTCTTCACATCGCATGCTCATTCCAGCGGCCATTCAATCAAATCCATCCTTATAATCCCAGAGAATTCCAGTCAACAATTTTATCGTCCACGCATTTATCCTAAGATTCGAATTTTGCATTATCATCAGCAATTATTCTGGCGATTTATTCATCTTAAATTCACTGTTCATATCAGTTGGATGCGGCTACTCTCTATGCTCTACGTCGTGTGAATGAACCAAGCATACTCTATTGAGACATTAACCAAAGTTGATATCTCTGGAAAAGGTTGAGGACATGTATTTTCCAAAAGAGGTTCACGCGAAGAAGAAGGGAGAGGGCGAATTCTTTGCTTTGCTCCTGCTGTTAGAAACTTTAGTTGCTTAGGATTCTTTTAGCTTGGGCAATCAAGTCTGTTCATTAAACGATCAGCTTTGCTTGGAGTCCCGTGTTTAGTGACTTCAGCTGCGTACCTTCTTCAAACGATCTGTTTTTTGCTCCAACTATGGTTAGTAGTTTTTAATTCACTTTGTTCTTGTTCTTAAGCAGGTTTTGCTTGGAGCCCAATTATCCACCAGTAACTTCAGCTGCTTATCCTCTCTAGTTTTGGTAATTGATAAGCTATTTTCTTCTATTTGACTGAAACCCAGGAGAGGATAGTTCGGATATCTGAAGAGTTCCAGTCTTGTGTGCCGAGGCTGATTCCAGATTGTGAGCCGATCATCGTTGAACACCTAGTCCGGTTATTCGTGGGACTATTGAACCGCTAAAAGATACCAGCTGACATGCCAATTCTATAGTCATTAGGCTCTGATTCATCCAATGAAGGGCCCATGTTGGTCCCACGGTGGTCTAGATTCAAATCTTCGGACGATAAAATAGGTAAATAATATGATATGTAGGTGGCCTAGGGAACATATAATTTTCGATGAATCTGCCCACTTAGGGAGAAAAGAATGGATCTGATACTGGACAGTTAAGGAGATATTTCATTGGTTTACCAGTCTAATTAAGATTCTTAAATTGTTCCGAAAATTCTATCTTCCAATGACTTGACCAAAATTGTTCGTCGATTTTTATTTTATTTTTTTAATATGGGTTATCAGCCTGGTGGGATCCCTTTTTGAAGAGAATTGCGTTAAAAGAGTCTTTTTCTATAGGCATCTTATATTGTTAAAAAAAAAAAAAAAAAAGCTTCTGATGGGATGAAGAAAGTGAAGATATGCTGAAGAAAAAATAAATAATGCGGATATTTTAGAACATAATCACGATTAGCGTCTTAAATTGTTGTCCAACAATTCAAGCATTTGATGACATGAAAAAAACAAAGATGGACACCGGAAGGTACAATTAATGGGATATTTTATTGGGTTAGCAGCCTAAGTTGTACAACAAATTCTAGCCTTTCTTCCCTCCCCCAGAACACGGGAGTTTTGATTTTAGGGGCGTCTAAAGAGACCCTTCAACCCCAATCTTCCCCCTCAGACACCCTGACACGACCTTGCTCATGTACATGTAAATGAAGAGGACGGGACGACCTTGTTCAGCAAGTGAATCCCTGTTCAGGGTTCTCTCCACTCCAGTCTGTCCAGAGAGTCAATGATCGCCTTGCGGAAGGCGTCGTTGTGGAATAGAAACGATGAGACATGGCCACCTGTGACCCACCTAACTTCAGAACCGGGCCAAGCTTTCTGGAGTTCCATGACAGAGTGTCTAGGGATGTACCCATCGTCCTACAGCCAGAATAGGTTTAATGTCATATGGGTTTTCATGAAGATGTTGGAACATCTGCAGATGGGTTTTTAGAGGATGCGGCAGCTGTGTCAGAAGGAAGTATTGGTGTATGGCGTCTATATTCCCTCCACAAAGTATGCTTTTGACTTATAGGTAATAAACAAGGAAGAAGATGAATAGCAGCTAGCAAACCCAAACGAACAAAGCTTCTAAATAAAGTCAACAGGCTTATAAAATTATTAGACTTATATATGCTGATATAAATAGGCTCAATTTAGTGAAGTAAGATTTTTGGACTTACAGTGGCTGCAACGAATATGACCGCCTGAGGAATCTTGGGTACCGGAAAGCGAGTCACATCTGTCAGTGACAAAACCGATCGCATCCGCTCCCTCACTTGTTCTAGCGTCATTGTAGCTGCTTGTGTCGCATCTTCTCTCAGCGCCTCCCAAGCAGTGGCGTGTTTCAGGATTCCTTCACAAAAAGCCACTTCTGCAGAGTGGGGAGAGAGGAAGGGTAGTGTGGCGACTGGTGTAGGGTGAAGAGATCCAACCATTGCTGCATGCACTCCCCCTAAAACAGGAGCATGACAGATAAAACTTAGGGATGGTTGGATATTGCCACTGAGACAGGAAATACCACAGGTTAATACAGAACATAGCACTAGCAGCCGATATCTGGCCCAACTAGGTGGTTCAATATAGTATTGAAACGCTTGTTAGAAATACTGGTAGAATATAGCGAGAAAAAAACCCAAAACTAGAGAGATTGAGAATAGAGGAAGTAAGAGTAATGAATTTTAGGGATCGTAACTCTAACTGTGTTCTTAACGCAATCGTTAAAAGGGAACATGAACTATTTTAGTTACCCATGCTAAGGCCACAAACACCAGTCTTGCCAAAACCAGCCTCAGTTTCCAACCAGTGCAACAGAGATCTTGCTTCCTCAATGGTGGCTCTTCCTAGCAATAGCAAGTCACTCACACAGAGTAGCTTTGCCCCACGCTGCAGTCTAGGACGTCGTTGTCCATAGAATGGGCTGCGGCACATTCAATAATATTTAAGTAGCTACAACAACACGGAAACTGTATCCATCTATGCGACAAAACAGAACGGGTATTCTTCACCTCTCAAGAACCATGGTAGCAATGTTATCCTTCAATAATGGCCCACCAAGGCGTAGCCTACGCTCAAATGAGTGGTCGCCTGTGCCTGAAATTTTCAAATAAAAGCACAGTTTCAGTGCAAGTTGAATACATGGATCACATAAAAGTAACCTAATTCCCAAGATAAAAGCATCACCAGAGGCAAATATGAGACAAAACGCAGCGATGCATTTAGCCAAATAGATTTTCGAAAGAAAGCTTAAGCAAGCTTCACATGTTCACTTCTTTATTCCCCTCTGAAACAGGATTGTTACTTATGGTATAATCCTCTACCTTTAGCTGCAACTATTACAACAAATGTGTCCCTTGCTTGACATCCAATGATGGAAGCTTCTGATGAGCATCATTCACATGGCATGAATATAAAACAAGCAAAGAAATACCACAAGAGCAAGTACACATCTTCAGCTGGCTTCATAAGAACTACAGTCAAGGGCTATTCTTCAAGAAAACTTCAGCAGTGGTAAAGTAATTAAGAATTATTATATTTCAATATAAACATATTTGATCGACATCCATTGGATAACTCATTCATTAAAAAAATGAAGCGAGTATGAGACAGATATGATTGAATGCTCCTTTAAAGACAACAAGAAAAATCTGAATTGTCGCTTTTATTTCTTAAAATGAAAGATGAAAAATAAGTGATGAAAAGCTGGTTAATGGCGTCCAATACCTGCCAGATGAACTACACAGGCCATCTTCTGTGGCTGGACAAACTTTGGCGCAAGAAAAGCAACCCTTGCATTGAGACTTTCAGGAGGCAGAGCGCTCATGAGTTCCTCACTGCATGGTGTCCTAAAGACACCCTCCCTCAGACAAGAATTTCTTGATTCCCAAACAGTTCGCCAAAGGGGCTGGACCAAACTGGGGGTTTCCTGGCAAATGATTTCTGGGAACAGTTGTTTGATCATACTCTCCAGAAGATCAAGCTTGCTTCCCCCCCATCCCCTTGAAAAGAAGGGTGTAGTCAATCGGTTACGATGAACAAGCGCCCCATAGACGTGATCTAATACATAATGGAGGATTCCCAAGTTTACAGTAACCATCTTCAAAAGAACGACTAGATATTGACTTCCCAATGATATGAAAAAAACTTGTTTCTGTCAATCAAGTTGCTTCAGGGAGAGTTTCGATCTGCAGATAAGAGTTTATTAGTAAGGAATATATACATACAAAAAAAAACATATAAGCAGCACCCATAGGCGGATCAGCATGTTCCCCAAAATAAGAACCATGACAAAAAAGAATTATGATACAGACAATACATTTCTTTCGTTCGCAGTCATTCTTGTCGCTATGACTCCCACAACCTCTTCCTCAAAGAAAAAATAATCAAAGAATAGGCGAAAATACACAAAAAAATGGCATTTAAAACATAAAAACCCAAAGAGAAGATTCTATAACAGAAAGATAATTAATCATTGTAGGAAATTTCAGGAATCAGAGACAAGATTTAGGCCCGCGATACCAATAAAGGCCAGGAGTTAAAGACATACAGATCCTTATGCAATTCCTAGATTCTGAAAAAATATATTATTCCCTCATTGCATATTCACTATGAAAAATGAAGTTAGCTAAACTGCGAACCTATGTATAGACATTTTCGTACTAGGAAGTACATGAAGGTTTGTATGATTCCTAAAATATATTTCTCATTAAACGAGAAAGTGAACCGACAATGTAGCCCTTGTAAATAAGCAGTAAGCGATGAAAATAAAAATATTTATTTTTCGAGAATAACCTACGGCCAGAAATGCATGTGGGACAATACGTCACTACAAAATAACTACAGAAAATATTAAAATTAAAGAAAAAAATTACCATGGCCTTTATAGGACAAGTAAGATGTAAAACATCAGTAACATATATCAGTTTTACCAACAAAAATATGAGCAGATCAACCTCTTCTAGGCGAATTAGTTTCTAAAATCCCTTTATTCATCCCTATACGAATATAATATATGTAAATGATAAAACCAAAAAGAAACGATGATAAAACCTGTTACACTGGTTTAACAGAAGAAATTCTAGCCATGCGAGAAAAGATGCCTCTAAATCAATATCCCCCGGGAGAGGACACACAAGACACACGGCCACTGCGATAACTCTCTTCGTCACAGATCGCTTCCTTTGGGGACTTAAAGGCTTCAAAATCTATATAAATTTCGCCTAAAGATCATTGGTTTCATTGATGATATGACAGGGATAAAAGGTAAATGAAAAAATCCAAGGAAATTAAGATGCCAAATGTAGATCCAGTTCCAATAGAAATTCATTTGAGATCTTACTCACTGCTCCAGAACGAAATAAGGGAATGCTGCTTTTTTCCATATAAAGCTGAACGTTAGCGGGACTTGATAGTCCGAAGAAAAACAATACGGCCGGCTCCAAGAATGGGAAAAGGTAGAACCCAAATCTAACTATATCTGCACATTAATCCAAGAATACCTCCCAATAAAATCGAGAAATCCCCGAATCTAAACTCCAGGAGAAAATACGCTCAGCAAACAGAGGACAAGCGCCCAAATTCAGCCCAGAATGCACACCGGAACCTCATCCAACTCAGATGGAGAACATGCCTGGTTCCAATCAGCAGAGATCAATCTTCTGCGCGTAAAATCTGCCCTAACGAAGGAGAGAGCACCTAAAAGATCCGTCAATATGCGGCCGTCGCGATGCGGATAGAGAGGAGCTCTTGAACGAAGGACGGATGGAAGACGGATTTTTGTGCGAGAAACAGCCGGCCCCACTGAGACGCCGATTCAACGGACAACGATGCACGGGCTAAGGGCAAAGGCCGCCGTCTCAGAAGAACGGTGGGGACCCACGGGGTCCACTGCCACGTCAGACGACCGCGTCCACGTCGACTCGATGAATGATTCGTGGATATATGTGGATAAGAAAGAGGGAGGCGGCGGGGTGAGAGCGGATCTGTGGACCCCCACTATGGCAAACGGGGTAATTGGGTTATCGGATGTGGTCCGGAGAAGTCAACTAGCGTTGTCAACGGGCGGGTCCGGGTTGTCCTTGAAAAAAAAAGCCCAAAACTGCAGGTCCAATAGAGCCCCAACAACGTCATTGTCTTCTTTGAATCATGATAGGCAGAAGGTCTTTGAGAAACTCCCCCTCTGAACAAAGGCCGAATCTTTCAACGATGGGCGGTCTAGGTGCGGAGGGTGGCCGATCAATGGACAGGTGGACCCAGCCCTCCGTGGCCATGGCCAAAGAGACAAAGGGGTAATCCCAATTGGGTCCCATCCGATTCTCTCTCTCTCTCTCTCTCTCTCTCTCTCTCTCTCTCTCTCTCTCTCTCTCTCTCTCTCTCTCTCTCTCTCTCTCTCTCTCTCTCTCTCTCTCTCTCTCTCTCTCTCTCTCTCTCTCTCTCTCTCTCTCTCTCTCTCTCTCTCTCTCTCTCTCTCTCTCTCTCTCTCTCTCTCTCTCTCTCTCTCTCTCTCTCTCTCTCTCTCTCTCTCTCTCTCTCTCTCTCTCTCTCTCTCTCTCTCTCTCTCTCTCTCTCTCTCTCTCTCTCTCTCTCTCTCTCCCTCTCCTCTCTCTCTCTCTCTCTCTCTCTCTCTCTCTCTCTCTCTCCCCTCTCTCTCTCTCTCTCCTCTCTCTCTCCCTCTCTCTCTCTCTCTCTCTCTCTCCTCTCTCTCTCTCTCTCTCTCTCTCTCTCTCTCTCTCTCTCTCTCTCTCCCCCCCCCTCTCCCTCTTCTCTCTCTCTCTCTCTCTCTCTCTCTCTCTTCTCTCTCTCTCTCTCTCTCTCTCTCTCTCTCTCTCTCTCTCTCTCCTCTCTCTCTCTCTCTCTCTCTCTCCTCTCTCTCTCTCTCTCTCTCTCTCCCCTCCTCTCTCTCTCTCTCTCTCTCTCTCTCTCTCTCTCTCTCTCTCTCTCTCTCTCCCCCCTCTCCCTCTTCCTCTCTCTCCCTCTCTCTCTCTCTCCCCCTCTCTCTCCCTCTCTCTCTCCTCTCTCTCTCCCCTCTCTCCCTCTCTCTCTCTCTCTCTCTCCCCCTCTCTCCCCCTCTCTCCCCCTCTCTCTCTCCCTCTCTCTCCCTCTCTCTCCCTCTCTCTCCTGCTCTATTAAGAGAGTAAGGACGTGGGGAGAACTTGGGAACGTCGTGTGAAGAAGTGATGGAATACCCTTATGTTATCACAATAGTGATTAGAGTTGCCTCAAGCTTCTTCAGAGTCAAACAGCGGAACTTCGGCTGCACAAGACTTTGCATCTGACAACTCTTTCGTGGACGTAAAACCCCGGCGTCACCATGACCTTGACACGGCCCGGCGGCGCCCGCGGTCTCTCCTTGTCCGAAAGAACGTCCTCCATGTAGACCTGGTCGAAGCGCCTCTTCTCCTCGACTCTCAGGATCGCCAAGGGCGGGCTAAACGAGAAGGCCAGGAGATGGAGAAGCCAGATGCATTTGGCCGCGACGAAAAAGGACTCACGGAGATGTTCTCGCCGAGGACTGGAGCTCTCCAGGAGGGCGACTAAGCAGGCCATCTTATGCTCACAGAACCTGGCGAGGTCGGCGAGATAGGGTTGAGAGCCCCTCCTGTTGAGGACCTCCCTCCAGCTCAGGCTCCGTAGAGAGACGAACGCCGAGAAGTTCTCCAGGTGTTCTTTCCGGGGGTCCAGAATCCTCTGTGAGCCATTCTTTTGGAAGACGCAGTTTTCAAAGTCTTGGTAGAAGGTTCTGTTGACCCGAGCTTGTAGATGGTACCCCAGTTCTCTGGAGTATCCGGGGTTGAAAGTCAAATGGTTTAACCGAACTGGGAAATCTATCTTCTCCATTATATCAGTACCTGCTTCTTCAATCTGGGTCATGAGGGATCTGCACAACTGTTTGACGGAGAGTCTTGCTTCTGAGACCATCTGCAAGAAGCCCTCCAGCATTACTTCGTGACTGACCGGCTCCGGGTTTCTCAGCGGCGTCATCCTTCTCGTCGTCGGGTCGTGCGGCTCTCCCTGTCTTGCCTCTATCAAGGCCTTCTTCAGCTCTTTGCAGTACGCCTCCAAGTGACCGAGCTGCTGTTTGAGCTCCGTGAGAGAAGATCTCATCTCGCCGACTTCAGAAAATGCTGAATCGCGGTTCTCGCTGGCCTCGATCAGCTCCTTCTTGAAGGACACCAGAGAAGGTGCCCCCCGGCTCTTGGACACCTGAGACCTGTCTTCGGAATTCGATGTTCTTGGACACGTTTCCAGCTTGGGTTTTCTCTTGAACCTGGGAAACAACCACGATATCACTCCTCTGTGATTTGGATGCATCTGAAAGGATGGCTGATGAGAATTGATTCCTTGGACGCCATTGATTGCTGCTGGTTTGCATTTATTGCAGATGCTGATAACCTTACGGTCTTCTGAATCAGTTCTCTCTGCTGTCTTGGTGGCGTCGGTTCCCAGAGATGCTTCCTGAAGAACACCATGGTTTGAGCAAGAACCCACCGGGTAGGATTTCCGGCCGACTGCTGTTGGGAGGATCTCGTCTTCTCTGAACACTGAAGAAAACTCGGTCGCCTTCCAGTCATGAAATAGATCTTCTTCTTCCGTCCCAAGCCCAATTCTAGTCAGATTCTCCAAGAAAGGATGGGTTTTGGAGCGGATGTGGTGGCAGGCAGGCGAAGGTTCTTCTTCGTAAGTCTGCCGACATGTTTAAGAAAAATTGCCTTAATTAAGTTTCGACGATGTTGAGATAACAGCTGCATGAAATCGCGTTGGGGGGTCGTTTTGATCAGGAAAACTCGAATGAAAATCGACCGGAAGAAAAGAATCGAGCTCTCATCGGGGATCCCATGAAAGTCGGCTTCCAGAATCGCGGAGAGATAGAAAAAGAAGAGAAAACTCTCAGAGTGGCGGGTGAAGTAAACAGAAACTCACCGGCGTGAAGACGGGGTAATCCGACCCCTTAGCGGCGGACGGCCAGACCCCAAGAGGCGATCTCGGCACGGCGGCGATGCCGGCGCCGCCCCCCTGTATCAAGGCCGCGTTGAGGGCCCTTAATTCCGTCGCCTTCGCCATGGCCGCATGGACACTCCGTCGGGGGGTCTCGTGCGCTTGCGGCGAGGCGGAGGCCATGGCGAGCGGAGAGATCGGTCCACCCGCTGTGCCAACAGTTGGCCCCCACAACTGCGAGGAAGGAAGATCGCTCAGCAATTGGCCCCCGGCCAGTCCATAGTCCCCAATTCGCTTCACGGAGACCCTCGAGTATCGCGGTTCCTCCGCCGGTGATTTCTCCCCGCCTCCATGTGATCCTCTCATTAGCTTCTGGGAGACGGAAAAGGTCGTAGGGCTGGGAAGAAGGGGGAAGAGGCCAAGAGTCCCAACGAGGACCACCATGGCCATGGCGTTTTCCTTTTCATAACGCTACGATATAATGGCATGGTATGATAAAAGTTAGGGCTTTGGAAAAAGAAAATATATAGTCTGAAGCACCGAGCTGCCATTATGACGGCGGAACCTTGCACGCTCTCCTGAAAGAGATGAGTGCGCGGTAGGCGTGGCCAGTGCGGTGCTTGAGAGTTCCACCTTTGCACTGATATTCCCGCTTCCTCAAGCGAAATTCCTCGTCCTCTCTCTCTCAGTTTCTCTCTCTCTATCTCTCTCTCGTCTCCGTCGTGTCCCTCCCAACAGCTGTTGTCCAGCTCCCGCGGCCCACCAGCGAGCGGCGGTGATGCTCCGAAAGCCGGCTTTACGATTCTCTGGGTCAGTTTACTGGAGAGGAGGCCCGAGGCCCTCCAGACGGACAGCTGGTCTAAGAGGTGACAGTTTGTCCTCGTCCACGCTCCCTCTTCAACCTCACGGTGGTTCTGGGTTGTCTGCACTGCACGGTGTACACATCTACAAATATCTATGATCATAAATGTGTGTGTGCATATACAGAGAGAGAGAGAGAGAGAGAGAGAGAGAGAGAGAGAGAGAGAGAGAGAGGAAGGGTGGCGTCCAGAAGCAGACCGTCGATCCATCTTCTGCTCTAATGTCGAGCGGAAGCCAAGGAAATGAATGAGTACTGGGCACAGAAACGAAGACAGCGCCTGCGACAACCCGCCCGCCGAGAAAGAATCTTCCTTTCTGCTTACCAATAAGCTTCCTACGCCCCCAATCTGCGCCACGAAAGCGAACGAGGCCCGTCAATGGCTCCAAGAAGATCCTCCAGTGAGGGACACCGAAAGCCTCTTTATTAAAAGTTTTCATGTCAGAGGGATAACGGGCTGGACTTAATTCGGCCGGGCTCAGCCTGTATACGGGGTGAGTTACTACCACCCTTCTCCACTCCGCAGCCCCAGTGGCCTAAGCAGAGAGTCAACTATCGAAACACATCCAGATAGAAGTCAGCTGCAGCTACTCGAGGTCTCGTCCTCTAATGAGGTGCTCTTTAAATCTGAAAAGATCATCATTAAAAAAAGTTCAAATTAATGAGGAGAAATCAATTATATTTTCACTATCCGGGAAGTCTCAGATATACGTCAGGCATGCTAGGTTGCAAGTAGTTTCATCGCGCGGCTTGATTTTATTATCATTATAGTCAGAACGAAAGTTTGACTAGAAATTGTTAATTCATGCCCTACAAGACTTTCATGTACAAGTCGGGGAGTACCGTGTTGCAATTAGCTCAATCGGGGTTGATTTTATGATAAATCTCTTTATGATATTCACATTTGATCGGGTATTATCCACATTAAGACATAAGCCGAGGTGATAATAATCCGTCTCTATAAGCTATCCTGAAACTTAGATGACTAATATCAATAAACATTAATCACGATGTTAGAGAGAATGACCATGTCGAACATATTTGCTCCTACAGTAATCTTAGAGGAGATAAGAAGAGCCAGTAGGATAAGCAGTGAGCTTGAAAAGAAGAGAATAAAAAGGTGCAGGTAGGTAGGTGAGTGGAGACGGGGGAGGGAAGAACAGAGAGAGTCGTGGTCACACACCTACTTCCCTACTCCGACGGGAAGAAAATGCTTGCCCAAGTGATGACGCACCGGTTGCGTACTGTAGATGCCCGCATGATCTTAGCGAGGCCAGAGTATTTACCCTTCCTTCAGACGCCGCTGCCTTTTATGATAACTCGCGGCGGGCTTCTCTCTCTACGATTTATCCGTTCTTGGGTCGGGTTAGGTGAGATCGATCGGCCCTTGTCGTATGAAACTGTCAACGTCCAAAAGTCTACTCCGGATTACGGCATGTTGACGCTGGACGGAGGAAACTGTTAATTTATTACGCTATTTCAAAGGATTATTACCTCGAAAGGACCTAATAGCTGACCAAGAACGCCTATATGTAAACCCTTGTGGGAGAAACCCGTCGAGCTTATTTCTCTCTGTAACCGTGAGAAATGGAGATGCCATGAAGATCACACTCTTCTTCCTCCTACAGCTTGCCGTCTCTGCGTATTCCCTTCTCCAGGAGTTCTGCGTCACAGACCTCTCTCTGCCGCCGACGCCGGCCGGCTACCAGTGCCGGAAGCCCTCGACTGTCACTGTGAACGACTTCGTCTTCAGCGCGCTGGACAAGGCGGCCAACACCTCCAACTCCATCAAGGCCGGAGTGATCGTGGCCTTAGACACGCAGTTCCCCGCGCTGAACGGGGTGGGCTTCTCTATCGTCCGGGTTGACTTCGCCCCCGGCGGCGTGATTCCCCTCCACGCCCACAACGCCAACGAGCTTCTGGTGGTGATAGAGGGCACTCTCGTTGCCGGGTTCATCTTCTCCTCCAACACCGCGTACTACAAAACGCTCCGTAAGGGGGACGTCATGGTGTTCCCGGAGGGCCTGCTGCACTTCCAGGTCAACACCGGCCCGGCGGCGCCACCGGTTTGGTCAGCTTCAACAGCCAAAACGCCGGCGTGCAATTACTCCCCAACTCCCTCTTCAGCAACGACTTACCCTCGGCTTTGATCGAGAAGTCCTCGTCCCTCTCCAAGGCGGAGGTGAAGAGGCTGAAGGGCATCTTTGGGGAACCAACTGACACCATCTCAGCTTCCCCAGTCTGTTCGTATGTTCCGTCCTTCCGGCGAAGGACGAGTCCGCCGTCCAACCCCGTCGTTGTCAGTCCGCTTTCAGCGCACTGTTCATCTTATTATCTAGGTGCTTCATCTTTAACAACTCAAGTCCAGTTTTGTTACATAGCGATAAAAGCGTAGTAGTCAATCCCCATCGAAGAGAGGGAGGGGGAAGGGGAGGGGAGAGAGATCGGCGGCACCAGCTGACCGCTGTATGACAACGTGAGACGATAATTCCCCGCGACCCCAACCAAAGAACGTCATCGTAGAGAGAGAAACTCGGCACAAATTCCCATAAGGTGCTGCGGATACCTCTGGTATTATGAAGATCATGGGATATACAAAGTACCCACCGATCCGCCTGTCTCTCTCCATCTCTGTCTGTCACACACACGCACTTGGGCTTGACGTGAATTTATCAAAATGTTTTGACATCATCCATTCATTTCCATAGTAACTGCCCAATTCATTGGAATCAAAAGTCAACGCTTTAAGGTCCTGTCCGTATTATGGACGTGTAGTTAGACGAAGGAAGATGTCAGTCAAAGCATCCTGATCAATTCACGTCAAGAGAGAGAGAGAGAGAGAGAGAGAGAGAGACGGGGGCAGCGAACGGCTGGAGGACAATAGGGGCCGAACAAGACTTATCCTAGAGAGAGAAACCGGTCGCAAGTTATCTCAAGATGCCGAATCCAAAAAGGAAAATCTTCTGGTCTTCTGGAGACCATGGCGTCAATACAATACCGACACGTTAGTTTTCCGCCTCCAAGGTCTCTGACGTGGCTTGTCCCCCAATACGTTCCGAGAGAAAGAGAGCCCGTTGACCCCCCCCTCTGTTTTCCTACCCCCCCCCCCCCCTTTCTCCCAGTAGCCATGTTCTGGGTCAACTCCGATGGGGCCTAGTTATCTCCTCCCACCTCCCCTTGAGGCACCTAGGGCAGCAGGTGGCTTCAGCATACGTAGCCTGAGAGTCTCCCATCAATCATGGACTTTCCAGCTCATCCCTGACGTGCACGCTACGACTTGGCACGTGAGAAGAATAAAAAAGACAATATAATGAATCATGCGCACCATTGAAATCCATTCCACCGACGCTCAATGGCCAGCGCGTGATTGGGCAGAGATGCCGGCGACGGTGCGGGCAAAGAAGCCCGCGGTGCCTGCATTTCCGCGAGACTGGCGGCCGCCGTCACCCACGCCCAGCGTCTTGCGAAACCAGGAGCAACGAGGATTGCTGAACCGAAGCAATGCGAGAAGAAGACGTCGATTAGGCATGAAAGAGGAGGATCTAATATTAATTTTCTAATGTTGTGGGGTATTTTTAATTATTAAAAAAAAAAAAAAAAAAAACCTTTGATCCTGCAATGATGGCGCCGTTGAGGGGATGCGCAGCGCAGACCGCCACAGGTTCTGATAAGTGGATGAACTTGCTGTGAATGGCTCGACTGCTTTCCTTCGACAGGGTTGTCTCATGGTAACTGCAGAAGCCAGTAGTCGTACATGATCTTACCACTGATGAACGTTTTATATATGGTAGCACATGATTTCCAAAATCTTATGGGTTTCCATTCAATCTATCCTCATATTGTATAAGGGCCTTTGGCCTTCCCCCCCATACAACCCTGCCTCCGAATCTCAGGGTCACTTGAGATTTGCATCCGCCAGTTGGCCATCCGATTTCAGTAGAATGACTCATATTTGTTTCGATTTTCAGGTTTCTTTCGGGGGGTATATCAGCACTTGTTAGATTCTTCACTAACGGATCAAAATAGCTGGTTTAATTATTTGAATGCCTAATTTTTATCAAGATTGATAGCATGAAGGTTGACTACAAACCGATGAAACCAGTCGAAAGCTGTGCCATTTGAAACGAAAATAAATAAATACATATTGGGGATAAAATATCAGATGAGGTGTCTACACTGGTACTTTACAGGTAAAAAATAAATGAAAACGAAAAAGGAAAACGTAGCTTACTTGTACTCCACATGGCATCCTGATCTTGTATCCGGATAAAAATCAAGTAGATGAATCCCATTTCCGGAGTGGGAAGGAGCTGCATAGATCTTCAAAAAAAGAAAAATAAGGTTTAATATAAGAATTTTCCATATGGTTCCTGTTCAATGTCGTTGAACCAAAAAAACAGAAAAAAACAAAAAACTGTTTTCTGCATCCATAAAAAAATAAAAAAGGATCGTAGCTCTAAGAAGTCACCTCCCCCACACACACGCCAACCTTTGTTTAAATGCAAATGTCTATAGAAGAAGACTCAAATAAAGTTACACATGCTTCAGAAACAGCAAGAGTTGAGAACAATCAGGTTTCTCTAATGCAGACAGAGAGGGAAAAATCACTAGGGTAAGCAGTATTATTGAACCATCACGAGAACAAGGAAGGAATCATTAGAAAAACAGGTTACCAACTGGTATTTAAGAACTGAATTCGATATCTATGTTCAGGAACATTCTCAGACATGGCAAGGATAAAAGACAGTAACGCGTATAATTTCATTGTCCTCGTGACGGAAAAAGTTAGAAACAATTGCATCTTCAAAAAAAGCAGAAAGGTTCAGAGCTAGGTTCTGAACCCATAACTGGGCAAATCAAATCTGAGGTTTCTGAGCCTTACTCAACAATAGATGCGCCAAGTTAGAGAATCTTTTTACATTTCCAGCAGGGATGGAGAATTTAAAGGTCTATTCTTTAACTCGTGGTCTTGAGAAACACAGATGGTTGAGCTTACATGAACTGTAAAACAAATATGCAATGATCAAGCAGATTTCGAAAAAAACAAACGAGAATTCAACCAGAGAAGTCCGGAACGCTGACCAAAAAACTCTCTTATGTTCTTCTCTGATTAATACGTTGGAAAGCCGTTTAGTGTGAATGGACAAGTAGATCGTTTGAGCATGACCAGTGTCATAACTTTTTTAAAAACTTTCGGTGGTTTGACAAGTTGTCACCTCCGTTGCAAAAAAAACAATAGTGATGTTGGGATTACTTTAACTGGCCATGCCCCCCAGTTTGAAACAGCTTGTAGGTCGATGATCCTTTAATTTTTAGCCAACCCAGCTCTGGAACCACACAGTTCCAATACTCGTATTTAACATCTAGAAAAAGAACAGATTGCGAAGGTGGGCTAACAATCCATGGGTTTTGATGTCGGTGAAATGATGTTGGTGAAATGTATTATACTCGATCCCGTATATATATTGTGATATTGCTTACTTTTCATCATTTAGAGTAGCATTCATGTGGTAAGAACATTTCATAGTTCTTTATTAATCGCCTGAAAGATGATCCATAAAGCAATACATTTTTAAGCAGGCAGACATAGGATGAATGCAATGAGGGCTCTTTCAGTGCAACAAGAGTGGATGATCCACAGTTTTCACAACGTCTATCGAAAAAAAGTACTTGAGAAACAGTTGAAACAAGTGTTTAACTAAATGTCAACACCTTCCATTTTTTAGAAGAATGTTAAAAACTCTTCGTTATCAGCAATTAATAATCAAATGTGCATCCAAAAAAGTTCACCATGAAAATACGGACGAAAATTGATGTCATTCTTATAATTATATACTGTAGTCCTATTCAGAGGCTGAGCCTAAAGGCAAAGGAACTTTCAGACTATAAAGCAAGATCCGTGAAATTGAACGCAAAGACAACAGAAAATTTACACTACTCACTAGTAAAGATGGAATAGATGATACATGCATATAAACGTCTCCATATGACTTTTTATTTGTTAAAACTCACCGAACACAATGACAGCCATGATGGTTTTCGCATATCCAAGAAACTGGAAGTCGAGTCCACGCCATCCCTAGTCCCGAAAGTTCATTAAAATTATCAGAGGATGGCTACATGTGATAGTAAGCAACACCACCTTCCAATAAAAGACAAAGAGGTTGGTCAATTCCACTTACAACCAAGCAGGTGGTGGACAATGCATATGTGTCACATTCAAGTCATTAGTATTCAGAACTCCAGACCTATAGAGACAGCAATTAACTGAAAGATGTTAACACACGGCATATCATCGCAAAAAGGCATTGCCCAGTATCAGGATAATAAGAAGTGAAGGAAAAAAATGATAACGTAAAAGATGGCCGGTAAAATAGACTTTATAACAAGTTCTAGCAGCCCATAGTCTGACATAGGCACAAAAAGCTACCAGTGAGAATTAGGTATATTACCTTAAAAAAATTTAAACAGGGATTCATTGGAAAATGAAGAAACAAAGACGAAAACATATCATAGTTGATTTCAATTTAGATATAATCGAATCATCAAGACAAGAAATGAAACCAGCGCCCATTATTCATTCATAATAAGTAAACTAAGAAATGGAAATTGGATGGTTATCTGTAACATACCAGCCATCATCGAGATGGAATGCCAACTGATACGGGCAGGATGGATTGAAGTTTATTGAATGTATTTCCTTGGGTAAAATAGTAGTCTGCGCCTGAAACAAAATGAGAAACGATTGTCATACACTTCCATTAGTTTCATATATTTCATGCCGGACCTCTACTTGATCTGTACTATTTAATGGTAATTTATTGAGGAACAAGACAGGAAGAATGTCTTCTGTCACGGAGGACAGAGTGGAGGAGTGGCAAAAACCGCTCAACCCATCATCAACCTCTCACATCCGTTAAAAGAGAAGAAAGCCCTACAGAACATTTCCCAAAATACCCTTAGAACTTCTAACATTTTGTATTACATTATTAAGGTTTCATTAGTTTTTGCTCCCCATAATCTTCTTGAATTATAGATGCACTCCTTGTCTTTTCAATTAGATCTGTAAGACCCAAGAAACTTAGTCTTAGCATTTACTCCTTTGACTACTTTTCATTAGAGATATGCAAGTAAAATGCAGTTGCCTATATATTCTAAGACCCTAGATCTCTCTCTCTCTCTCTCTCTCTCTCTCTCTCTCTCTCTCTCTACTGGGGGGTCCCTCAGTCTGGGGACGACAGCAGCAAAGACCGTCCTCTTTTCCATCCTCTCTAACCTTAGCACGTTTTACTGTCTTTTTTTGAAAAAAAAAGATAGTTATCCTAGGAATAATGGGGTACTCTACGAATATTCTTCATACTTAACAAGAACTTAACTGAGACTGGATGCTAACCATATTATTAAATATGGTTTGGGGACTTATACAAAATTCAAGTAGTTTTTGGGGAGAGGGATAACCATATTATTAAATATGAACTATGTTTTGGTGACCAACGGAAAAAGCATCAATTTCAGAATTTACTGTTCACTCTGTTACATTTATTATATGACGTATTACTTTCTGTTTCCTATAGTTGTAATAAAAAGAAAAAAACAAGGATCATATTTGATCGTAATTCACATAGTCGATTCTGCCAACACAAGCAGTACTCGTAGGTCAGAATTCACATAATGATTCTTATCACTTCAACTAATTCCCGGATCGACACTATATAATCTTTAGTAGAACTTTTTGATGGAATCGTCCATTATTTTTAGTAGTACCCCTAGTCTTCACTTTCGTAGTTCATGAACCGCATAAATTTACTGATTCATGAATTCATTCATAAACTTGGATTTCCTCTCAGTTCCTTAGCAATGCCATTTTTTCCTTATCGTTCGTAGTTACTCCCTATTCTTGTCATCTCCTCTAAGTATATGCTATCACATTCTGCTCCAAGTACTGCCTTTTGAGTTCAACCCCAATGGTGACTTTCTGGTGCACCGGTTCCACCTCAGTGTCCGAGACGATTTTATAGAAACACCTACTGCCTCAAATCTGCATTCTACGCTTCATATATAGTCTACTGATCATTATTTTTCGCCGTACATAACACCTCACGCCTTACTGCACTATGGTTACAAAATACTGAATTTGTCTTCTTTTATCATTGTTCGGTTTCAATTACTCTTAAATATCTTATTTCCGTTTTCCTTTGTCTCAAAGATAATGTTGTCTTATTTTCCGTTTTCATTGGCACTACATCCAAAAATTTGGTGCCTTCATGTTGTCAACTCAACTTGTGCTTCCTTTTTGCTTAGATGCTCCTGAGATATGTATTGTCCGGCAAAGACGAATTTCAATCATGAACGCAGAAAGGAATAAGTTCTGCGGATAGTAAACAATTTCAAGCAGGCTTCAATAAACGATTTTTAATGCATTCTATGCAGAGAAACATTTGATTGATAATGGATATAAACTTTCATGATATAAGCCAACGTTAAACATGAAAATCCATGTTTCGATAAAGATTGCTTTCAAGAGGATAAATCCTTGAAATAATTAATATTGTCAGTTATTATTACCTATATCTATTGTCCACCAACCCTAAGAAGTGTTTTCCATTCCGTCCTTCATTTTTTATGTCGTTCAGTTTCTATTTGTATTTTATTCCCATTATGGTTTCCCTAGCAATCACGCACAGTAGAACCCAGAAAACATTTTTCAGCTAGACTTATTCTTTACCTTCTAGCCGCTATTTTCCGAGTCTGCCTAATTTTTCAACTTTTTAGTTTAATTTTTTTCGTGATCAACTGCAAGTATGAAGCAGAGAGTAAGCAGAAACCTTATTACCAACCAAAAATAAATGTACTGATGACCGTAAAGATCTCAAAAGAAATTGGTACGGGGTCGAATATAAATATTTTTGTACCTTCAGGGATGTTATTTTCTCCAGCATTGCTGCTATCTTCATGGACGTCAAAAGAGGATGATGAACCTACTTACAACACAAAATTTCCGTGATTGAAGCTCAGCATCTGATGTATAATGAAGGCCAATGCAAAAAGAGAACAATACCAAACAGATAAAAGTCGGTGTATTATGTATCAAGATAATGTCAGAAAGGAACATGATGCCGAAGTATGTGTTAAAGAAAATGCCTAGAGAGTCCCGTAGTACCACTTAGAAATCTGGGCACAGTTTCATTACTAAGGTCAACGTTGCTGCGGTTTTGGGGGCATGCAGGTAATTCTGGAACCAGTAGAACTTATCCATAAAATATCAACCTCCCTTTACTTTAAATCTCTGGTTGCCTCCCTCTCACTCAGTTGGCCGTGTATGCTTACAGGTCATCTGGGGACAGCTGTTCACGGTTCATCAAAGGCATCATCTATTTTCACTTCTTTAAACTGTCTCTCTCCGTATATCACTTATTCTCCCCAGCCCCTCAACATTGGTTAATCAGTCTCAATCTATCTAATCTCTCCCTTTGTTCCCCTACTGTACTCACTATACCTCTTCATATCTCTCTTTATTTTCCGTGTTCCTCTGCTAGACCCACTCTCCTCTTTTCTCCTTCCTCATCTTTAGTTGTACACGAAGAGAGAAAGAAACTAACCAAAGATTTGAATAATCGTCCCCCAAGTACCCAGATGCCAAAAGCATTGCAAGGTTTCTTATGCTAACTAGGAACCACGAAAAGTATGAGAGTTAAAAATTGACTGACAGTTCTGTGCTCATAAAAAACACAAGTTGAGAACACCAGTGACAGAGATGATCATTATCGCTCATGGCCATGATGTCGGTTGCATGATAAATGATATGAGTGGCATTGTGCCATCCGAAGTAACTTAATCCTAAACTCTACGTAAGTAATAAATTAAATCCATCTCAGAATGAAAAGCATGTGGTAATAGCATTACTCGTACTCGTCAGAGTCATGAATAAACGCGACCAAAAAAATTCATTACGTTACATCTTTGAATTTAGTTAGAGAACTAATACCAAGGAAACTTTCTTAACTACAACTCATGTCTCATGAAACTGCGTCCGAGATTTAAGTATCCAGATCCTGGAGCAAAAAAAACAACTGATGAAATATGCTTCTCTAACCTGATTGTGACTCTGGAATGCAAAAGATGCCCGTCCTCCTCGAAGATCCCATGTATAGATCACTCCATGTTCACTTGCACCAAATAGAATCTACAGTTTTATGCACAAGAACGATATGTTAGATGTGATTTATGTCTACAGGAAAAACATCCTGGTATTTTCATCATAGTGAAATAGCTCAAAATTTATTTACCCAATTCAAAGACACTGTTTGACTCCAGTCGATAAGCACATTCATGTTGACCGTAATTCGCTTTATAACTAGATTTTCATCGATAAATGTAGAAATTCCGACATGTATAGGATATATTTTTAAAAATGGACCAATTCATAAGGTCATTGTAAAGCTGAGATGACTTGGTTGCGAATCCTAATTACCTGACTAACTATCTAGCCGCACAAAAATGTTGTTGCAATCATCAAATCACAAACCATCAAGTATTCGGAATGGTATTTTTTTTTGGTTTTTATGTCCAATTAAGAAACACGTTCACCGATTCATTGAAGTATTACACACATCAGAGGACATCCATGACAATTTTCCAGACTCTTTCAAAATTTGCAATCGGATAGCCTAAGCTGCTGTTTATCATTTGAGAACCTCCATATAATATTCTTCAAAGATCATCTCCTTCCATAAGAAAAAATGATTCAGTACGAGCTCACCCATCTTCTTGCTTGCCCTTTGCCATCTATACTGCTCATCCGAAGTAAGATTTTTCAACGTACTCAGCCTTGTTCCATCCCAGGCCCATGTCATCATGCCAATAAAGTATATGTTTGAAAGTTAAAATAAGGAAGTAGAACCCCAAAGAAGTGTTATAATGATCTATAGGGCTCAGACCCTTATGGATTGACAATATCCAAAAATCTCAATAAGAACAAATAACGTTGTTATAGAAAATTCCATCGATGCTAATTCGAAGTTCATTGGGGGCTTCATTCCGATTTTAAGATGTCAAAGGAAGAAACATGCAAAGAAGAATTTTTCGTAAGTTTTTGGTCTTGATAAAGGAATTCATCGATCCATCAGCAAAATCAACAAAGTGATAAAATATATTGCAGCAATCCTCATGGCCACGTTCAACTATGATCCCTTACCAGTCGAAATTATAGTAGTTACGAAAAGGAAGATAATTTCGTAACAATGAGTAGAGGAAATTTACCCGATCTTCTATGTCTAGTTGAATACTATTAATGGGCGACTGCAAATTCGTAGTAAGCTCCAAACACGGAAGGGAGCCAAGTCTTCTGTCCCACATGCGAACAAACCCTCTGGTATCTGAGGCAAGCAACCTATCAATCAAAGCTGAGCAATTCAATAGGCATTGACAAGATCGATAAGGAAATGAAGATTCATAACTGTTGCATAATAATCCTATTATACACAAGGAAATAATCATAATTTTAAGCAGACATGATTCCATTATAAGATAGTGTATGAAGATGCCAAATTGACGTCACCATCTGCAATGCAGAAGACCATATAATGCACTGACCTGTTCTCCTCATCATTTGCATGTCATCAAACGAAATCATCTCCGTAGTTTAGCAGCAAGACAATACTGATCATCCCTATAGTTTTTTAAGACAACTTCCCAACCTCAAGGCATGTGCCCATGACTTCAAAAATATTGCCCTCCATCAAACAGAATGGCCTACCACCAATCTACACACCAGCTCACCATCCCTGACCAGGACCACAGCAATTGTACGAGTCCCAATTTATAAGAAAGAATGAGATAACTTTTTCTAAATTACACCAACTCAGGGTTCTTTTGTATGTAAATTACACCAACTCCTATTCTGTAGCTGCACCAGTAGACTAGAAAATAACCTTTTGGAGTGAAGCCAATCTATGACAATTAAAAAAGGTAAAAAGTGTTTCCATGACACATCAACGCAGGGTTCTTTTGTATGGAAATTACACTGACTCTGATTCCGTAGCTGCACTAGTAGACTAGAAAACAACCTTTTGGAGTGAAGCCAATCTATGGCAATTAAAAAAAGGTAAAAGTGTCTGCATGACACATCAAACTGAAAAACGTTTCAGGCAAACTAGGCATCAATAAAGCAAGCCACAGGTAGGATATATGTTATTATTCTTATGATTCAAATTTTTTTACACAACTGTAATATTGAAGGAGAAAAAATTTACAAGCGATGAAGGAGATTTTTCAATTAATTTTCGTACTCTCAAAAAATATAAATATAAAAATATATAAACTAAAGTTGAAGTTTAAATATAAATTGCAAAGACAGAACTATACTAATGAAGAAGAAACAATTTCCTGAAAAAATCACTTAATTTATAAAAAATAATAAAAATGATGGTCCTTGAAATACTAATAAATTTATCCTATAGACAATAATCTTGACAGTTGATTAAAAATTATCTTAAATTAAGTACAAAAATTCGTATCATTAATAGGATACCGGGGCGTCAATGCACTGGATCATTTAGTCCGCGCCTCATCCCACCGTAGTTTACATTGGGCTTGTGTTTAGTATGTCTTGGCCACTGGCTGAGATTGATGCATGTGCTAGGACAAGGATTGGGCTGAGTGAAATACCATTCGAGGGTCACAGGTGAAGTTTCCAGCATATTTCAAACCACGACTAAGTTTTGATGTTGTCTGGGCGGAAAAAGGGTTAGGCCCAATCCTGTATGTGAACTATTTCACTTCACCATTGACAGGCTTGTTTCCCCATAGCTTAGGATATGTGCACATTAATGCAAAGCTCGACTCGTAAAAGCGTATTATTTGAACTTGTTAACATGATCTATTAACATTTCTACAAAGCTCGCACCTATCACAAGGTCACATTCATTACTGGATCAAAGAGCATCTAATGCAGTGCAAGAATTGGTACAGTATACATGTAATACTCTGATAGACAAAGAATCTAGTATCATGGATCCAGTCAACATAATCCACAAGTTTGTTCCATTAGAATACTGAATAGCAATAATGAACTCAAAAAGGTCGTTACAAACCTGAATTTGTCCGACTTAGAAAAGGTAATATCAGATAAACCATCATATATATTGCATCCCGTTAGTGAAAATTTTGATCTCCCCTTTTCAAGTACCTGCACTGATAATTGGAGATGTAATTATCAACCGTAGGACTTCAAAATAAGAAATTCATCATGAACTGTACCACCAACAAGGTTCTCACAGAAGAACGGAAAACCTTCAAAGTTGAGAATTATGCCAACAGAAGAACAAAACCTAACACAACTGACCACTCTTATTGATTTGGTGAAAAAAATACTTAAACATGCATAGAAGACTGAAGATCAAAAAGTAGTTGATTTAACACATTGCACAACAGACAGACCAAACATCAACAAAGATATGTGCACCGGTATGTCTGTGGGAACTTTTGAAAGAAGAAATCAGGGCGATGGACTTCACAACATGAAAAATGAAAGACTAACCTCAATAGGTTCAGATGATATATAACCAATATCAAAAATAAGTAACTTGTCACTTTGTCTGGATGCACAAGCAACCTACAGACAAAAAGGACCAGAGATATTGAGCAAAAAAAAATGTTAAAAGGAGTACAAAGTTACACATCACAAAAATCTGCCATTCCAAGTCTTGCAATATAACATCCCAAACACAGCAAACGCAGAAAGCAATTTATGAAACGTTTTCGAGACAACTAAATACAGAAGTACTTGTTGGAAGGTGATTAGCATGAAATGAACATAATAATCTATTCACACGTGTCATATTGTGCATAAGCTTAGAAAAAGAATCCTGACAAGAGTCCTCAAACATCTGGAGATTTCTGGGTAATTCTATAAATATATGCAGAACCCCTTTATATAAAATGATGATTTATTTTTCCTTTCTTTCCGGTGAAAAGTTTTTAAAATGTGTGAACCTCATCCGCACTGGTGGAAGGAGCTTGCATCTTTTTCCTCTTTTTTTAGCATAATCTAGCTTTGGTATTGCCCAGATATTGTGAACCAAAAATTGTAGAGACTAAGGATAAAAAACATGGGAGATTGTGTGTCGAATCTTATTCGCTGGTGTCCTTAATAAGTACGACATATCAAAACGTGTATCACCACACCACAACATAGTCCCAGGAAATAGTGAAAGCAATCATAAGTATCACTGTTGCCTAACCAATTTGACCGATCCTGGCGCAATCATAAGTATGACTAGCCACAGCTGCGGGCGAAAACGTGTAATTAAGAGTTACTTTCTTTTGTTCAGTTTCCTAGGTTGTTTGGGCTGTTGGTTAGTTTCCTAGTTTGTTTGAGTATCCCATAAATCGTGGGATTTAACCCAGGTAGTTTTCCTTTTGGGGGGGGCAGGGGTAATTGTATATAAATAGCCATTTTTCTAGGAATTGAGAAGTCAGAATTGTTTCCCTACTGTTTATCCATGTTTGGTTTGCATCAATGGCTGACCACACACTGAAATGGAAATGAAAGGGTATAGAAAATAAACACCGAAAGAAATAGAGCTTCTCATTTTTCTTTATTTTGTCCTTTTCTATCTTTCAAGTTATCAAAACGATTTTTTCTTGACAACAAATTTCTTCCCACATTAGCCATTTAAGCTGAACTGGAAACCTATTTCCTCCCAAATTAGCCCATCTAACTGAATTGATCCATTTCATAATTCAGAATGTTTCTGGGCGAAGCCATTCTGGCTGGCTTGATCTAATTAAGCAATCCATGGGTAATGAAGTTCGGAAAAGAGTATAAGAAAGGGCAACAAGGTGCCTTCATCTATTTCTTAAATGAAGAAATAGCCAAGCAAACCAGCTGTCAGTTGTCACAAAGGATTGGCGGAATCAAGATGGCGAGTCAATGGACTAAATGAAGGAATCCCAAGACAAGAGAGGTACGAGTGGACCACACAAGAGAGGTGCGAGTGGTACTGTGACTGTCAGAATAAGGATGGAGGAATAAAAGTATGAGGAATCCCAAGACTGACAAGAGGACGACATAATCATATAAATTTAGAGTTGGTATGTGGCACTAGACATAATGGACCCACTACTGTGAAAAAGAACGTCATACTTCTCATACATCAAGAACCAAGACTAAAAAAATGCACAATCCTTGTGCCCATGAGCATTATCAGCATGGTAGGCATCATAGTAATTCCAGAGCTGAATAGCGGTATGAGGATAGGAAAAGCATGGAATTGTTAAGCATGACCGGGATTTCTCAGCACCTACACCTCCTTATTGTCAAGTAAGAACTCATTACTCACTGCCATCACTAGCTGAACTCTCTCATATATTCTTCCTTTGATAACTGGGAAATCAAATGCTAGTCCGTAGTTTGGGAAGAGAGGTGAATAAATAAAGAACAAGACACTTTTTCAACAGTCATCAGTCAAAAACATCTCATTTTATCCCTTAACCAACAGCCAACTTTAAATCATGATAAGAATCCGTTACGCTAGCAGAAAGCCCCATTTATATGCTTATCCTATAACGAACTGTTACCTTAAATCAGCAAATAACTCTTATCCCATACGAACTTCGTATATAATACCTGATGATAGGTCATACAAGACACTAACTACCCCCACAATAGAAAGCAGTATGCTGAAATCGATCATCGTGGATAGATTTCAGGATGTCCAAATTATGGCCAACAATTTCAGAGGGAATTGTGGTCCAAATTAGTAGCCCGGCACCCCCAGTATATTAGCCAGAACTGTGGTTCTGTTTTGAGTTATAGCGATACTGTTTTATTTTAACCTCTCAAAAACGAGACGTGTCTTGCGATTCAATGCTTTCCTTCACGACAGTCTCAAATAATGAATCGTAACTGGAATATTGTAAGCGAGAATAGGCATGAAATTATCCCTTCTTATCCTAATACTTTCTGTCAAACCCAAAGGAGCACCCTAGTTCTAAATGGAGCTGAGGAATCATTCACCATCATGAACACAGAAAGGAGAACACCCTACAAAATCCTCTCAAATTCTTAAAGACGCCACAACGTTCTTCGTGAGTAAGAATTGGAAACAAGCATCGAAGGATTAAAATCAAATTCGTTTAACCGATTCATTCATGTTTAAGATTCATAAGAAGGAATATCCAGATAAAGCAGTCCCAGATAATTCTCCACCATGCTTTCCTATGATAAATTATAACCGCTAAGCACTTAGCACCTGATACTTTGTTGATGGATGACCTCATAGGCAAATGGGATTTATGTCATTTTTAGTATAAGGATTCTTTTTTGGGAGCTTACTAATGATGCTTAGCTGTTATATTGCGTAAATTAGAGAATTGATTAATTCCAGAAAATCATCTACTTTGTTTTCTTGGCCTACGTATTACTACTCTAATTGATACATATTTCTCTTACATGACAGAACAAACACCTCCTCTTCGTTTAGGAATTAAGGAACAAACTCAAGATCTGAGGCCGAACAGAAGTCGTTGATCTATAAAAAAGGATCCTGACCATTAAAATTAACAAAGTTTTACAACATGAGAATAATGATTATAAAGCATATCTGATTTCAAACTACGGTTTGCAGACCTAGGCCAACTTGCTCCGACTCACATAAGTCATCTCAGCTTGCATACTTGACAAGTCGAGATCTGAATGGTGTTTGGTCAAGTCGGAGAGATATTCATTTGAACAGACACATAACTCTGGCAGCAAAGTTGTGCAGGCTCGTGTACTTGGAAAAAGAAAATTAGAGTATTCCATAATATACGTTGCATCATTCACTTGAAAAAAGAAAATGTGCATATAGACATTTTGTTCAAACCTCATCTTGGTTCATTATATTCCACCGAACAACTTCAAGGTGCTGAGAGGTAGAGATGTGTATCAACTGCTTTCTCTCGTCCTCCAAAACACCTACAAGGAGTCGAGAATTCAGAACACTGCATTGGCTGGGAGTTCTCAAACGAAAAAAGGAATGGACAATGATAACATAAGGAAAGAACTGTACGTTGATTCGTTCGTTCAATGAAAAATTCATAAAATTATAAGTTAGCTATACCCAGGATAACAACATCACATATATAAAGTTCCGTTAGAACCAAGAAAACTACTGGAAACACTTTCCTCGGAACATAGTCAACAGTATCGTTTCTCTTCCTTCATTTTGTTAATAGACATTCTACACCAGTTCATCGTCCTATGTTACTTCTTCTAGTCCAATGGCAAAGTAAAATATGATGCATCCAACTTCGGGGAATCAGATGGCAGTGCTGATGTTCTCTAATGAGAAGAGTGCAATATGTCTATTGATAAATTTTGGTCCAAGAGATCCATAACCACTCTGCCCTAAATTTCATTTCTCAGTTGTCAAATTCAGTGGGATTGTAGTGTACCAGGGCATCTAATCCCTTCCGTATGTAAATTATACTTGCCACAGTCAGGGTTCCAAACACGAACTGAAATTATCTGTATTTGTCAATCTCACTTCCACTTTCATTTGGAAATTCCTGCCACTTCCAGATCCTAGAATGGAAAGAACAACTGAAAGGGATTGGGAGAAGAGGGACAGACGAGCAAACGGAAGAGAAAAGAGTAAAGAGGAAAATCAAAGGCTATAGCTATCGACCAGACAACATTGGAATACTAAATGCAGTTAACAACTGCGACTACTCATGGCTGAACCCACTAGTAAGAAGACAATCACTCTGGACAGGAGAAAAAGCTTGATGAGTTTTCTGAAGGTGAAGAACAGACTGAATCAAAGAGTTTGCACAGATCTATGTGCCACTATTAGTCTAGGTTTCAGAATACATTTGCATGAAGACTATCAGAGGGCGAATATGCATACAAAAGAAGAACTTTTTTGTACCATTGGCAATACAGTTAAGAATTCAAGTTAGAGATGAGATAAATGGTTTCACATTCACGAATCACAAACACTGAAGCTTCATGTTTTTAAGAGATAGTAGATGGGATCAAAAGTAGAACCTCTTAGCTGTAGGGCCAAGATTCCCAACTAAAAAAACTGTCCAGCTTGCCAGTTTATTTACCTGATTTCAGCATTCACAGAATATATACAATGGAAACGAGAAAATGTCTCTTTTGGTTAAGTGGGGGAAAGATATATCAGTACATCGAGTAAAACTCGGGACTCCCCGATTTAAGATATATCAATCCATATATGGCATGAGCATTGACACAAATTGTTCTTGATGAATTTCAGGGCTGTCAGAAGATGGATATCTTAAATGAAACACTTTTTCTGAAAGGGATATGTGGAACCAATATCTAACTTTTCAAGATGCTAACAAAATAATATAATAAACAGAAGAAACAAGAAAAAAGCTCAGAGAAGGATCAAAAATAAATATAAAAAGATCAATAAAGGCCAGAATATCTTACTTTGACAGATAACAGGATAACATTATAATGCAGGAAAGTATACAGACAATACTACAGTTTCTCAAAGAATGGCTGGGGGTCAGTTTCATTTTAAAACATAGATACCTGAAAACATGTATGAAATGAAATACATAAAAAAACATATTTTAGATGGTCAACTTGGCCGTTAAAAGCAGATGGAGGTGTCAGGTGAGATGTTTTGCCCCTCTACAAACCATATATTACGCGTTCAAAAACTTGGTCGATATCTCATTAGATTATAAAATAAAAGAAAGGAGGAAATCAACATGTTAGAGAGACGTACTGTTTCATTTCAGAAAAATGTATCATAGGTGACATTGGAGAGACATATTTGAAGCTAGGTAATAACAAGACTTACTTTCTGATGGGCCATAACTCATGCAATATAAAGTTTCAAAATCATGCACGGTCAAACAGCCTGATTTTGTTACAGATGCCAAGTAGATTCCCTGGAACCCTCAAAAGAAAAGAAAGAGTTATACCAACTTATTACTTAAGTAAAAATAAATAAAATTTAATGCTATCAAAAACAAGAAAACGGATGGAAAGGTAAGTAATAAGAAATGCTGAAGTCAAATCATTTTTGCAGTTTTAAGACATGCATTGAAACATCACTACACGAAGGAACTGTGGTACAAGATGCCATGAGGGAGAACTCCAAAATCCAGTTCAATCTTGAACCTCATGGTTTTCCAAGAAAAGAAAATTCAAGAGGAACATGCTTCACGATGCTCCGAGGTTATTATTCCTACCGATATTATCCCTTCAGTTCGGTTTTTGTAATGCGGGAAACTACTTTTTCACCAAAGAAGCAGGCTGTATTTGGTAAAGATATTTTTTCTAGTTACTTTCTCATCTTAATTCTAGATAGGCAAAACACTAGTTGGCATAGTCTCCACAAAGTCTCCATTGCTTAAAAGAAAACAGAAAAGGTAGATAAAAAAGAAAATGTTTAACCAAATCCCAAAATATTATTTCCAAGAAATCGCAATGCAGAAGCATAAAGAGATACTATGTACAGGTGTGTCCTTACCTTTGTATCAAATTCCAATCCTGAGATTCCCTCTCTGGAAAAGAAACAAGGATTGCTTTTGTATCAGTGTGCAGTCTTCAATTTCGCGGGAAGCGGAAAAAAAAAATCAAAGCACGCAAGACCAAAGACCAAAATAAACAGGCTGAAACCAGTATGTCTGAATAAACAAAAATCGGCCTCAGAACTTTTTTGTCTGAATATCCTCATCAATTAACAAGATGGATCCAGTTCTAAATTTATTTATTGATATGTGGAAGTCAGCTGATCAGGTATTTCAATTTATGGGTAGCTGTGGAGGCATCAGCTGAGCTGGATTCGTTTTCAATTTATGTGAACACATATGGATTAGCCTATCGATACAACAGATTGCCTAGAGAAAACTTCGATAGCAACAAAAAATTCTGGAATTCATTGATTTCGACAACTGATTACTTCAAATCATTGTAAATTGATGTGACTCTCATGTCAGATGACATGAGTCAAAAATATCCTACTTCGGTCAACTTGATTTCCATAATAAAAAGGGAGGTGCAATCTGATAATGCAGAGTAGGGAACTATGGGTTCTGAGTTTATTGTATCTATGAGCATTGGAGACTTGATAGTATCTCGTATTCATGAGGTATTTGTATTCCAAGCGAGAGAGCTAATGAGCTTATTTAGTATGTAAAGCAATCAACCTGATCAAAGGTATTTCCTTCTTCATTGTTTTCACCCACATGAATTTGTACACTTTAAATTGAGGAAGGATATTTTAAAAATAGTTACCACAACAAAATAGCAAAGCAAAGACTTCTGATTTGCACCCCCGTCCAAGTAGCATCATATATGAGATGAACTGATATACCACATTCCGTATCTCTTTTCAGGATACATGTACATAATCCAGCATCAATGGAAATTTTATCGTGCAAACTACTGATTCAGAGTTTACAATCTGAAAACATGATTAATTCAGTCATGATGGGAGGAGGAAAGTAAACTAGAAAAGTAGAAACTGTTTCCGGTTGCTTCTTTCCATGGAACAACCCAGAAGATGAAAGAGAAATAACTAAGAACCATAAAACGGAAGCCTTAATCAGCACCATCAAGCATTTTAGATAGTCTCTAAACGTTAAAACAGAGATCTGAAACATGTTCCTCGCAGATAGCAAGAGGTCGCCAAAACAGTACACGTGTGTTGAACATTAAACTGGCACGTTATTGGCATCCCGACAAAAAGATCAGCCGGGGTAAAACATAATGAGTTCAAGATAAAACAGAATAAATGATGTATCCCAGACATACTGTTATCACGTCTGACTGCAAAGTTTCTTTAAAAATTGAGAAAGAGATGAAAATAGGTTTAACATGAGTCAACAGATGAGAAAAACTCGTGCACAAGTATAATCCCCAAAAGCGTTTCCAGTTGTTGTTTCAAATGAGACACCCCCAGCTTTATCTCCGATCAGACAAAATGAATGGCATGAAACCACCGACCTCTTAAGAGGGAGCTGAACTGCCTGGTTTCCAGCGTTTGTAATTCGTGCAAGCTAGATGTCAAAACACAAAGTTACATTCAAACGACAAATAAGCGTACCAGGTGATAAAAATCAAATATTAGTATCGTCCATTACATGGGTCGGGCAGCATTCATCCCCCATATGGTAGTGGTGTCCAAAAGCCCTGGCCTTCTCACACAGGAAATAAAAAGGAATAAAAAAGAAACTCGCGTCCATTTATATAAAAATCAAGTAAAATATCAATTCATAAAAGTAAAAATGAACCATGATTATTTCGTACCCATTCCCAAATGCTCAACCTCACTCTAAGAAAAGGTTATGAAACCCCAATCTCATAGTAAAGGGGTTATACCATTGGAAATGTTAATAAAAACAATCATTTCATTTGTGGAAATAACTCTGGTTAAGACGGAGTCTTTATTCGATTAATTTTATAGTCAAATAGAACTTACAGATTAACAACCGAGAAAGAAGAACGTTTACTTGATTTGGGAATAAAAATTTAGAAATTCCTTCAATAAAGAACATCAAAGATAGCTAAAAACGTGGTGTCCCAAAAAGAAGAAACCTACTTCGACGTAGGAATCCAGTAGCAGCCGGGAAACTCCATGATAGTAGCTGGAAGAAAATCTCCCGTTCAATTCAGTGGTAGTCTGATGCCACAGAGAACTTCCCATGACAGAGTTTCTTCTGAAGGTCAAATTTTTCAGAAAAAAGTATTTACTTAAACAGAAGAAAGTAAAAGGGAAAGATCAGCACCTAAGATGGCCCTTGGGTGTTTCATGCGATGGAGACAGGGGTACCGTGTATCTTTCCATTGTCAAGAGTCCGTCAGTCTCAAAAGAATGCGTGACGTAGGTAATTACTGGCTTGGAGCCTTAAAGCCACAGTGACTGAACAAGGAATGCGCAATGCGTTGGCTGTTGGATAGATCATGACTTTCCTTCATAGTTTCAATCTGGGACTCAATACCCTTACTTCTGGAAGAACAAAGAGGGCAGCCTACTGCAAAAGAGTCAAAGCGAGGTGACAGTTTAATCTTCTAAAAAACAAAAACGTAAAAAAAAAGGCTTATCGATTACCTAAAATTTAGACCACTTTTAATTGCCAAATTACAAAAATAAAAAGCACATGGCAACAGACAGCGAGAACCGTATGTGCAGTTTGCGATAGCCGGCTTCATTCACAGACCGGCGGTGCCGGAAGATTGCAGTAGACAACAGAGCCAGAATGACCAGTCCACACTGCCTAGTAGAATGCGAGAATAGAACCTCCCGCGGCAAATCTACACCTCCCCAGATATCAAAGAAAAAAAACCGTATAAAACAGAAAGATCCTCCTGTAGAAGAACAACACCTACATCGGCGCTTCGGTTTCTCACCAGCAGAACACGGCGTGATCCATCTTATCCGTGCTTAATGCAGGGCTTCACCGAGGATTCCAAATGCCAGGGACCCCGGCGTCGGAAGGATTCATCTCAATGGTTTTTCTGGAACGAGGGAACGCGCGGTGTTCTAGCCGCTCTCTAAACGCAGGGTTTCCCGCCCTCACTTCAACGTGGGCCAATTCCCAGCGCCGTGACCCAGACATTTTTATCAAAAGCTCACGTCGCTTTGGTCCAGACATTTTTGCTACGTATCTGACGTGTATGCCATGTCATCATTATTCGACAAAATATCCCTTCTATTACTACATTTCTTGCTCCGATTTATGCTTCCAGAAAAGTGAAACAAAGCGTCCTACTCCTCACCGAGCAGGCTACATAGCTGGCGTGTATGACACGTCACCATTATTTTATTACCACCATTGGCCCAGTACTCGCCCCCTCCCCGGTGTCTGCCGCAGGATCGACATCGGACGGCTGAAGGGATCTTTGTGGGTCATTTCAGATTCAGCTACAGGGATCGTAGTTGACGGTGCATTTAGCGGGGAGCTCCTTGGCGATGTTGCGGTCAACGCCGGAGATGGGGGGCCCGTTGATGAGGAGGCAGAGACAGGGGCGGCCGAGTGTCTTGAGGGCGTTGCAGCAGGCCTCGCTGGGCGGCGCGGGGCTGAAAGGGGTTACGGCGGGGCGGCACGGCATGAGCTGCACCAGCGCCGAGAAGAAGGTGCTGCCGCACGCCTGCGCCGCCGCCCCGTCCGCCGCGAGGGCCACCATCACCAGTAGCGCCACCAGCGCGATCCCGATCTTGGTGGTGGTGCCGCCGCCCGCCGCCATCTCTCTGCCTGCAGAGCCACCGGGCTCCCCCCCTCCCCATGGCTGACTATATAGTCGCCTCCCCCCGAGGAATCCGGCGAGGAATGCGTTGGCCGAGTAGTTCGAACCGTTGGAGCATCCCTTCTTCCTGAATCCCCCACCCCCACCAACATCAATCAGATTATGAAACAACCAGTCCTCAGTTCCTAAGGCCCATTTTCGGATCTAGAGAGATGATCAACCTTGGTGAGATAGACAATGATCGGCAGAAGATTCAGACCCATTTGCGGATCTAGAGAGATGATCAACCTCGGTGAGAGAGAAGATGATCGGCAGAAGGAAGGATCAGACCCATTTGCTGGTTATTTAGGCTGGCTTGCCCTTCAGATTGATCACAGAGAGCTCTTGCTCCACGAACTCCCCGGCACAGATTGGTGGGTATTTGGGTGCCAATGGCGATCCTGCGAAGCAGCCCAGAGGATGTAGTACGGCATCTGAAGCAATATGGGCGAAGAGCTGGTTGACCCAGAGGAGAAAACGTCGTCAACCCGAGGTCAAGCCTTTGGAAAGATATTGAAGGAAATCGGAGGAAAGTTGGGATGCAGGTCAACTGACCGTTGACGAGACTCTCCACAAGCTGCGGCCCTCGATCCGGGCTGCTTCGATTGAGCGAAGGGTACTGTCAGTCACCGCGACATCGTGCATCCCAGCTAAGCATTCTCCTCCGGTTAGCCATTCGAGCTGCGAATGAATCAAAGCAGAGCCACTAGGTAATAGAGTCATTAATCTAGTGACATCAGGATCCGAGGTGCCTAACTCTCTTGATCATGGACACTGCACAAGAAATTGAATGGACAAAGAAACAACCATGGATACACGCAACCCAAGTGGAGTGAAAAATATATGATGAAGGATGCAGGAGGTGTGACGCCAAACAGATGGGCAGTTCTCTGAGAAGGATGGCGCTGGTTCTTCGTGGGATTTTCAACGGAGATGTCTCTTCTTTAAAGTTTTTAGCCTTAACGTCGTCCATTGTGACGGTTTCTTTTGCAGAATGCTAGGCTTCAGTTGGTTCTTCTCTAGAAGAGACGAAGCGGGCAGGGAAGAGACGGTGTCCTTAGTGCTTTATGGTAAGCACTGAAATGCATCTCCTCTCAATCTTATTTTCTCAAGAAAAAAAGAGCTCGAAGATATCTCCGGCACTCTTAAACAGGAGCTGCGATGAAAGGGGATCTTGATATGATCCTCTTGTATCCCTACCTTCTTTGAACAAGAGGGGGCAATGATCTTTTAGTTATATTTAGTAAGGAGGCCAACTGAACAGAGAGGAAAACTTGTCAAGCACAAGGAAAGAATACTGTATATTACCTCTTTTCCGGCTTGGACAAGAAGGCACCCGATGGGGACATTGACTTCCATTTTCTCCCCGTTTCTTAACCAGATATTTAGACCGGGGAATCTGCTCCTCCCGTGGATGGTCAGAAAGTTGAGGTCATAGTGATATCCTGCAAACACGGTGTTCTTCTGCCCATGGCCCTGAAGATCACTTCCTGTTGGAGCAAGGAGGTGGGGCCCCTAGTTTTCAAGAAAAGATTGTCAATGATGACTGTTCAGGCTGAAGATCAAGATGTCAGAAATTTTCTTTCTTTTTGTTGTCTTTTCACCGAAATGAACTTCTACAGAAGCTATCATTAAAGCTAAGATCCAGAAATGAGTTGACTACCGGTAGTATTCGAATCTTTCAATTATTAGCAGCGAAAAAAGTGAATATTCTTTCATTAGCAACTTTAAGTCTATAATGCTGAAGTTTCAATAACTATCACTATAAAGAAAAACCTGGCATTTTGAATTAAAATCCTCGCAAACATCAAGGAGAAAATTCATAATGACGTAGCATAAAGATCAGCTTGAGCGTTCTAGGAAACTTCAGAATCATAGTTCGTGACTAACTGCAACACCTAGAGTATGGAGAATTAAACTGATTAACGAAAGCATGTGTATGTCAGATGAGCAAAAAATAGACAGGTAATTTTTTTATTACAGCAGAATACTTACTAGCAACATCCTTATCATGCACAGTCATTCTTAATGGAGCACTGTTGGAGTAGGGATGCACCTTTTATTGGAATGCTTGGGTACAGAGTTATTTTGGCAAATCTTATCATGAATGTAAACAAAAAATAAAGTGACTAAAAAAACTTAACCATTCGAAAATTCAGATATGCCATTTCCATATTATCAAAAAATAAAATAGAACAATAAATCCTTGAATCTCGATGATTCAAAAAATGGAATTATATTTTCCTATAACGTGTATGCCAGGTCTGAGCAACGCAGCTGGACTACAGACAATCATTGTAAGTTACAGTCGAGCAAGAAACAGTCCTTTAACTTCAGTATCAATTAGCGAGAACGCACGATAAAATTTTTTCTTCTATCAACCAACCATCCTAAATCCAATAGCAGTGAATGGATAGACTGAGTTATGTGTTTTTCATTGTTATTCACTTGATCACTGATTAGAAAAACAATGCACTTCAACAAGAAATCATTCACTGGAATAGCACAAGAGAAGAAAAAAATCCATATAAATTGTTTGGCTTCGTTTCAACGCAGATAGACAAAGACACCGCAGCTAAACCCTATTGCCGTTTACCTCTTTCATAAGGGTAGTAAATGCATACTTTTCCAGGCCAAATCCAATAGCTGCCATCTCAGCAACAACCTGCGTCAGAAACCAGAATCTGAGACACCGAGAGGGAGAAGGAGGAGATTCCACGAAAAGAAGCAAGAAGAAATCCGAGAAACATAACAAAGCCACCTCAACTGCAGATATCAATTTGAGTCCCCAAGAATCCATCGTCTCCTTCCACTCAGGAAAACCTTCTGGTACAATAGGTTCAGAATTCAATTCCTAGAGTAAAAGAATAATAAGTCATAAATCGGGCACGAGAATATAGACCGCACTTTCTTTTGATTGCGGGACAATGCAGCACCTGAAAGCGGGTGTTTGATGGTCGGGGGCCAATTCTCCACATGAATCTCCATTTAGGATCCGGCCCTGAGGGTAAAAGCGGTCGAAATTCCTCCGGCATCTTTCTTACTTTCTCCTGCATTTCCTCGTCCACCAGACTCCTTGGTATCTCAACACACTTTGGGGTCACTCCTACCTATTCTTGTTGTTGAACACAAAATGATTATGTTGCTATCTTCACGATTAATTGTTAGCACAGTGCACTCAGCAATATATGCTCTCAAGAAGGACCCTGAAATAGAGTCAAGCGAAAAACGCTTCTGCGAAAAAATTGCAGGAATTTAAAGATCCAGCCTCGATCCAACACATAGAAACCTGATGGGGGGAAAAACGTATTCTATCATAACCACAATGAGACAAGCGGATTAGAAATCAATGCCATTCTGCATGCCGTTCTGATTTTTCACCGAAGGTATGGAAACCTAGATCCCATGGAGAAAATAAAGTATACGATCTAGAAACTTCATGATCAACCATAAAACAGCTGGGCGAATTGCTCGAAGGTCCAGAAACACGAGGGGGTGTTAAGAAAGTACAGAAAAGCAACCTGGTAATGGAGGTTCGGGCGTGTCTGGAGGCGTTTGAATTCGTCGGAGCGCGCGAAGTATCTCTCCATCATATCTAGGAACCGATCATTGTCCTCGGCAGAGCACCGCGGATCCTTCACAAGCAGCGCCCCTGTTTCCCTCAGCGTCCTGCTCACCATGGAACACATCTCCTGCAGCGTGCGGTCCAACCCTTCCCCCTCACATCCCCCCCCGCCGCCCTCCATCTCCAGAGAGAGATTAAGGTAGGACTCGAGATCTATCACCGGCAACTCCATACCTGACGAACCCGCTGCGGGGAGATGGCGATCCTCCTGGTCAGCTGCAACCCAGCGGAGATCAGATGCGCATAATTTCTCTCCTCTCTCTCCCTCTCTCTCAGAGACGGGGGCCATGGAATCACGGAGTGGTTGGAGAGAACCAACTGCTTCCGCTAAGCCTTTCATCGGATCTGTGCGGCAGTCAGTTACTCCAACCAACAGCCCAACGCATCTCCCTCCAAAATAGGATTTAACAAAATACCCAATAAAAACTATAAATTACGAGTAAAATATTATATATATCTAACGAAATATAGACATAATAGATAGATACTATATGTATTTATAAGTTCGTGAACGATCTGATTTTTTCGAAACGAGGTAAAGAAAATAAATACATTAGTAAATGAAGGGTAGGAGGGATTAATATTAGCACGATGGAGATTCCCACTGTGTAGCCTGTTCTGTGAACATTTCAAGCCGTCGGAACCAAGATGGGGATAAGATCGATCGGACGACGTCTCCGAGTGAGCGAGCCATTCACGTCGGAGACAGCAGCGGCGGCGGTGGGAGCTCCGCCGCCGCGGCCGCGATGTACAGAGGCGGCGGCGCGGGCGGTGGAGGGAGTCACACCCAGTTGGTTTGGATAGAGAAATCGTGGAACCGGAAAGAGGAGCTCCCTGAGGTGTCCCTGTCGGGAGATCGGGAGATAGAGAGGGAGATCTCCCGCACCAGTTCGGGCGGAGGAGATAGGTCCCTCGCCGGTGCGGCGCTCGGCGGAGGCGGCGGCGGCGGCGCTGGTGCGACAGCGGCGTCTCTCTCGGATGTACGTGAGGGAGACAGGGAGATGTCCCGCTGCAGCTCGATCGGCGGGGGAGAGTCCGTCGCCGATTCGACGATGGCCGGGGTAGCCGGCGATGGCGGCTCTGCTGCGACGATTGGGGATCCGATGCTCCGGCGAGAGCCTCCGTTGGGGGACAAGGACTCCAGGTCCCAGAGGAGGATGTGGAGGAGGATGGGTTGCAGCGCGTGGCGGTGGAGGGAGAGCTTGCGGCTGAGGGAGACGGTGTCGAAGCACCGGATCGCGCCGGAGGGGGAGACCATCCATGGGAGAATCTTCTCGTTGGAAACTCTGGAGATCACGAGGTGCTTACCGGCCCGCACGGCTTCTCTGTACAGATCTCTGAGACCCGATCGCGTCGCGGGAGAGTCGTCGTCTTCGTCGTCCTCATTGGCCACAGAGGAAACGAAGATGAAACCCTGGAGGACCAATAGTTTGATCAATAACCCTAGAACCAGAGGGAACGAGGAGGAAGAGCAGATCCCTACCTCTTGCGTGCGGCCGACAGCAAATCCGAGCCTCGAATCGCCTTCCTCCGGTCTGATCTCCAACGGATACTCTCCAGCAGCTGGCGCGTACCAGAGGCGGATGGCCCTCACCACTCCTATGTCAACTCCATGGTAGTCCTCGAACCCGTAGAGGCTTGCATTGGCGAGGTTGCAGAGATCCGTCAAGGAACCGGCGTTCACCGTCGAGGAAGCTGTCTCTCCAGATATCTATCAAACAAGTGGCCGCCATGGGTTGTTAGTTTCATCTCCCTCGAGGGATTCCCCTCTGTTCGAGGATCTCTCTCTCCCGTTTCCCTCACCTTCGTGAGAAGAGGCTCAGACTGCGCACTCAAGAAGACGATGGGTACGCCGGAGGCTTGGGACGAGTTGAGCCAGGTGTTCCCCCGCGCCAGTGTGTCCTCGAACGAGTTGTAGTGGGAAGAAGAAGGGTTGGAGGCCTTGGGGAGGATGAGCAGCGACAGGAAACTGCTCGAGTTCGGAACCGACAATGACTCCCTCATCTTCTTCTCCCACGGGTACGATACGTACCCGTCCTGCAATTGCGACTTGCTGAGCGCGGAAGCCACCCTCGAGCTCCTCGAAGCTTTTCGTGAAAGACCAAGCAGACGGGCAGGTCAGGAGGAACTTCTCGACAAATTTTCAGCCGGCGGGGGATTTTCTCACCTTGAAGCTGCAGGCACTCGCTCTCCAGGCGATCGACGAAGGCGACGGCGTAGTTGGGGTCGTCGATGGAGCGGAGCATGTAGCTCTTCCTCCCGGCCTGCTCGTGGGGGACGACGCAGGCGTGGAGAGACACGGACTCGCCTCTTCCTCGCCGGACGCGCACCGAGATGGAGGTCTCCCCGCGCTTGAACGACGAGCGGAGCATCTTCTGCACGCCGCTGCACCCATGCTTGAAGGGAGCCGTGATGGGGGAGGATCCCCCGATGGTGATCTCCTCCACGATGTCACCCGTCTGCAGCATGTCGAAGTTCCACTCGTCGGCCTTGGAGCTCCCTGCGACGCACTCGATGGCCAGCATCGGCGAGCTCTTCCCATCCTGCGGCGAAACCGAGTTGGACAGAAGCTTGTCCATTCTCATCTTCTGCCAAGCCCTCGCCCTCTTCCCTGCGGTCAAGAAGCTTTTCTCACCCGCACGGGAGGAGGGGACGGAGCCGGCGATCGCCGGATTATCCAGATGGCGGAGATAGAGAAGGATCACCGGATCGAGGAGATCAACCTGGGGATGGAAAGATCAGATTTCGTGAAGGAGATCCGGGACCTGAAGATCGGCGTAGAACACAGAGGGGCAGAATCTTGGGGCAGAAGAGACGCCAAAATCCCTCCGACGACTGAAAGGTACAAGCCTCCCCCTCCGTAGATCCGATTCCTCCCCTTCCTAGCAGCAGGTGGGAAGGTTCCGATTCTTCCTCGAGTTTTCCATCAACTGCGATGGGACTTGAAAACTTGGACGGCTGTCAGTAGCAGATTAGTCAGCGCCGGCGAACGATTGCGTCGAAAACCGGGCAATCCTTTGCGACGCCGATGGGGAAAGGAAGAGGACAGAGGCATCGACCACCACCTCTGGATTGAGAGTTGACTCCTTATAAAATTGTCGGCGGGAGATTCCAGAACAGCCCTTCTGGTCAACGGGAGGAATCATCCACACGGGGTCACCATGCCCGGAAGAGAAAAGAACCCACGAGGTCCTCCCGCCGAGTGGGTAGGCCGAGCCGCAAGGATTTTTTCTTCTCTCTAGAAGGCCCTCACAATCTCCCCGTTCTCCGTTGACGTTGATCCCCACAACTTGTTTTCGATGAGCCCGACCTGGCCGGGGTAAAGGCGGCTGCTTCTGAAGAAAAAAAATCTGCGCAGGGTTTGCCATGGCGTATCTGAAACGCAATGGTGACGTCATATGAGCTGCGTATGCCCCATCAACGTTGCGTCGCAAATTGCACACCTGTGCGCAGTCCTTCGTTCCAACGTTGACGGAGAACCGTCCTCACGAGGATGCAAATTGTCAACGAAATCGGCTCCGCTCCCGACGCCCACGTCATCTCCTGCTGGTGCTGCACAGCCTGTCGTCTCGTCCACTTCCACGAGCTCCTTTCTGACCTCCCTACTCCACCGCTGACTTGAATTCCGAGTACAACGAGTGCTGCAGCAGTGGAAGCCAATTATTTATGAGATAAGCAACGTAAGTATGTAGGAGGGAGTAATTTTTTCACATTTATGTGCACATAATCTCGCCGCACTCATGAGGCTATGGGTGAGTCCTATGCAAGATTTAATGCCAAGTCAAACCCAATAACAAATGGCATTAGAGCCAGAAGCTCCCAAGGGTAGAGGATTGAATGTACCAAGTCAAACCTTCCATAAAGAAGATGGAGGTGCAATTCCAATGCAAAGGGTTGGGATGCAAGATCTTAGGGAGATTGGTCATTTCCTTTGGGGCCAAGATCATATTATATATATATATATATAGGATGTAGATCATTTACTTGAAAAAGTTCACTTTGGTAAGAAGGTTCCTCTTCTATAGCTCAAAATAAAATGGCGAATTTGAATGGAGGATTAGACCAAATGCCCATCCATACATGGAGTTCTCTTAGGAGGGCTATGGTAAGAGCCATCATGTATAGCGACGATAGTGATAGGAGAGAGAAAATAGAGAGAGAGAGAGAACGGTAACTAGAGTAGTAGATGACGGGTGATGAAGCAGACCTCAACCTTCTCCAGCGGCTCACATTAATAAAGAGGAACACTGAGGGAAGGAGACGAGATGAGTAGTGACTACTAATCTTGAGTAACAACGAGAGAGAGAGAGAGAGAGAGGAAATAGTACCAAAGAGAGAAATTCCCGGGGTATTGTTCAGGAGAACGATAATCAATCTAAAGGATGAATAGTTCTAAGGAGACTCTTCCTGATACATGGCTGTTTGACCATTTCTTCCTAGGAATGTGGGAGATGGTTAGTAGCCCATCAGACCATAAGACTTGCTTTGAACCAATCACAAATGATATGGAGTAATGGTTGCAATTCTTGTTAGCATTGGACCTACATGACTGCTTGAGGAAAGTTAAAGAGCACATAAGGAAGGGATCTATGACTAGAGGAGTCATGGGCACAAATGCGACCTACAACAATAACGTTGACAAATTAACAAGGTTGACTATCAATGTGCCTCACTTGCACATCACATGTACTATGGACGTAAATTTGGATAATATATGCATGTTAATCGACACAAACCCAACAACACACCCCACAAACCCACTAGATAAGATGAACGTGAAGAACAAGTATTTGGTTCTTGCTATAGAGAAGACGTTCAGAGTAAGAAAGGGGCTTGGTGCTTCTCCCAAATGGGCTAATGTAATTGCCAATACCAAGTTCAGATCAAAGAGGAAGATGAGAAAAATGGCGGTCATCCCCTTCAACCTCACCAACACTCAAACTTTAATGTATGTTATTTTTTGAGAACATAACAAATTATTTTGATTTATGATTGACTTTGGAAGAGCCCAATGAGTATCTTTGATCAATGCCCTCCAAGTGAAAGGAACATGATATGTTCCTCAAGGCACATTGGACACACCATATATGGATTTCAGATACCATAATAGACTTCACTTCTACCAAAAAAGTGTTCTTCCGTAGAAGTCAAGGAACCCCGACGTTGTCTGACCCTGAATAGACTCAGTCAACGCAGCCAAGATAGGCTGACCTCTCTCGACAGTGATGGTCTCAACTACCTTTCACCTCCCCACCCAGCTCTTCTGCCTCTCCAATGGCGGAGGCCCAGCTGGCTGCGGTTGGGCACGGTCAACAGCTAGCGGTCACCAATGTCCCATTGCGTAACACAATGCCGATGAAGTAATTAAATTCTGTAGATGACACAAGCAGAACCAAAAGAGCCATTTGAGTGTTCATCGCAACGACTTGAGGGTGCTCTACCGCGCGTCCTTATTGACGATCTCTCTGGGTATTCTTCCTGAGCCCTATCACATAAGTTTTTTGATCTGAATTAATTTACACTAAATGCGAAAAATAGTACAAAAGAATCACTCCTCAAGAACCCAAAGAACAAATCTCTAATCTTTGACCCTTCCAAGATCGCAGAGAACGGATCTAAATGATCTTGGCCCTCTGATGTACTCACCAACCCAAATGATCTTCTTTAGAAGCTCTCTCCCAAACACTCTATTTCTATAATGAAATAAAGGTCAAAATGGTTACTCTAAGTTACGTCCAATGAAAGAGAAGGAAACCTCTATTTATATGCACCTCACAGCCACCTCAGCCCATAAATAGGCTGTTGAATCCGTGAGAATCGGTATTTCGGTTGACCGTTTCTCAACTGAATGAAGACGGAGACGGAGAAGAGAGAGGACTCCTGGGGGCTCCACGGTGCCGCGCAGCAGACCGCAGAGAAACGCTTCTCTTCCCCATTGCCTGAATATCAGATCACAAAGGGCAGAAATAACCAGAAAGCAATCCTATTAGCGGATCAAAAAGGCGGGCAGTGGGAAGCGATGGATGGAATACGACCCAACGCTAAATGTGATTGGAGTTGGGGAGGAGGGCGAGCGCTTATATTAACCAGGGTAGTGATATCCTTCAGAGGTTTACGCAGGTAACAGATGGGAAGATGGCTCTTCTTGCTCCTCGCTCGCCACAGCGCCGTCACCGGCGGGCGGTTCTCCTTCCCTTCGAGCGGCATCGCCGTCCGGGCTGACCGTTCCCTCGTCTCTCCCGCAGTCCCCCTCACCTGGATTACAGGTGAAGGTCTCTGACTCCACGGCTCGACAGCGAGCACCCTCGGCGTTACCCCCTTCAGCCGGTCACGGTAGCACCACCCACTCTGGATCCACACGCCGACGCTGAGCTCCCTCGTGGGAGCGCGCCTGATGATCCGGCCCCCGGGATCCACCATCGCTGATGACTGCGCGCCTGAGATTTATCAAGCGAGACTCACCGGAAGGGGAGAGATTGAAGAGCGATGAGACTCGGCTCCTCCCCTTGGGCGCTGGGTTGATTGCTTCTCCGCCGCCTGCTCGAGCAGCGGGTTGAGCCTGAAGTAGGAAGTTGGGTTGCAAAGGAGATGACCCCGAGGTATTTTTTAGGAGGAACGCGGAGGGCGGGAGCGGCAGCCGAAGAATCCGGCGGGTGTTTTCGTTTCTCGCCGCCTTCTCAAAGATTCAAATTTTCACAAATGGGAGAAAACCACGCATATGCCGCCAAAAACGCCTCAAGCAACGCCGCTCTCCCGTGCAAAAATCACCTTTTTTTTTATCTCTTCCCTCTTTCTTTCGGAGTAGCTCGATAAGCTTGAATGAAATAATTACAATAAAAATCCAAAAAGGGTATTGTAAAAAATCGATCTTCCGACAACCCGCGATTCTCCTTCTTCCTCTACGACGACAGGCAGCAGCTTGAAGAGGAGGTGGCACCGGGAGCGGGCTCCTGGCCGGGGACGATGATCTTCGTCCCCTTGAGGAAGCTGGAGCCCCCCGCCGGCCCGGAGTCCCCGTTGGCGATGAGCGCCTTCTTGCTGATGACCCGGTAGATCTCTTCTAGCACCGTCAGGAAAGCGGGCTCCACGTTGGTGGCCTCGAGAGCGGAGGTCTCCATGAAGAAGAGGCTCTCCCTCTCCGCGAACTCCTTGGCGTCCTCCGTGGGGACGGCTCGCAGGGTTGTGAGGTCCGACTTGTTGCCCACCAGCATGATGACGATGTTCTTGTCGGCGTGCCCCCGCAGCTCCTCCAGCCACCTCGCCATGTGGTCGAACGACTGCCGCTTGGTAATGTCGTACACCAGCATTGCCCCCACCGCTCCCCGGTAGTAGGCGCTCGTCACTGCCCTGTACCTGAGAACCCCACCAGCCAGACCACAGATCATCAACATTCCTTCCGATCGATCGGTGAGGATGATCCTGCAGAAGAACTGTCATCCAGAAGGAATTTAAAAAGGAAAAAAGAAATCTCGGGTGGATCAGTGTTTCCCCTGAATCAGCCTGATTCGATCTGTCTCGGGAGCACTGTGTTCATGGACTGAAGGAGATGAATGGGTATGAACTACTCAGAGTAGGGGAGTTCATTGACCATGAAACACTTAAGAACAATAGTTGATGGATGCTGCAAATCTAGTGGATAGGAACTTCAAAACTTGATGAAGAATTCCTGTGGAGTGAGTAGCTGAAGACGGCAGCAACAAGATCTTGGTGGACCGCTGGTTACATTTTTCAAGAAACGTGTCCAAAGATCCCATAGAAATCGGGTTCACATTTCACCAAGACAAAAAGGAACGTTTTAAGACAGCATGACGCTCAGTTGACTTTGGGTGAGAATCGGACACTCAATCATATCGGGGAGGAAAGTTCTCCTGTCGCACACGTGAAGGTAACTATGATGTAATCAGGGGAAACAACCGATTGCCCTACCATTCTGACTCATCAGCAAACCAGTGGAGCCGTCTGATCATGGATAGGAGTGACGCGAATGACTACATGAGAATGAAAAGGACCCGGCCTCCACGATGTGAGGATTCCTCCTTATGACCAAATCACAACCGACAGACAGAAGCAGGAAATAAGATCAATTCAAGTTCGATGGCTAACCCACAGGATGGAACGCAAAAATGATGCAAAATAGGTATAGGAGATGAAAGAAGAGGCCAGTTGGCCGATATGCATAGACATCTATTCCACTTAGTGTAGATGTGATGAAGGAAACCAGTAACGAGAGAGTACAGAGGTTCCATCTCCTCAGCTCCTATGTCCCCTTCCATCTTTGCGACAGGCTGCAAGATTTTTCCGACCCTACAAAATATCTGATCCCACCTTTGTTTCTACCGTGACCAGACAATGAGACATTAAGATGTAAAAGTTCTGACAACAATTTCTGTTGATTCTCTGAAGAAACTAGATGAGTATCCAGGTTCTCCATGGGTATAGTTAGGTCCTCTTAGCATGGGCCATGGCAATGGAAGGAAGTGTCAGGATTCCGGGAACCAGGTAGTAGGGAGATGACGCGAAATGCGATCTGTTCATTCTACGTTCCAGATAAGCTTCAGCCTGACCACTCGGATTCTAGATGACAAAGCAGGTTCTTCTGCGTATGAAGGGGCTCGAGCAAAGTAGCAGCGGTGCTGAAAAGTTACTGCTAGAACCCAACTGAGACATTTTCTATCGGCCTGAAGAGAGCTGAAGAAATCGAGCAATGTATACTGGCACGAATTATAGACCATTTAGGAAATGCTAACGAACCGAACGCACAGGGGGTCTAAGAATGCCTATGTTCCTGTCTGGGGGGAAGAGATCTTCTTAAACCTAAATTACATTGCGCTTGAAACGGAAATCAAAGCGATCGCTGAAATGATTGTGGATAAAAATTAAATGTGCATCCATCGACAAGGAAGGATAGTTTCCACATCCTTTTAAGATCGAAAAGATTCGACACTCCCGGTTAGATCAAGATGAGAACCTGTTCGGACAATTCTATCGAAAGATACGCGAACGAAGGTCTCGAATTAGAAGCTCACGCGAATAAGTGGTTAGTTCCCTGTTCGGAAAGAGGAAAACACGCAACAAGAACCCTAGAAACCAGCTGTCCGGAGATCCGGAGTCATCCAACCTCTTCGACGATGAACTGAATAAATTGGCCCGGGAAATTCGGACAAGAGAACAGAAACTACCTCTCCTGCCCAGCGGTATCCCAAATCTGAGCCTTAATGGTCTTCTGGTCGATGAGGACGGTCCGTGTCTGGAACTCCACCCCGATCGTGGCCTTGGAATCCAAGCTGAATTCATTCCTGGAGAATCGAGCCAGAAGCTGCGACTTCCCCACGGCCGAGTCCCCGATCAGCACCACCTTGAACACGTAATCTATCTTCTGGTTGAACTCCCCATACAAATTCGTCGCCATGCTTTCTCAGCGCCAGCCAACCTCAAGCCTGTCGCCAATCGTCTCCGAGAAACCGATCCGATCTCTGATCAAGCGATGGTGAGATCAAAGTCCAATGGCGAGGGGAGCCTCAGGATTTCATTGAGCCTCCCTTTCCCTCTACTTATCCCCCCACCTGCGAGGATCTCTGGCTGTTTGAAGGATTCCAAGGATCGCGATTGCAGGCGAAGGGAAGACGCCGCGGCGATGGCCTCAGAGGAGGAGAAAGTCAGAGAAGAATCCGCAGCGAAAAGGACGGAGCAGTTTGACGATGGCGGGCAACGCTGTAACGACCATCGGAAAATTTCGAACGTCAGATCAAGTGGTTCGCCCATCTGACGGATATCAAGCAAGGACGCGCCACACGTGCGCCAAAACGGATTTCACCCGGTTCTCCAAGCTCGCCAACGAAGACTCCCAGCCTGACGACTCGGCGATCCGAAACGCGGTAGTTTAACGTGCACGTGTCGGGGAGGGGCCAAGAAGCCAATTCCCTTTCTAGCATATACGTGGAATAATTTAACGTCGATATATATTTTTCATAATTTAATCTGCTGACGTGGTTGATACGCATAAATTTTTTGAATAGGGCGGGAGGTGGAGTGGCTGGTCGTAGACGGCTCTTTTTTGGGGCGTGGGCCTGGACCGAACCGTGTTTTGGTGGGCCATATGGGCCCTTATGGACCACCTCACCGGAGTGTGGGCCTAGGTGGCATCATATGTTTTGTATCATATGGGCCTGTATGGGCCGCCTGACTTAAGGTGGGGCTACTTCGGGCCTGATGAAGCCTGCGCTCGTGCCGACATGCCTCAGGGCTGGTCTCCTTGGAGAAGGATAGTGGGTTGCCAGCTGATCCATCCAAACGGCATCCACACTACAACTGTTTAAACATGGTCCACGCCCTTCCCCGCTCTCTCTCTCTCTCTCTCGATGTATCTATGTATCTATCTATCAATCTCCGTACCTATCTCTATCTTTCGATCTTTATTTTATTCTTTAGCTCTATCTATCAATCTCGATTGGTCATCTCGTAGCACATTTTCCTCGCTTCCTCCAGCCCTTGGCCGACATCAGCCTTTGCAAGCACCTGCCCTGCCTCTCTCTCTCTCTCTCTCGCTCTCTCTCCCCCCCTCTGTCTTCCGTGCCAAGCCAAACCCGTTAGCACCTTTCATTAAAAATATCGTTGTTCGTTCCCATCCCTCCCGTTCTTTCACCATCAGCTACGTGACAATCTCTCTCTCCTTCTAGATATTTATATGATTATATGAATACATTATATAACTTCGTGTCGTTCTCTCTCTCTCTCTCTCTCTCTCTCTCTCTCTCTCTCTCTCTCTCTCTCTCTATCTCTGTAAGAGGTGGTGGATCGTTGAAGGATTGATTATTCAGCCGTGGAGCCTAAGTTCCAGGCTTCGCCTGGACCAGACCGCTGACCCCCTAAGTCTCTAGCTTCGAAGCCTCACCTTTTTTCTTTTTCACGAGGATGAATTTTTAATGCTTCGTGTCAATAGCTTCCCGGCAAAAAAGGTGATTCCCTTGCGTGCACGTGAGCTGAGAGAATGGTGGACGGGGATGATCTAGGTCAAACGCGTTGAAATCAAGATGATATCGGGGCAGAGTCGTGAATTGCGAACGGTCAACGTCTCCACCCGTCGCGCGGGCAACCCGTGCGATTGCGCCACCGATGGTCAACTCGGGGGAAGCCCTTCTGTCCGAAAAAAAATATATATCAGTAAGTAAACCGTCGGCCATGCAGCAGCATCTGCCCTATGATTAATGTGAACCGAGATTTAACTAATGCATGGATCTGGCTCGAACCAACTTTTTTCCAACCAAGCTCTACTGATTTCCCCCCGCCGCCATTAATGGTCCGGATGGGCATCGACGCCTGCCATCGAGCTCAGGACGCTGGTCAACGGCGGCGGCAACTCAAGAGTTGGCTCCCGGCGTACTGTCCAAAGCTGGTGCTATCGAGGTGCAGAAGCAGGTTAGAGAGCAGCCGTTGTGCACTGGCCCGCCGTGCCTAGCCATTGATGGGAACAATGACGTCCGAGCGAGCCAATGGTTTTCAGAGAAAAGATAAGAATGAGAGGAGAGAGAGAGAGACAGAGAGATGCGACCTTGAAGAAAGAGACGTGAAAGGTGTTCGGGGAGGGAAGGATTGGCCAGAGAGTCTCCAAAGGGATTGGGGGAGTGTCGAAGGGGAAAAGATCGATTAAATGCGTCGATTATTCAGATGGTTTGATCGGAGAGAGTAGCGGGGAGGGGCGGCGTGGTGATCCGCCGCTGGGTCAAACAGGCATCGGAGGCATCTGACGCGAGTGGGGGCGGCGGCCAGTGGGGGCGCCGATCGGTCGCCGGTGGGGCTGCACTGTGTATTAATCAGGGGCGTGTCAGCCCGCTCAGCTCGGTCCCCCACGAAGATGATCGACCTGGCGCGCCACCAGTGCGACCGCCGGCGGGGCCCTGCTCCTAGATTCCGACGTCCGGGCCTAAACACGGTAGAGCCCTGGCCATTTTCGGAAAAACATCGGGATTTTTTCAGCCTTCTCTCTAAGGAAAGCTAGCCGCAGATCTATCAATCTGTTTCTCTCGATCTATCTATCTCCATCTCCGGTTTTAGCCTAATGGGGACCGCGACAGAGGTGGACTCTGCTGTGAGAGTTATGGCGGCGAAGACGAGGGCGGCAGTGCCTGGGGGAGGTGGGGCGGTATCTCAGCCGGTTTCACGCGGCCGTGAGCGGGGGCGATTTCTCCCTCTCGATCTTCCCACATTTTCGGGTGGGCCTCATGTGACACGGCAGTAGGCGCAGAGAAAACCGACGGCCGCACCCCCACGTCCCCCGGGGTGCGGGGCACGAAAAGGCATCCCCTTTCACCGCCGCCGGTCCTTTTCCTCGCGGCCCTGATGCTCTTCTCTGAGAGTTATGCGCCGCCGTCTCCTTTTCCGACGACCACCGCGGAGTGGACTGCCGCCGCCGTCTCCTTTTCCGACGACCACCGCGGAGTGGACTGCCGCCGCCGCCGCCGTCCACGGCGGAGTGGCAGCGGACAAGACCGTCGGATGGAGCACTCACTCTCCGGGGAGGAGAAAAAGGGCGGCGGAGGCCCACTTGGATTATTTGACTTCCGCGAAAAACACGATAAATGTGGAAAGGGTCTCTTAAAGCTTACATGCTGGGGAAAATTTCGGGGGGAGCGTGGGGTTGGAGCACGAGGGTGAGCCACGGTTGTACAGCGGAAATGGTGCTTGACTTTTATAAAGTGTGCTTGACGTTGCAGTGGAGGCATACTATACAGGTTTAGTTCATCGCTTTTCACCTTGTCCAAGAGGAGATTACTGTGAGTAAGTGAGTGTGGTTGAGTCCAACGCGGCCTTCCTCTTCTTACTTTATCCGGGGAACAGCTCTCCACTGTCCCCGGCAGAATCTCGCCGGGAGGAGATCTCGGCTTCCAGGTCCCTCCTATTGATGGTCTGGCCTCTCCTGCTCTGAGGGGCCAGGGGGTCACTCTGATCTAGGGTTTCTGCTTGCTGGAGCAGGCGCAGTTGGCCCTGCTCTCGGATAAGCCCTGCATTGCAGAAGACAAGTACAAGGAAAGTTAGGCAAGGCCCGGCGATAAAGGCTTCACACGGGAGCCTGAGTTCTGCAGTCGACTACCTTGACCTGTTTCTGGAGATCCTTGATGTAATCCACAGCCAGATCCAGCATGTCGGCCGTGTTCGTTTGCTGCCAAGTGCAAATTGTGAATTAGAGAAGCCGCCGTCGGGGAATCTATAGGGTCGTGTTCTCGATCGCTGTTTCTACGTTATTGACTACCTTATCCATGTTGGGGACGAGCTCTTGGAGCTTCCTCATTCGCTCGCTTATCCGCGTTCTCCTCACCTGCAACAGTTTTTTGACGAGGAATTGATGCACGGAACAACAAGGGTAACTCAGAGACAGCGGGGGTGTCGGAGGATTGGTTACCCTCTCCGCGATGCTCCGTGGGTGAGTGGCGCAACCTCTTTTAGCTCGGATCTTGCAGGGGACGGCGTCCTGGAATTGGAGGATGGCGGCCATCTCCGACGAGGTCTTGGGCAAGCTGAAGTGGTGGCTCAAACTCGGGAAAGGGTTTCTGACGTCCCCATTCTAGCAGCCCAAGGACAGATACTCAGAACGTAGATCTAAGAACACCAGAATCCATCGATGAGGGCAGATGAAGAGAGCGGTACAAGCTGGCTACCTGCGGTTCCGACGAATCCCTGGGTCTCTTTAGTCCGGCGAAGCCATGAGAGAGAAGAGAAGGATCCTCCCAAGATGTGACGGGAAAGCCTGGGATGTAGTGGCGACTGCTGCCATTGCCGTGGCGCAGGCCTCCGTCGTCGGGGCTGTTACCCCCCAAGCTTTCCCGCCCCATCTCTGAAATCTGTGACATCAAAGCCGATGTGGAAGATGGCCTCGCCGAGAAGCTGATCTGACCCTTTAACCTGCTGCCGGCTAGAGCTGCCTCCCCGGTTGAATCGCTCCCAAGTCTGAATCCACCCATGCTCCTCATCGAATCATAACCTGGCAAAGAGAGAGCGTCCCACATGCAGGAATTAGTGAACGGGAAATGCAACAATAAGCTTATTTCCCATATTAAAGAATAATTTCCTCCAGTCGAATCGGTTCTTTCCCTGATAAGGAGGTAGTCTTCGACCAAATCACGGAGTACTGACATCGGAGAGACGATTCAGCAGCTGCTGTACTGCAACAGCTATCGGATTCCAATGGGAAATAGTGCTCAACTCCTACAATCGATGGGCGTGGAGTTTTAAGCTAGTTTAATGAAGGAGAGGAGATTTACCGTTTTCAACGCTCAGGTGAGAGAAAAGACCCGCGGGAGAGCTGCTGTGCCGGATTAGATTGGAGTTGCTCGCGCCGCTCTTTCCCTGTTCGTCGTCCATCGCCATGGAGCTCACCACCCGATAGGAACTCTCCGCGGCGGCGGCCGCCGAGGAGCTGTGTCTAGGAGGAATCTGCGGCGGCTGCTGCGCGTTATACAACTGAGAAGTAGAAGATGGAAATCCCCCACTCGGCTGGTTGAAAGCCTCCAGCGCCTCATGATCAATCGCAGCCATATACTGGGAGTTTCTTTGCTCCGTGGGGGCAGCTGAAGGTTTCTCCTCCATATGCTCGCGGATTTCAGGAGACATGAATCTGGCGAGCATGGAGTCCGTCTCCGGACTCGATGATCGATGAGGAAGCAGGTCCTCGCACATTTCACCGAGCAAAGTGCTCGGGGCTGAGCGATACCTTAGCAAGCCGGTGGCCATCTGCTGGTGGTGGTGGTGGTGATGATGATTGACAGCGGCTTCATCTTTCCCCTGCTTGAAAGGCCCCATCGGAAACGGCATGTTCAGATCTTTGGAAGCAGCCTGAGAAACGTACATCGCTCCCTTCGTCTACTCACCTCCTTTCCTCGACCTTCTCTTCCTCCTAACTTCTCTTTCGGAGTTCAACAGAGCAGATCGACGCCCAATTCACCGAAATCGCTTCATCGACGCCGCCAGATGCCCGAGAGTTGTTGAAAACGCTCGAGTTCCGTCTTCCCCCAAGTCGTCACTCTGGTTCGGCGGATCTCGCAGCTGAAGATCCCCCTCCGAACAGTACAAGACGATCGAGAAGTCGAAACTCCGAACCAGAAGAGCAGCTCCGCCTCCGCCCAATCCCGCCGCCTCACCGTCAGAAAAGCAGCCCTACCACACGCGCGGCGTACCTCGCAACGAGCGAGCTTCCAGATATTGGGAGTCAGTTCGGGAATCGCCGAAAGTCCTGGTTCGACTCCGCAGCATCCGCCGGCAGAAGGGCACGAACAAGAGGAAGAAAGAAAGAAAGAAAGAACTCGTATAAATTAGTAGACGAATCCACGCCGCTGCTCGAAAGTCCTCCCTCAGACAAGTCCGCCGTTTCTCTCCTCAAGACGGAAGCGCACCTTATCCCTTTTGTACACCTTCCCCCCCCCCCCTCTCTCTCTCTCTCTCTCTCTCTCTCTCTCTCTCCCTCAGCGGCGGATCAAACGAAGAGCGTTTAGGGAAAGACGAGCGAGGGGTGTGGGGGCGGTGATGAGGGAGACGAAATAATGAGGCCAATCAGATGCAGACGGGGCAGTCCCTATTTATTCCGACGAGGTCTCGAAAATGCCCTCGTCTTGGTGTGATACTTCTCCCATGCCATCCAGTGACTGCTCTCGCATCCTCTCTCCCTTAATTTTTCCGGATCGCGGTTTGTCCCGGTGACCAGATCCCCGCTATCAACGGTATCTCCTGCGGCGCGCCGAAGTTTGACCCCATTCCTCCATAACGATCCGACCGACGTCTCTTCGAGCCGCCGGGGAATATCTCTCTCTCTCTCTCTCTCTCCTCTCCTCACGCACGGTAAAGTCAATATCACAATGAGAAAAGGAACTTTTTCTATTTATTTCCCATGTTCTCACAACTAGGACGTGACGCGTCTCTCCCGATGTTAGACACGTCGGGCCCCTGCCCCACCCCTCTCTCTCTAACCCGAGAAGGGTTGGGCCAAAGCGAAGGAGCAATCATCGGACATGCGGAGGCGGCGGAGATCGTGGGGTTTGGGTTTCCTTGGGGACTTAACGCGAAGGCTGACTGCATCATTTCATCTCGACTGGGTTAATCCCGGGAAGCTTGATTCCCTCACCTCTCTTCTATGTATATAGAGAGAGAGAGAGAGAGAGAGAGAGAGAGAGAGAGAGAGAGAGAGAATGGAAAGATGAATCACAAGTTAAAGTAGAGATCTTAATTATCATCGAGTCTGCTCCCCGTGAAGAAATCGACGGCGAGGACTTGCGAGGGCGAGGCCATGAAGGTGGTCCGAAATAACCCGGTATCCGCGTATGTTAGGGTCAACGCTGTTAGATTGCCCTCCAATCAATGGGGACGGTGGTGGATGAGGGGGTCAAAGCATCCCCCCTTGATCCCAGTGTTATCACCCTCCTGCAGCCAACCCCGCGGCGCTGTGGTGGCGGTCGTCGTCGTCGTTGCCACGCCCACGGCTCTCCTCCGGGAACAGCGGCAGTGCAGCCGTTGTTTGCCCGGCGGAGGAGACAAACTCACCGGAGCCCGATTCTTGAAATCCTCTCTTCAATGGGAGGCGTGAAGATGGCTACCAGTGTGGAGCACGCCCGCAGAGGAGGGGTCGTCCCAATGAATTGTAAACTGTACGGCGGGGGATTATCGCCGCCCATCGAGGCGGCTCTCCGTCAACCCTCCGCCACAACGTGAGCCCCCAAGCTCGCGGGCACAGTGAATAAAATACGCCGTGCTGCGGGGGGGCTCAACCGTACGCCTGCCCGGAGGGGCGGGGCGAATAACCGGCGCTGCCCGTGCGTTCATCTCCGGCCAACCAATGATGCTCGTGACAGCCGCCGCCGCCGCCGCCACCGTGCCCCCCCCTAAAGATTCGAGAACTCCTCGCTTTCCTTATTCATCTCCTCACCACATTTTTCATGTGGGTGAAGCCGAGAACCTCGCCGTTTTACTGCAACAACCCCTCTCTCTATCTCTCTCCATCGCTTTCTCTCTCTCACCCGTATTAATGGCGCAATAACTTGCACGGTCGAGCAATATCTCGGTACGACAGCCGTCCACTTAAGAGGATGGCGGCACCGCGTGTTCTTATTGAAAAATGGCGGCGGGATTAGCACGGAGGTTCCCGATTTATTAATCTCTAAAGCCGTGCGACCTTGTTGGTTGCCTGTCACCCTTTGACTTGCCGTAACTCCGTCTACAACCGCACAGAATAATGCAGCCGTCGTCGATCGGCGCGATGGCGGAAGAATATCACGCCCGTTGAGGGTAGTAGCAAACTAAAGAAGAGGACTCTGAATAAACTCTGAAGGGATTAAAGATGTGACAGAGAGGAGGGCACAGATAAATCCACCGGGTAAGATTAGAGAGAGAGAGAGAGAGAGAGAGAGAGGGAGAGAGGACAAGGGGGGTGCAACCCCGTCGGCTTCTACGTTCACGGGCCGGGCCTCGCCGGTCGGGTGTGACCTCCCCCAGAAGATCGGAGGGAAGGGGAGACATTTAAAATAAAGTCCCGATCTGGACAGGTTATTGGGGAGGGAACGTGATCGCCAGCTGCCGCAACATTTATAAGCTGGCCCAGGAACTGTTTTTAATGGAACGGAAAGGGAGGGAGGGATCGGGCACCAAACTACCCCCAGATTAATGGCGGCTTAAATTTTTGCCCGCTGATTAATTCTGTACTTTGAACTCGGTTCTGCTCGGACGCCATCGCCCGACCACCTGAGGAGGATGGGGGGTGGATGATCGCTAGCCCCTTTCGAAACATCAACGATGCGGAATTACCCCTAAATATTACGTCTCTGTCGGTCTGGCTGTCTGTTTGTCTCCCTCTCTCTCTCTCTCTCTCTCTCTCTCTCTCTCTCTCTCTCTCTCTCTCACTGGAGAATGCGAGGCGCAGACCGATTTTTCTAACCCTGTATTGATGGGTTCGGTAATCGAAATCAGTTGATTAATTGCGAGGGAATGGAGCACAAGGCAGACATTCTTTCGTTATTCTGGGGAACGGACGTCGCCATTGGGCGGCTTGGGCGAGGCTTTACGGACAGCGGGTACGCCATTTTAAGTCCAAACCGGCTTGCTTATTAACTAAGCGAATGCCATGGCTATTCGCGACAGAGGGCTTCAGGACTGTCCATGGTGCACCTGCTTTTAGCGAAGATATCAATGTTTTCCGACGGCTACAAGTAGGCCAGACGCATGAGTACATCTTCAACCAATTAGATGTCATTTGACGAGGAGAGAAGACCACACTGCGTAATCCTTCAACCCCACGACATTTTTTATTCTTCAGCTTCCCTGCGTTATCTGCTTTTATACTGGGGCTTGGAACAGTGGAATTATGTAGGGTGGGGAGAGGGGGCTGAATCGTAGGTCCTGTGTAGGAAGGAGAGGCCCTCTGCAGAGAGACGGAAGGTGCGCTGTCCCCATTGAATAGGAGAGAGGATCAGATCCCTAGAGCAATACGTTTTAGAACTTTGACTCGGAATCTCTCTCTCTCTCTCTCTCTCTCTCGCTTCATATCAATTTGTCATCAATCTATGTATCAGTCTATCATGCGGGGTTCTATTTCTCATAAAATCGGAGAAACTTCACGTCAATCGTCGAGGTAGACTCTACAGCTTGGGTCATACCCACTCTCGATCATTTAACATGATGCTGAAGCGAGAAGAGGCCACAGGAATGAGCAAAACTAGGGGTGCTCCAGGCTTTGCGATGGGCTGTCCTTGGAGTAAATCCAGGACACTGAGACCACTCAACTGACCTTCAATATGGGGGTATAGAAGAGAGAGAGAGAGAGAGAGAGAGAGAGAGAGAGAGAGAGAGAGAGAGAGAGGCATGGCGACTTGGGTTTCGAGCATATGCGACCAGTTAACTACCAATTAAAATCCTCACGGTGACAGCAGATGACCAAGTTTTGAGTGAAATTCCTTTGAACTTCTCTCGGCCATGCCGCCGGCGAAAACGATGGAGGCATCCAGTACGCGATAACGTACGCATCTCATACAAAAGCTATTCTTTTAATCCCGTGGTTATGAGTTGGAATATGCTCTCCATGTGGGCGCGGCTCCGTGGTGGCGACGGCACCCATCCGAATCCGCGACGCTTCTTGTGTCGTATGATTAATGATATTCTCAATCTCCGAAGGTTCTTCAGCTTTCTGGCATAGCTTGACCCATATTATCAAGTTATTTTAAGCATCATCTAATTCAAAAAAGTTAAACATCGGCAGAGCAAGGAACCACGCTTGAGCAGATCTTTCTTGAGAAGGCCGTGGTGTCTGCTCTGCAATTCTAGGGTTCGTATTCTCGGAAATATACGACGAGAAGACTGGTGTGGAATCGGATCCTGCAGATCATGAAGTTCCAACGTAAAGGATGAGGTATGGAAGGGGGTGGGTGCCCCCATCCGATCTGGCATCTGTTCTCAGATAACGATTCTTCTTAAACCCATCAATATCCGTCAGGAACATATTCTAAATACAAATGTTCTATATTTTTCCATTTACTTGAAATTATTTTTCTCCAAAATTGTTAATTTTGTTGCATGATATTAAACCGTCGTTCCCGATTATTACCAGTAGGGAGATGATTACCTTATAATAACCACGTCGTCATGCATAACCTGTGAGCAACATTGAAATTCCAATAAAAATCACCTCCTTCATGTCCCAAGTTCTTGGAATCTTAACATATTTATTTCGTTAAATTTGAAATATCATGAGAAATAAGTTCCATCTCCCTACATGTCTATTAACCATCATTGATAATCCCCATTATTAGAAAGAATTATCTGCCTAGAGAGACATCAGGGGAGACAAAGACCAGCATCCTACAGGGAAGAATAGGTCTCAAGAACGATGACCAAGCATCATGGAGGAAACTATGTGACGCTTGGCATATATTTAATCTTCTTTTTGGATTGATGGGTGTGGATTGAACGGGGTAATAACGTTGGAGAGATATGTGACTTAAATTCTTACTCATGGACCACCGGTCGATTCTGTTTTGTATGTGAACAACCAGGCTAACGAAAGAGCATACTAATATTAAATTACCAGAGTTCACTACTGCAGGGTTCCGATGTGGTTAGTTCAAACATAAATTGCTAATACTATAATACTAACGTTGACTGTAAGCGATCTCCTATTAAGTTCCCTTAAATCAAATGGCACTAACAACTTATCTTGATGTTGACTTTACTTGGTCCCCAAGCATAGAATGCTGACCAAGCAAAAAGACATTCAAAATCTCGATAATTTTGCCAGATGGTCTATGGTCCTGACTAGCCAGGCTTGTCATATGGTCCACGTTGACTGTAAGTTATTTCCTATTAAGATCCCTTAAATAAAATGCCATTAATAACTTATCTTGACGTTGAGTTTAGTTAGCCTTCAAGCATAGAATGCTGGCCAAGAAAAAAGACAATCAAAATCTCGATGATTTTACCATATGGTCTATTTTCAGTATGCTGTTATTTAAAGTCCCAACTAGCTAAACTGGTCAAAATTTTCCGAAGAGTGCAAAGAAGAGGAGTAAAGGGCCTTCGCCACACCCTCCTACATGGCTTTACAAGGATTCAGAGAATCAGGTAGGCCTGCAGGACCGGGAGGTGCAGAGCTTCTACCGACAGAGACTCGAGTAGGTCGTAGGGACAACCTACCTTTCCTTGCTTGAATTCCGGAACGACGTGCATGAGAATGACAACTCAAACCCTTCACCGTCCACAGGTTTGTCATGGATTTCCATAGTTGAAAGCTCGATCTCGGGTCCAAATGAGAGCCGACGTCGGATCATATTCCTGCTTTTGAAGCGATGGAGAATCTAATGCTCTGTGCCGGGAATGATTTCTGGATTTCCATAATGTTCTTTCCCTTCCATTGGCTTTCTCACCTCGCACTTTTCCCCCGATTCCAAGGAAGCCGTCTCCATCTCCCGCGGTGGGATTCTCCATGGATAGTTACCTCCCAGTCAATGAAGCGAGATCCCCATTCTGGGGGATTAGTTATGATGCGGGCATATTGGCCCAAGGTTTTGGAGTTTTATTCCACAAATGGTCGAATATAATCGTAAAAATCTCTTCTTTGGTTTCCTGTGATGGGCCTCCTGGTACCAAATAGGCCAGATGGTGCGCTAGTTTCTCAATGGGCTTCGCTTTTTGTGTTGAGGCTTCACAGAGAGATCGATAGAGAGAGAGAGAGAGAGAGAGAGAGAGAGAGAGAGAGAGAGAGAGAGAGAGAGAGGACTAAGCCCAAAAAGAGAAAACGCAAGCAACATGGGCTCATAATGGGCTTCAATATGAACCTGGCCTACTACAAGCAGCTCTGTTCAACGCTGCCTCTCTGCTCGCTCATCTCCCAGAGAGGAGTGAGAAAGTTCGAGGATGGAAGAGAGATGCGGCGAGCAGGGCCGCCCCAGTCTATTTAGAAGTCGGGCCTAAGGTTGAATCTCGTACCGGGCCATCCACGTCCCACGCCCGTGCGTGCTCATAAGACTTTGGGGAGAGTCAACGGCCCGACATAGATTTGTTACATTTCATCACATGTTGATTTCCTGATAGTACATACGTCCCGACATTTCGACTGATTACCAACATCGAATTGTGACCGAGTCTACGCGAATCTATCAGACCATGAAGATCATAATCTCAGTCAAGACAGTTGACCACGGTCTCGTGCTCGTCCCAATTGCCTGTCGGTCAACATGGGCCAAGGAGTTGAAAACATTACAACGGCTCCTCCGTGAAGATGACTGCAAGCTAATTCAACGGGACAAATACATTGTTTGCACAATTCAGAGTTCGGACACTACAGACTACCACACCTCTCTCTCTCTACCACTCTCTCTCGAGCCCAGGGTGAAGCAAAGACGGAGATTCGATTCAGGGAGGGCCGCTAACGCGATCGAGGCTCTGAGAGACGGCGCGCATCCTCGGCCTGGTGTCCGGGTCGGACTCGGTACAACCCAGAGCGACGTGGAAGACGGCGAGGACCTGCTTCTTCGCGTGGACCTCGTGGAGCAGAGACGGGTCAACGATCTCCGACAAGGCCCGTTCCTCCCTGAACGCCTTGCGGACGAAGCTCTCCAAGTCGAGGTTGTCCCCCTCCAGGCTCGCTCCCGGTAGCCGGCCCGTGAGGACCTCCAGCAGGACGACGCCGAAGGAGTAGACATCGGACTTCTGAGTCAACCCGCCGCCGCCGGCGATACGCGCTTCTGGTGCGAGGTAGCTCGAGGACGGCGAGCTGGGGAGCTTCGATCCGACGCCGGAGGCCACGAGGTGGGCGGAGCCGGAGCTGAGCTTCCTGGAGTGCTGCGAGGAGCTGCGGGCGGCGGAGATGAGGCGGCTGAGGCCGAAACCAGACACGGAGGGGTGTAGTTCCTCGTCGAGGAGGATTTTGGAGGACTTGATGTTGCCATGGACGTATCTCCGAGGGCTGCATTCGTGGATGAACGCCAGCCCCCTGGCCGCTCCCTGCACGATCTTCAGCCGTGCCGCCCAAGCCAGCGGCGGCTGCGACGGATTCACCGACCCACCTGCGGGAAGAACCGGAGATTTTCTTACGCCAGCGAACTCTCCGGCGAAGGAAAAGAGGAGAGGAAGGATTCTGCTAGGTTTTACCGTGCAGGGCGGCGTGGAGGGAGCCATTGGAGATGTAGTCGTAGACGAGGAGTTTCTCGTCGGGGGCGTAATAGTACGCCCGCAGGCCCACCACGTTGGGGTGCTTCACTCGGGCGATGGCGGCGACCTCCGACTCGAACTCGCGCCTTCGCCGCCAGGCACCGTCCCCGGCGGCGGCGCCGTCCTCCCCCTCGCTCAGCCTCCTCACGGCCACAGCGGCGCCCCTGCCCACCACCACCTTGTAGACGATTCCAGTCCGGCTCTTCCCCACCACGTACGCCGAGGCCCTCAGCAGCTCCTCCAGCTCCAGGCCGAAACCTTCGTCCACCGGCACGAATATCTCGCCGCTCTGCCCATCACGCTTCTCCTCCGTTCGTTTGTCCTTCGCCGCTTTCTCCTCCCCATTGCCGCGTCGCCGCCGGCAGAGCCAGTGGAGAAGGAAGACGGACCCAACCGCCGCCAGAAGGACTCCGACGAGGATGGGCACCGTCGCGGTCCTCTTCTTCTTCAGCTGGTCGGTCTCAGTCTGGTTAGGGCTGGAGAAACCAGAGTAGGGGCTGAGGTTAGGGTTCGGCAGAGGGATCCGGGGGTCGCCGTCGGGAATCTGGCAAGGGTTTTTCAGGGGGAAGCCGCAGAGGCCCGGGTTGCCGGAGAACGCAGTGGGGCCCTGGTTGAGCAGAGACCCAGTCTGCGGAATCTCGCCGGAGAGGTTGTTCTGCTTGAGATCAAGGCTGACGGCCACCGGGAGGTTCCCGTACGCCGCCGGTATGCGGCCGGAGATGCTGTTGCAGGACAGGTTGAGGACGCCGGTGAGCTTGAGGAGGGCCCCAATGGACGGAGGAAGCGACCCATTGAGGGTGTTGGAGGACAAGTCGAGATGAGCGAGCTCCTGAAGGGTGCCAATTTCCGCCGGAATGGAGCCGGAGAGGTTGTTGTAGGAGAGGTCCAGGGAGACCAGCGCCGCAAGCTCCCCTACCTGAGCGGGGATGAGGCCGGAGATGTTGTTGTGAGAGAGGGAGAGGTTTTGGAGGGAGGAGAGCAGGCCGAGCTCGGAGGGGAGATAACCGCGCAGGCCGCGATCAGGGAGGGAGATGGCGACGACCCTGCCGCGCCGGCAAGAGACGCCGGCCCAGAAGCAGGGGGTGCGGTCGGAGTCGACCCAGCTCGAGAGGGACTGCATGGGGTCGGCGAAAATGGCGGACTTGAACGCGAGCAGAGAGAGGCCATCGGTGGTGAGGCCTGCGGCCGGAGGAGGGGCTACCCAGAACGAGAGGGCGAACATGAGAAGAGAAAGACGGGCCAGATGGATCTCAGAACCCTCCACCATCTCACCTACAACCTTGATCCAGCAGGCCTCTCTTTATCCCTCTAGAAAGACGACATTGGAGCAACGAGAAGTTGCAGAAGAGAGGCCCAGACAGATGGAGAGAGAGAGAGAGAGAGAGAGGGGGGGGGGAGCCGCACTCTCCGCGTGGAGGAGGAAGGTGACGACGCCGAGGTGGTGGAAGTGGAGTGACCCAGGTGGGGGGAAGGCGGAGACCTGGAGTTGGAAGTTTGGAATGACTCTACTGACCTCTGCACAGGAGGCTGCTGCGTCTTCCCCTCCATGCTTACCGCCGCCTTTTCCCCAAACCTCGTGTAGCGGTAAACATCGCGGCGGCCCCCCCGGACGACATCGGACGGCCGAAAGATCGTCGCCGAGCTTCCGGAAACCCTAAATTTGAATCTGGACACTGCTTTCTCTGCCAATCACCGGGCTCCGGCAAAGATTCTCAGCGGTATAACCCACCTGCCCACTCCGCTTTAAAATACCTTTTTTTCATCATTAAATACGCACCTAATTTTATATACCCATATAAGTTTAAAAGCCGCCAATAAATTTATCCCATATCTCTTCCTTTCTCTCCCGTCATAATCGCAAGTAAATTACCAACTTGGGTGAGAAAAAAACTCTTGTTTTATAAAAAAATTACAATGAAATCATCTCAAGAACACGAAGAACCCACCCCCTCTCTCTTTCTCTCTCCGCCTTCTCATGAAGCTCGATAAAGGTACAACCAAAAGCCCTTGTGGTCAGGCTTGTCCCCTGATCTAAGTTCACCTCCGGGCCCACATTACAAGTCGAATCCGGGTTCCAAATTTACTTTGTTACAACCATATTAGTAAGCCAGATATTATCCATGATATTTACATATTTGGGTACTTGCTCCTGTAGGAGTCTCCGAGGAGGTAAATCGGTAAGGGGTAATTCCGTAACTTCACAAACGCCCATGGCAGTGCTTCGGGTCTGGCGACGCTGCGGCTTCTTTTGTCTGCGGGCAGGGGCAGCAGCTAGACCCGGACAAACAAAGAGGCTTATTATTTGGGCAAAAGCGGCTTATTATTTTCCTCTCTCGAACAGATCCTCTCCTTCCCTCGACCAGCCGGCGACCAAAATCTGGGCGAGCCATGGGCCTCTGACTCATGTGGAAGGAGGGCATTAAATCGCCATTACTGGGAGAACACATGGGCAAGGGACGGAGAGGGGCCCCTTCTTTTCAGTGAGAAGCCCGAAGAACCACAGCGGTTGGACCCGGCAGCGTTTCTGATTAAAAATGATTGTCTTCCTCCCCCGGCCATTGTAGGTCGAGCTTAAGTATAATCAAGCTGCTGCTGCTATGTAATCAAAGCCCGGTGAAGGCTGCCGCTTCTTCACACTTATTCGACGTTGGTCAACAGTGCTTTCTACAATAGAATCACCCAACCAGAAGGTCGTAATGGATCAGCCGGTAGGCCCAGCTCAGGACGGCGCCACCCAGCGGCAAGACTGGGCCAGGCCCTGCCGCCGGCAATGGCAGAAGCCCATCATAAGTCCCGAGAGGATTTCCCAATAAGGGCTTTAACGGAAGATATTCGAGAGATTAAATGGCATTTATCTCAACAAAAAACCTTCAAAGTAGAGATTTTTAATGCTTTTGAAGGGTTCGGGCCACCGTCGTCTCTTCATAATCTAAGCTTTAATATTAGGTTAAAAAAAAAACAACCATTTTCAGAAGCAATATCTCTCGTTTCTTTCGGATTACCATCGTAAATCTGGTTTTAATGAGAGCCTGAGACTGTAAGAAGATGGGAAGGTAGCCCCTGATTATTACCCACTGATTTTTTTTTTCAGTTAATTATCCGATAAATTTAGCCAAGAACAACCCTCGATAGTTTTATCCATGTCACGACGACGTGACTGCCATATCAATCACCACCAAGCTAGGGAGAGAATCCCATCCCGTCGAACGTAGATGGCACGTGGGCTGACGGGCTGCATGAGCCTGACGCATCGAGAGCCATCCGTCCCACACAAGGTCCTAAAGATGAGCTGGTTGCCCTCCCTCAACCACGCCCTGCCATCGTTTAATGGTGGGAGTAAAGACGGTGGGACTGCCATAGACAGCCGTAGCACCAGTTTCATGGGGAACCAATCCTTCCTCATTGCCTAGCTCCCATCCTCCTCCTCCTCCTCCTCCTCTCCCGTCGGCCTCTCTCGCCGGCAGCGCCGAGATGGCTCGTCTCGGCCTCCGCCTCCTCTGTGTTGTTCTCTCTATCGCCGCCGTAAGATCTTGCGCGCCGGCCGATCGCGAGGCCCTGCTCGCCTTCAAGTCCTCCCTCAAGGAGCAGAACTCCGGCGTGTTCTCCTCCTGGACGGGGCCCAACTGCTGCGCCGGCTGGTACGGTGTCAGCTGCGACCCCACCACCGGCCGCGTTGCCGACATCAACCTCCGTGGCGAAGCGGAGCACCCGCTGCCTTCCTCCCGGCCTAATCAGCCGGGGGTAATGACCGGCCACATCTCATCCTTAGTCTGCCGCCTCGACAGGCTCACCACATTCGTCCTCGCCGACTGGCGCGACATATCTGGTTCCATCCCCCCCTGCATCTCCTCCCTCCCTCTGCTCCGTATCTTAGACCTCACCGGCAACCGCCTCTCTGGGCCGATCCCCGCCGACGTTGGGAAGCTCTCCCGGCTCGCCGTGCTCCACCTTGCCGACAACCAGATCTCCGGTGAGATTCCCCAGTCCCTCCCCAAGCTGTCCTCTCTCATGCGGCTCGACCTCAGCGGCAACCGCATCTCCGGCCACATCCCGGAGAACTTCGGCGAGCTTCGGATGCTCAGCCGGGCACTGCTGCGGGGGAACCAGATCACCGGCGGCATCCCCACCTCAATAGGGAGAATGACCCGTCTCGCCGACCTGGACCTCGCCGGAAACATGTTCAGTGGACAGATACCGGAGGCGCTGGGGAAGATGCCGGTGCTCTCGACGCTGAACCTAGAGGAGAACACACTCACCGGCGTGATTCCGGCGAACTTGCTGGGGAGCCGCAGGATCAACATCCTCAATCTGAGCCACAACGCGCTGGAAGGGGTCATCCCCGACGCGTTCGGGCAGCGGTCCTACTTCACGGCACTGGACCTGTCCCACAACCGGCTGAGGGGCGCCGTGCCGAAGACTCTCAAGACGGTGAGCTTCGTCGGCCATCTCGACGTCAGCCAGAACCAGCTCTGCGGGCAGATCCCGCAGGGGCCGCCGTTCGACCACCAGGCCGCCGCCTCCTTCTCCGGCAACGACTGCCTCTGTGGGGGCCCACTGCCGCAATGCCTATGACGGCCGCCGCCACCTCCCCCGCAGATCCCTGCCGTCTGATCTCAATCTGGTGGCTACACCGTACCAGCTTTCCATCCACCACAAGAGCTCAAGACGACAGACGTAAACAGCAAGACGACTCCCAGTTGAGAGAGAGAGAGAGAGAGAGAGAGAGAGAGAGAGAGAGATTATGTTATGTATCCCGGTCCCTGTTGGACGCTTCTGATGCGCATATTCATAATTCAATGGCTGCGATTTCTCTGAAGTTCCCTCAGAGCCAATAAGGACATTATTCACGAGAATCTACGTGAAAACAGTCCGCGTGCTTAAAAGAGTCCACTAGAAAGCGCACGCTCGTGCTGAAGTCACGTGCCGTCGGTGCAGAAACGACGCCAAAAGCACGTGCATGGGACCCAAAGCATAAAAGGAAATCTGTCGCGACAGGAGGGCGCGTGGGGGATATCAACGAGCTCGCTAGATCTACCGGGGCAATGGTAGCCCGTCCGACCCGCGTCGACAAGACCGTGATTTTTAGAGGAATAATGCCCCAGTCAAGGGGCTGATTGCGTTAGCTTCATTGCAGAAAAATATTATTCTAATATCAGATAAAGTACTTTGAATTGGGCCTAAGGTTATTCCGTGCAACATTCCCTCGCCCCAGTCAAGTGGATGATTTTTAAATAAAAAAACGTTGAATTAGACCTCGGGTGATTCTGTGCAACATTCACGTTAAGGAGAAAATGTTACTTGCGAATCCTTCCCAAATAAAAATTTCATATTATCGAAAACTAATTTTAATGTACATATTATGCCATCTTGTTTTACATAGTTTTCCTTTATTTTTCACATTTCAATTCTTCTCGGTTCAAATGCCCTCTCACTAGGTTGTAAGAACTCTAGATCTGGAGGTTCACCGAGGTTTGTTGGAGCATCAGGAAGTTGTTGTACTAGCCTACTCACAAGGAACAATGTCTTGGAATTCACAGGTTTGTTATACATTAATTTTAATTTTAAAAAAAATAAAAAAAATAATGGCAATCATCTACTATAATACCCGTGACATAAACTTTCATATTTATTAACTAAGGCTATTACCGTAAGGATAATCTACATTCATTGGTTGATCTTTGTGTATGAAAGTAAGGTTCAATGACTTACGCTGATCTTTATGGAGTACAGAATAATTTCCTCATAATACATTATTCTCTTGTGTATTTTGCCAATTGAACACCAAAGAAGTTCAAGGAAAAATCTAATCAATCATCTATTCTTGAGGAAACTCAAGAAAAACTGCATATAGTTCTTAAAAAATAAAATAGTAACTATTTGAGGAATTTTAAGTATACAATTTCTCAATTTATGTCATTTAAACATATTTCTCTACTTATAGAGCATTTCTTATCTGCCTTAATGAATATTCACCCAAGCAAATATTTATGAAATATTTTTTCATGAAAAATAGAGGCTAGCTATCTATGAGTAGATGAAAGTTACTGTAGTCAAGTTACATACGAAAAGAAAATAGTTGAATGTAAATAGATATATAATGTTAAATTAAAAAGCCAATGGACCAATAGAAAGATATAAAACTAGATTATTAGCTATTAGTGATATTCAAATTTATAAAACATATTATTTATATATATTTTTCATAGTTTCAAATCTTTTTATTATTAGAATTTTATCTTCTTTTGTAGCCCTAATGTACTAGGGTGGTGAGACGAGAAGTGTTTAAGCTAAAACATGTGGTGTTGATAGTTTGATTAAGCCTATGAAAGGTGTGGTCCATGAGGAGACAAAATTGATATGATTAATTATTGATCTCATAAATACAAATATATATTTCTAAGGGAAATAAGAAACTATTGTCTAAAGGATTCATGAGTTAATCAATATCAAAATTATTAGTGTCCTAGATAATAAAGAGAGAACTAAGAGAGAACTTGCATCAAAAGAGAGTCTTGAAAGAACTTGTGTTGATAAAGAAAAAAATATGAGAGAACTTGTGTCAGTACATCTATTGATTAGCAAAAAATAAGAATTGACAAAAATCAGTAGAAACTTAATTCATTTGCCTCCCCTCTTAGTGTTTCACCTAACATCTTTATAACGAATAATAATAACATCACATAAAAGACCAAGAAATAATAGGTAGTGATCAAATCAGGTGTGGACTTAGAGTTTTGAGCTATGACATAAGATATATGTGAAGTCTTGTGGGTGACAATCATCTTAGAAGATTTCAGAATAAAAAAGACAAGGTTTGATCATGTTTTATTATGACAAAAATTTATTAGAAATGTTGTACACAATCCAATTTAATATGATTGGACTAAATATATTGAGATTGATAGACATTTCGTCAAAAAAAAAGTTCGATAATAGTATTATTTACACACTATATATTCCAACTCTTGATTAGTTGATAGACATTCATTCACTAGTTTGAGACAATGATAAATTATAATGATACCATTTTTATTATATATTATATTTATGTCCTCTTATGTATCTTTGCTTGTGAGTGTATTGTATCTAGTTGGGCATTAGTGAACCTAGTTATTAGTGAACCTTAATAACTAGGTACAATCCACTATAAATAGGTCAATATAAATTGATATAACCAAGTTATCCTTTTAAATTTATTTTTTATTTTTCTATAAATTTCTCTATCCTCTCTCATGGTTGACTACTCTCTTACTACCAATGAACAGATCCTTCTCCAATGACTTTGACCTAATTTGATTAGGACTAAGTTAGTCTATTTTATATTGACACCTCTATGTTAGACTATGCATATAAAGTACAAATATTAAGGCAAACATAATTAGTACAATTCTTGCACATGGATACCTTGCATGTGAATGCATGGGCTCATGAGTGTGAAAGCTTCTTTCAATGTGGACTCCCTTTGGATGTTTGATAATGCATTGAAAGTATTATTCTTAGATAATATAAATTTTCACTCCAAATTTTAGAAAAAGCCAATTTGAATTATTTCATTTAGTTTTGGGCTTTAATATTGGTTTACATTAGATATTTTTATTATTATATTATAAAAGTATAAACTATTAATTTGCAGCATCATAACACTTTTATCTTTTTTTATTATATTACTAAACTCTATTGTGCACGTATACACTTAGTCCTTAGTAAGAAGGCTTATAAGTCAATTGGCTTCCTTACAAGGGGTGAAAAATGCAACGTTTGATAATAACAAGTCTAAAATACTTAAGATACTTTGCCAAACTAAGTCAATCTTAAGATACTTAGAATAAAGTATTGCCAATAATTAAGAGCTTAGTGCAAATACTATATATTTAATATATATTTTAATTATTATACCTTAATTTGTGTCATGATCACTACATGTTTAAACTTTTCTTGCCAACTAAGTCAATCTTATGTAAGTTGTATCCTAGTCACTTTAATCATTAAAAAATCTTCTAAATTGTTATCTTGTTCATTATGTATTAAAACCCTTCTTACCACATGAGTTGACTCAGTTTATATGAACAAGTGAAAGACAAGCTTTACAAACTTTGTTGGAAGGCAAAGATACTTATGTAATAATAAAATAAGTAAAATTGAATACTTCAACACTCTCATAATTGTCCAGTTCCATTCAAATTCTTTAATTTTTTAATACATGCCAACCCTTACGTGAGAAATTCTGACTTTGGTGTAAATTTCTTCCTATTGAGTCAGAAATTTGCACCTACATGCCAGAACTTATTTTACAACTGTCAACACTTTCAAAATGAAAAAGAATAATCAAGGAGACTAAGTGCATCATTTTATAATTTTTTTAATACTTGAGTTAAAAAATTTATAAGTGATGTATAACTCAACAGAATGTGTTAAGTCACACAGATTTATAAGAAGATATAAGATAGCTTGTGCCTTATCAAAACATAGGAGAGAGAGGTAGGGAAGGTGTTGAGAGAAAATTGAGATCTTTTACAGAAGATTACATATTTTTTAAAAAAATAACTAATGATCAAAGAGTTTTAATTGTCGCATGCTTATCACTCATGAAACCTAATGTAACGACTATATTAGTTCATCCCACAAGGATTGTAAAGGGCCATGCGAGAAATCATGAGAGAGCGGTTTATGTGAAGGTATAGCTAAATAATTCGATCATAGTTATTCAACTGTTTTCTTATGATGATAAAACTTTACTAGTTTTTTTTTATATTTCTCAAAATTTCAAAACTAGGGCAAGCAATATTTCTATTTTGTTTGCGGCCGAAACAAACGACCTATTTTCTTATTGTAGGTGGATGAAAAAAAAAGTCAACTGGTACCACCCCAAATATTACTTAATATAAAATGCAAAAGCTTTGTGAGATGTGGATAACTTGTGCTACGGTTGCAAGAGCAGATAAGATTCTGTTGTTTTCATAGATATGATTAAATAAACGTTTATTCGTCCAAAACCCGAAGCCTAATCAATTAGCAGCCATTCGATGAGCTTGGACCAGCTGAAACCCAGGAGGAAGACGCCAAAATAACCGAGGGGGCAGGAAATGGCCTCTTCGGATCTCCTCTCTCTACTCCTCGCTCTGGGGCTCCTCCACTCCTCCGATCCCCTTCCAGATGCCACCCCATGGCCGTTCTCCCTCCCATCAACGATACAGCTCCCCTGCCGGGCCTCCGTCACGGACTACGGCGCCGCCGGCGACGGCAAGATGTACGACACGGCGGCCATCCAGGCAGCGGTGGACGCCGTCGCCGCCTGCGGTGGCGGCCCCGTCCGCTTCCCCCCTGGGGACTACCTCACGGCGACGATCCTGCTGAAATCCGGCGTGGTGCTGGACCTTGCGGAGGGCGCGCGGCTGCTGGGGGGGACCCGCGAGGAGGACTACCCGCCGGAGAGCCATAGGTGGTACGTCGTCCTGGCGGAGGACGCCGCCGGCGTGGGGATCACCGGCGGCGGCGAGATCAACGGCCAGGGCTGGGTCTTCGTCCGCCGGCGAGACCCGAGGAAGAACGTGATGGTCAGCTGGAACTCGACGGGGGCCTGCCTCGGTGACGAGTGCCGCCCCCGCCTCCTCGGCTTCCTCCGCTGCCGTAACGTCCGGATCTGGAACATCCGCCTCGTCGACCCCGCCTACTGGTGGTGCGCATCCTAGCAAAACCCTAATCTTCTTCTTCCTCTTCTTCTTCTTCTTCCTCATCTAGCCTGTTGGCCTTGCAGCTTGCACCTGGTGGGCTGCGACAACTCGTCCATCCGGGAGGTGACGATCCTCGGGGACTTCGATTCCCCCAACAACGACGGCATCGACGTGGAGGACTCCAATAACACGGCCATCGCCCAGTGCCATATCGACACCGGCGACGACGCCATCTGCCCAAAGTCCTCCGCCGGGCCGGTGGTCAACCTCACCGCCGCCGACTGTTGGATCCGGACCAAGTCCAGCGCCATCAAGCTCGGCAGCGCGAGCTGGTTCGATTTCAGAAGCTTCCTCTTCGACAACATCACCATCTTCGACTCCCACCGGGGGCTCGCCCTTCAGATCCGCGACGGAGGTAACGCCGCCCGCCGATCCTCCTCGGGCAGAACAACCCGCCCTTCACTTCACGGCTCTGGTTCAATGCAGGGAATGTCAGCGATGTCACCTTCTCGAACATCAGAATAAGAACGAGATACTATGATCCCTCGTGGTGGGGGAGAGCCGAGCCCATCTACGTCACTACCTGCCCCCGGGAGCTGGGCTCGAGAGCCGGGTTGATCTCCGGTCTGCGATTCATCAACATCTCCGCCGAGTCGGAGAACGGGGTCTTCTTGTCCGGCTCCGGCGGCGGGCTGCTCCAAAACTTGAGCTTCGTCAACGTCAACCTGACCTTCAGGAGGTGGACGGACTACCCCGACGGAGTAGTGGACTACAGGCCGGGGTGCCAAGAAATGGTGCGCCACAGCACGGCCGGGTTGATGGTGGAGCACGTCTCCGGCCTGGAGATGGACAGGGTGAGGATGCGCTGGCACAAGAGCAGCTCGAAGGGGTGGAACAACCCAATAGAGTTCTGGCCCTCCACGGTCAACGGGCTGTCCTTCCGAGAATGGTACTCGGAAGAGTACTGACACCCTGCTATTTCTGGGTAAGATTATGAAAGGGGAGCTGCTCCTGCTGCTGCACAGTTCATTAGCAGGACCTTCAGTTTCTTCTAAGCGGGGAGAAAAAAAGGAGGGGCTGAAGTGAACTGGGTGGAAGATGATTCGAATTACCCAGATTGCAGGCCGAGGGGAGATTCGACCTGCTTCATCAATAAACTTCCTGACCACCAACCCCCAAGAGTCTCCTCTCCTTTCTCCACACATGCCGCAGGTAATCTTCCGCATCTCCACAGCCACGCACAGGCATGACAGAAGATAAGCACTAAGAGGTCCTTGTTTCAGCATCTCGAGACACAGATCACCAGTTTAAACATAAATCCTATACTGAACAGGGATGAGCTGACCATCTAGATTCCTGCGTTAGATTGAGTAGACTCTGTACCACGAGAACTGGAGAAATGAAATCTCAAATACATTAGATAAAACGGGCGCGATATCTTGCCACGCCGGAAGAATTGCTGGAGAGCTACGCCGAGGGTCGGACATAGAAGGATGTGGTGCGAAATAACGAGGAATTCTAGGATTGGGGAGGTAGGGGCGGGAGGCCATCAGCGTCCCCTTGCTCGCCCACTAGTTTGCTTCCGTGTTGCAGCAGTTCGGAAGGTGCAAAGCATTGTTCGTGTGGGAACCGATCGTACTACATTGTGGAAGAAGCATCAGGGTTTACTGTTGAATTGGGGGTTCCAGCGACGAATTCGAAGATCTGCTAGTTTCAAAGATTATGAGTGCGGATATGACAGAAGTTCGAGGAAATCACGTAAAAGGGACGAACAGTGAGTAGAACGGCAGAGAGTTTAAGCGATCAGAAAAGCTCACAGGGGAGGACATCGCTGCTTCTTATCACTGCTCACGAAACACGAAGTTTTGATCTGAGAGCTCAGGCATAAATTTTTAGGAAGCACTTGCTTCTTTGTCATCCAGAAAGAGCATAGAATCACGAGCATAGAACGGCGGCTATGGATCCAAGGGCAACAGGAGGAATGCAGGCAGGAAAGGATGGCTCACCACCTGCTCAGGGGCTTGTGTAGAAAGCGGCCGCAACCCCCCCCATAAGCGCCTCCCTCCTCCTCTGCATTCGGGGTCTTTCTCCACCATCCCATCGCGGCGAGACTTCCTCCATCGCCCCCTCATAATGAGACTAAATTACAGGGCCTCAAGAACTCGACGGTAAGAAAAACTGTGGAACTCAGAGGAGACATTCGATCAGGAGGAATTTTATGGTTCATACAGAAATATTAAAGTACACGGTGTAGGTCTCATCTTTCAGATTTATGAGAGGCTCCAACAGAAAATTCCTCCTGGTACCCCTGCCCACGAAGCTGATCGGGTCGTAAGCCCTCGTTCCTTGGTAAATCTCGAACCTTGCTTCCTTCCTCGCTCCCGCCCCTCGCTGGCAGACCAGCCGGACGCTCTTTCCGGCGGCGCGGTCTGCCGCACCGTGCACGAAGCAACCCGGATGGATCGACGACTCCAGAGAAACGGCGCTATTGGGGTTCCCGTCCCGCGGCGGCGGCGCCGTCAGCCGGAACGTGGAATCGGGGCCGGGATCGCCGGAGACGATTAAGGCGCCGTTCGGCCTCCTCGCCGCCACCACCATCCCGGGCAAGTCGAAAGGCTCCAGCATGATCAGATTCTTGGTTGTGGAGTTCACGGCGATGGCCCGGAAGCTCGCGTGGACGGCGGCGTCCGACCCTTCGGACGGCGCTTCCTCCATGGCGATCGAGTAGTTCGAGTTGGAGAAAACCAGGACCCCATCGTCGAATTCCTGGGTGAACGTTATCAGCTGGGAGTTTTGCTCTGCCGGGACCGCTCTGATCCAGTCGGAGATGGATGTGGAGTTCCCGGGCCTCAACTCCCAGTCATCCCTGGTCAGACCCGCGAGGAGGTACGGCCCGAAGAGGACGGCCTGAACGGACCCGAGCCCTCGCCGATCGTCTGCAAGGGTAGTAATCGCTGGTAAGAAATCAGGTAACATCGATCCTCTCGTGATTCTGTGAGAAATGAAGTGTAGTGACCTTTAATGGATTCCGTCCTCAAGCTGATGGGGAGCTGGAGGGAAAGCACGTCTGTGGACGCCCAATTCCTCCTCACAGACAGAAAATTTCCTGCCCGTGTGGGAAAAAAAAGATCGTCATCAGTCCTGCTGAAAGATCGGAAGCTAATGATGATATCTGTAGTAATCAGAGTCGTCAAAAGGTATCTCACCTGGAGGAGGAGTATCCAGAGGTTCATTGTTCAATGTGGCCTTGGCATTGCTCGGAGATGTCCAGGAAGGTATTCGCAGGTTCAGTTCAGATGACTGGGCAGCCGACTGTATGGATCATACAGAAACCCATGATAGATTTAGTGCGCAGAAATTAAAAAATAGAAATCAGCACTCTTTCTGAGTGACGGCACCCTTTTTAAAGCTCTACCCAAGATACCTGATTTGAAGAGAAAGTCAACTCCACGCGCAGGTAAGCATCCTGAGAAGCAACTGGCTGAACTTTTTGGTTGACTGTGAGACCCCCAGATTTCCATTTGAGTGAACTTGATACATAATGGGCGATATAAAGACTGGTTGTGCTCCTGTCCTCAAAGTAGATGGAATCTCCGAGCTTCGAGAATGACTCGATTCCTTGAAATTTTAGAAATAAAAAATAAAAAATTTATAACCTCCGTCCACTCAACACTCATATATATATGATAATTTATTCGAGGTGAATAAACTACAGGAGTTTTGTAAAGAAGGAATCCAACCTGTCCCGTAACAACACCAGAAGGAGTCAAACCTTGTCCCCCAGCCGTGAAAGCTCCTTGCTTTCGACACCCCAACGCCCAGAGGAAGCATGTAGATCATCACTCCAGGGTCCGTTCCTCTCTGGATGCTCAGCACTCCATTAGTCAGGGCCCTCTCGTAGTACTCCGCGTAGCTAGCCTTCCTTGTCCATCTAAAGAGGTTGCGCGAAACCTGCTTGAAGGGAGAAAAAAAAAAAGAAGAAAAACTGGCCCTCTTCAAAATCCGAGAAAAATGAATTTCTATTAGGAATAAGATGCGTTAATTCGGTCATATGGTCAATATATCATAACTAATAGCATTATTATCGATATTATTATCTGTTATTTGGTCCCAACCTTGAGCATGTTATGTGTCGTGCAAGATTCTTCATTTTCCGTTTGAAGTGTATCTGCCAAACGATTGGGATCAGACCTGCGAAAAAATTAATAGGTTTGATGAAGCAGCATGTCGAAGGTAGCTTAGCTTGGAAAACTTCTGTTCTTGGTGATGCGTGGTAATACCAGATTTCATTGACAGATGTTCCCCCTGTTGCATAGCTGTGAGAAGAATTGATGACCTCCATGAAATACGTCCCAATGTCCTGTCAAACACAACTCATCGTGGCTTGAAGATCAGGTGTATGTTATGATGAAGATTAAGCACCGTACGATAATGCACAATTGATGAAATGCCACCAGCTTGTGCGATCCAGATGAAGAGAGCAAGCGCCATTACCTTATAAAGGGGGTCTCCTGTGACCTCGTATCGTTTTTGCGCCCCAATAACAAGAGGGATGTGCGTGTTGGCATGGAAACCTGAAAGACTATCAGACTGCAAACAGCAACAGTCGCTGAGATCTTCGTGTAAATATTTTGGCTGCAGTCACCGAGCACGCAGTTTCTGTAAAATTAAGCGTTATGAAGATAGAATAGCACCTGAATCGCAAGGAGACCCAGAAAACATGGTTTGTCGAAAAGATGGGCGAGGATTAAATGCTTCTGGTTTCCCTGCATTCACATTGACAAGAATTTTAAAAAGTAATAATGATTCCAGTGTGATGACAGACTAAAATAAATAATAGAAAAGATGATCGATATAATGCAAGTGAGATTACCGTAATGCTGTAAAGATTATACAGGGCATCGTTCATTCCTCCCGTTTCCTCGTTCATGGTCAGCCAGTGCCTCTCGATGCTATATTTTTCTATCACGTTCTTCACGCGGTTCGCGAAGTAGTCGGCCATCCCGATCGTCATCTCCAAGGCTCTGGCGTTTCCGGCGTAGGAGAACTGGTCCAGGAGGCCGGCCAGTATCTGTCGAACGACGCTGTGAAACACTAATCTGGGGAGATCAAGCTTCGATGATGGAGAGTGAAAATTTCATAGGTACCTTGTGTATCGTGTAGTAAGGCGCCCAGACATAGACGTCGGCCTCCAGACGGTCAAAATATTCAGTCGAGAAGGCCGAGAGGTACCCACTGCCCATCTTCTTCTGGCAGAGGTAGAGGGCATCGACCACCGCGGTCATCTTCTGATGAATAGATGCATTATGTGTTGACGCCCACATTTTAGCGGATGCGCTCAAGTAATGGCCTGCGAGACGCATCGAGAAGTTCACTCATGAGGCACAACCTCGTCAATCTCGGCACAGAGCGAGCGAGAGAGAGAGAGAGAGAGAGAGAGGTCACCTACGAAGTGTCCCCTGATCTCCATGTTGGGTGATTCCCACCCTCCATATGGATTTCCGGGAGCAGGAAGACGCGCCTGCTTCCTGAAGCTCCACACCAGGCGATCGACGTCCAGCATCAACAAGTAATCAAGGTTGGTCTGCTGCGCCCTCCCGTGCTTTGAATCCGGATCGAGGCGCACATCATGGAGGGACATTTCTCTGAGGAAGCTCCCTTCGTCGGTGAAGTTGCCCTCCGAACGCCTTATGCTCCGGTAGAGCATCGTCCAGTCGAATTCGGTTTTTGCTACGTCTCCCCCCGAGAGATCCCTGGAGAGCAGGTCCATCCAAGTGGACTCTTCAGTCGGGTTCAAATGGTCGTGGTGGGAGTCCATCTCTCCCCGCCATTCCTCATTCTTTGTCGCCCACACCTGGTAACGGAGGGAGTGCGACTGGGCGATTATGTTTGTGCATTCCTTCCCGAGGGCACGAGCAGATAGCATGGAGGTTATCAGCATCAGCTGGAGGAGCACTCGCAAATCCATTCCTCAGCTTCTGCTCCAGACGCCGGAATGGAAGAAAGAAGATGGCAGGACTAATTGAATAGACTTGCGTTCCCTCCAGGCTCCTCGCTTTAGACAACGAGCAGCGTAAAAGCTTATAGGCGGGGCCGGAGATGGAGATGGTGGACCCTTCTGTGACGAGATAACCGAGGCGATGAAAAGACTGAGATAAAATCAAGACGAGCGAGCGTAGAAACACCCTCGTGAGGCAGTAAAAGACGCATCCTTGACAGGATATTTAGGGATAGGCGACAGATGAAGGGTTAAGCCAAGGACAGGAGAGAATCACGTGGAACGCAAACGCTCCGCTCTTCACCAATGGGGGAGACACTAATGGGGGCCTTGTGTTCCCCGCTTCTTGCCGGAAGAGGACGGGAGAGAGAAATGAATGAATTCCACGACCACACCTCTCATTTCCCATGGTCAGGGATTTATTATTTCTGTGGATATGTCTTTTTTCTCGTATTTTTCCCTCTTATCATGAGACATTAGTTTACTTGATGCGGGTTTTTCCATTTGGAAAAGTCTTCAACTGATCGAGTTAATACATGCAATTAAGAACTCTCGAATATATAAAAATGGTCAGTCAGAACTAAGAGATATTTCAGCCACCCAATTCGACGGCCACCACAGGACACACCAGCTCAGCGGTTCGGACCATCTGGTGCACCGACCAGAGATGGCGCCCAACATGGCTTTAATGCCACCTGCCATCAAAGTAACCATGGTTGTTGCACCCATCTAATGCGCACTGTCCAATCTCACTCACCAATTATTATCTTACATGAATGATGCGCCGATAGCCTGGTCCCAGCCCGAGATTGCAAAATTTATGAAACCCATAGGGTAGATTTTTCATGAGACTTCGACGACTTATATGGGTCCAGAGAAAAGCCTGAGAAATGAGACATAGGACCAGGTGCCAATGGAGTCCTCGGGACTCAGGTCTGATGGGTGCTGTCCCTTTTCTTAGCATGCTCCGAGCCACACCCCGACCCAAAAAGCCAATCTGTCACGCCGGAAGCTTCTCGGATCTGTGCTCATCGAGCGGGTCTGTGCCAAGAGCAGGCTATCAGGCAACGGTTCGTCGTGGAGCGCCGGATAGGGCTAACTGGCCCCCGTTCTCGAGGGAGAAGCGGGGCCTTACCTTATAAATGGAGAGAAGATTCGAGCGTGGAAAGGGAAAGAAGGGTCTTCCTCCTTCCACGGCCAGCTCCTGTGTTCTATGAGAGAGAATACAAGTTATCTATCGGTGGTAAAGTCTTCCGCGCAACTTGAAGAGGCTGCTTGTTGCCGGAGATGGCGACTAAGGCGGGTCCGAGGCGATAATCCAGGTAAGTGAACCTTGACCCTACTGGGATCCACCAACCCATTGACCCTTGTTTCGACTGGGCCCTGGTTTCCTTTGGGCTTAATTTTTGGAATTGGTCCCCCAAAAAAGGTAGGACCAAGTTCCAAACTAAGGTAGAATGACACGTGTATCTACCTAGAAATGAACACATGCTGCTATTATTGGGGAACCAAACCCAAAATTGGTCCACGCTTACTCCGCTTGGACAAATCTTCACCTTGCATGAATAACGTTGCCTTGCCAGTAAGTGAGATCCGAAGTACTTCAATTCGGCACGCTTTGGCTTCAGTAACCCGCTCATGTGGGGCGGGATGCAGGACCACTTGGTGATGGAATCAAGAGGATTGTCGGGGTCCTGTAGATCTTGAGTATTTCGTCTGTACCAGAGATGGATGTGTAACCAAAATTGGAAGATCTACAAGAGGGACCATACTTTCTGTCTCGATTCATGCCATTTCCTCCAAAAAATGACCTATATGTTGCGCAATATCCATGCATTATGTTCAAGAAACCCTATAGAGAGGGAGAGTGAGAGAGTTCTCCTAAACAATGTTGATGCCTTATGTTTATTGGGAATAGTACTATACGAGAGAGAGGGAGGGTGAGGGTCCATGAACAATGGACCCTAATACCCTATGTCAAAGGGAGAGTGAGGGAGAGAGACAAGCGAGGAGGGAGAGAGGGAGAGAGGGAGGGGAGAGAGAGAGAGAGAGAGAGAGAGCGAGAGAGAGAGAGAGAGAGAGAGTTCTTGCACAATATCTTTGATTTGCTTCTAGGAGTCCTAATTCAATATTTAATTCGGTATGGATAGCTACACTGAAAAATAAATTTAGTTAAAATGATGATGTGACTACTAGCATCAGAATGAAAATAATGAAAAGAATAAAAAGGAGAAATAAGGCCACATCATGAAAGAATGAACAATGAGATGACATATTTCTATCTATACTTTGACAGCTAGAAATTATGGCACCTAGGTCTCCTTCTCAAGAGGGGAAGTACAAAGACCATCTTCAGATAATGTGATCTATAAACATGCTTTTTGACTATGAAAATTTTGTTGGGTATGATGAAGCTTAGTAGTAACTAATCTAGAATAAGTTTAGTTTAAAATATATGTAATGCAAGTGAGTGAGAAACATTTTGTAAAATTAGGTAAGTCAATGAATTCATTAATCAAGAAAATAGCTAAGAGAATCAAACAAGATAGTTCTATTGGCCTACTTCACCCTAGATGGATACCCCCTTAAGGTTTTCCTATATATGAATAACTCAATTAGTTGAACACCAATTGCTATGTTACCCCTATGAAATTTATAATTTTAACAATATAAATATACTCAACACTCCCTTGTGGATTCAGGACTCTAAATGACTAAACATTAAAGATCCTATGTGAGCTCACTATTCTAGATTCACAACTTCAGAAATGTATCTATGATTCCTAGCTACTAGTGATAGATTGATATTGGTGCAAAGTGAATAGTATCAAAAACAATTAAATGGAAACAGAAGATTAGTTGGTTATGATACTTTCATGCAATGTCATGAATGTGCTTAGATGTCATGAAGTTTTTCAAAGATTGTCAATATTCAATATGAGTATGTTGATTGATTTTTGCTAGATTTTAGAATTTTTTTATGAGATTCTTTTCTGAACTTGGATGTGCTAACTTTTTCTTTTTTATGCTACTTTTTCAATACTTTCTAGGTTATTGGCCCTCTTAGTCTTAATTTAAAATTTTACTATATCTACATTAAGGTATTTCTCATTCACCCACTTATCAATAGTCACACAAAGTTGTAGATCATGTAGTTATAAGAGTGGTAACTTACAAATATCAAACATATAGCTTTTATTACATTACTATAATGTAGTAACCTTATTGTGGGCTTCAAATTAACATACAATTCTTCTACTAGTACAATCTAAGGTTGATCTTACTATTAGATGAATTTAAAGAACTATCATACATACTATCATAATAGTATAGTAAACTATAACATGTTTAAAATGTTACAATACAATCTTTATTCAAACTATTTTATAGTGCTATACATTTGAGATGTGTATTCTATTGGTTTTGGGTGCCTTAATAATTGTGATGATGACAAAATAGATAAAAGGGTAAAATTGAATTTATACTACAAAAATTATGCTCATATATTAGAAAAGCATGGTATAAGTTTTACTTGATCCTTGAACATACTTGGTTATGTTAAAAATCATGAGGTAGGATTAATATAATTTTTCTAGATAAAAACAAGCATGGAATTTAAGAAATGTGCTCAATGGTGAAATAATAATTTAATATCAAAAAACTACTTTACTATATTCACAACCCATTAACATGGCTAACTATGTTGAGTATTCACTAATATGATTTATATAATTTTTACAGAACAATAAGTGTGAAATTGTTGAAAATGTATTTGAAAGTAAAATGGTTATTTTACATCATAAAATATTCAAACATCTTCATGACCCTTGAAAATATCCTTACCTAAACCTTTGTGTCTTCTCTCCAAGAGGAATGTAGTGTACACAAGTCTACTTAAGAGTCTACCCTTTAGTTTACTAAATATAGAGAGGAAGTGATTATGTATGATGCTACATGAAAAATTATGAAAAAAATAAAAAGATAATTTTTTAGGAACTATTTTCTTGTCATTGTTTTATAATTTATAAAACCCTAAAAATAAGAAAAATTAATCACTATATTAGGAACTTATGCTTAAATATCAAGTTGAGAAAAATCATTCAAAGATAAAAATTACATATCTACCTCAAGCTTTCCAATCTCATCTATTCAAGCTCCTCTACCTTAGGCTTCAAAAATTCACAACACATAAGTCTACACTTTGAATTTGTAAAAGTATTAATTTATTCTTAATTTATGATTGAGTACTTACAATATTTGGACAAACGTAGAGTTGACCCAAGTATTATTAGTTAAATGATAATATTATTAGCTCCCTAGATTCATAAATTTAGATGCAATGCTTTCTAGTTTCATGAGCTGACTATATCTGAAGAACATTAGAAATTACCCAAGTCTTGTTGTTGAGTATTCACTTGATTGTATGAACTTGAGGATAAGAATCTTAAAGAGTTAAGGCTAGGTGAGCTGAACTACTATAAATTTAGAGTTTCATAATTTAAATTAAAATCTAAAATTTTAATTAGAAAAAGATTATTCAACCCCCTACATTTTCTTGAAGTTTCTTCAGATACGATACAATTTATATTACATGTTTTGTATATTGTCATGTGATTATAGTATATTATGCTATCAATATTATTGAAGTGTTATATGTATAATGTTTTGTTGATGACAAGTAGGTTTTGATATTAGATTGAATCATATGTAGTTAAGAATATTTATGATTTATGAATGCTTGCTTCTAATTAAGAATGTTACCAATAAAAGTTTATATGAGATATCATTGAACATATTCTTGATCAATATTGTTGAATGTATAAATGTGATAGATATCTTTGTGTGAAATCATCTCATTACCCACTGATGTGAAATATGTCCATATTTATAGAATACGACATATATGAAAATAATAATGACGACATTAGAATTAATGAGGCAACAAAAAATAAAATATGGGTATGAAAGCT